AGGAGAAAACTGCAAAACTCGCAGCTGGAAAATTCAAATGAGAAAAGTTTTTGACTTTTCCACGGCTCAACCCTATTGACAAAAAGAGTTGTGATTTAAGGATGTAAAAAATAAATAATTGGGAATTTTGAGACCCTTATTAGCTCAATCTTAATTCTTAATTAGCATAAAAAATCTTGAATATTATTTGGAAGCATTTTTAGTTTCCTGAATTTTGTGGTCACCGATTTTAGAAATTGCTCTGCGATATTAAAAATTTAGAATAGTTGTAAATTCTTAATTAAATTTAAAAGAGATTTAAAAAAAAAAAATTATTGTTACAATTAAACACCTGAAGATTTTTTACTTTTACTCAGTGGAAAATTGAAACCAGTGAGCTTGTGGTTAGTTGCTTCAGCTTTCAAGGTCAAATACAAAGGTCGTTGAATCTAACTGGCTCTATGTTTTTGATATGACTCTATATAGTTCAAGAAAAAAAATCTTCCTTTGATATCTATTTGACAATGAGTAAAATAAATAAGTATGATTGCAAATGCTTAGGACAATAGAAAATAATTTAAGGCCCAGTGCTAATGAATTTAAAATCTTAGAAAAAAATAAGAAGAAAAAGCATCCTTTTTTTACTTCAATTAACAGTCGGAGAACTTTTGGAATCTATGCGAGTTCTAGACTTTGTTTATCATAAGAACAACATTAAGATGAAATTACTTTTTATCTCCTTGGATTTTATTTTATCCATTTTTCCGTTTTGCTCGACGGTATATGCATCCATTTCTGATTAAAAAAAAAAAAAAAAAAAACTAGCCAGGCAATAAAATTTTCAAAATCTTTTTCTGAACTAGATTTTCTTTGTTGAAGAGCCCTTTTTTACCCTCATATCATTTTTCTTACTGGTCATTTTTCATACTTTACGGTCCCTTTTTTCCTTGCAACTCCATTAATCTGCGGCGCAAACATCTAATCTCGAAACGGCGTCCTTAATTATTCGCGCAGGCTGAAATCCCGTCGCTTGCCTTGTTTTGCGTGTCCATGCAAAAGGACGCTGCTTTGCAGTGGCTGCGTCATGTAACAGAATTTACACACGTCTCTGCGATAACAAACACAGAGACTACTGTAACGAGATTTGGGTAACGAGCCGAGCTCATTTACACAAGCCTTCTACGCCGATGCACTTTGCGCAAAATCGCGCCCCGATCTCTCTCTTTCTCTGCCTCGCTCGCTCGCTCCCTTCATTTGATCCAATTTGTTATCTGCGCTGCATTCGCTGATGTTGCGAAAGGCAGCTCTCGCTACTTCTTTTGCTTTAATTACTCGGCTTCTTCTTCATAAAACGAACCAAGAGCAGCAGCTTCCACCTTTCTTAACACTCGACGACGAGCTGCCGCTATTCAAATTCCTTTTGTTGGCTCTGGAGTGGCTCATTAAAAGCTGCAAGTTGGTCTCGCGTACGTGCGCGCATGATTTACAACACACGACATTTCCTCCAGAAATCGAGCGAATTTTATTAATCTTATTCAACTGAAAACACTCTTATAAAGCAGTGTAAAGTCGTATTATGACGTGTACTGAAATTTATTTCATGAGCAGCCAAAACTGAATATAATTTTGATGGAAACTTGATATCATCATTTGGAGCAGCATTTTTTTTTTTTTACTATCTTCGGAACCATTTTTTACTTTAGGAATATTTTATAAGGGAAAAATTATTTGAGAATTCACATCTATATTTGAGTAAATTAAATCCTTATTTACATAACATATTTTGTGAGTTTTCATCACCTACTATGAAATATAAAATTCCGCTGAAAATCACTTCTAATTTTCATGAAAAATTTTTATATGAAAAGTCATCTCATAGAATTTACTACTTTAAATATGGCAACGAAAAATTCACCTATTTTTTCATAATATTGAATAGAATCAGAGTGGTAAACAAAATTTTTTTAGACAAAATTAGTTGGAGGAAAAAAATACAAAAAAAATGCAATTTTTAAGCACCAGTCTCACCGGTGCAATTTTAAATTTTGGCCCAAATTTATATTTTCTAGTATGATATTTATATAATTTGGAAAGTTCCAACAGAGAGACGAAAGCCGCGTGTGTCGACTCTCGTTTTTGCCCAGGTGCATATCAGCTGAGCTCCCCGGAGAAGGAACCAGCAGCAGGTACCTCGTTACAAGCGGGGCCTTCGTACGTTGTTCGTTTGTTCGGTGCACTGCGAGAGAGAACGCGTAAAAGTTTTAATGCGCGTGATTTGGCGTTTGTTTCTCTCCCCGGAGAGGATTGCCGGCTCTGCTTTATGTAGGCAGGCAATATACCAGCACATTATATTATGTGGTGCACCTCCGCAGCTCTCACTCAAATCCGCTTTTTGACTCTCTGCTCGCGTTGAATTAATATGGAGCCTGGCGCGTGACATTCAAAATTTACGAGACGCGCCTTCGTCAAACATTGATGCCGTTTTTCCTCTCGTTGCTTTTTGCCAATTTGACTCGTAATGGTTCCTCATTACGGCAAAGCGATTTCCCTTCTATGAGTCCCTTAGTGGTTAGCAGTGTTGGCCGTAAAATGGACATTGTCAAACTCGATGAAAGTAAAATGTTAATGATTAATATGAGAAACATATAATTGCAAATTTTTTTCCGTTTCATAGAAATAAGCATATATTTCTATTTGATTTTGATAATATTGTTTAAGGCAAAATTCCGTGAAATTGAATTTTTCATAGTTTATAAGAAATTTTGTATGATTCAATAGGCATTAAAATTGATCATTTTGTAATTTCACTTTACTTCAAGCGATTTTTCTAAAATTTTCATTGGTCTCAATTAAACAACTGTTCTGATTTTTACTAATCTCCAGAAAACTTCCACAGTTTAACACTATTTGTAGAAACTTATTGTGCTTTTATCAAACAAAAATATCATAAAATTTTATATTTAATATGAAGTTGAACAGTAAGAAAAAAAATCAATAGAGACTTGTCATGTGAATCCATTTGGAACGGTTCCATTATATCAAATTTGATCTTTCGTCCGGACTCGAATCGAGCTGACTTTGGGAAAATCAATTTCCAGAGTGATTTGCAGCCAGCCAAGGCAAATTAGCGTCACACACTGCGGTCGCGACTCGACAGGCATATATTTGGTCCGCGTCCAAAACACGCGACCTTTGCGTCCAAAATGTCACGGCAGCTGGGCAAGGCGAGAAATCGAAGGAAAGAGAAATATTGGACGCAAAAATCTGTCAAACGCGATTTCGAGCCAAAGAGAGCAGACAGAATCGTCTCGCGTGTTACAAAGATCGGTTCAGCGAACATTTGGCGCATCATGTGCAGTGGCAGTTTTATGTAAGCAGTCGCTGAACCGAAATTTCTGCCGAGAGCAAACAGATTCATCCAAAGTCGCTTTTCGGCACGAACCATAGATTAACGCAAGGGCTACGCTTTTTGATATGGCATTAAATTAAGCAAGAGATGTACCGAGTCCTATATTTATGTGTTGATAAGTTTTCAGAGTAGAAATATCTAATAATTGTAAGTTCAGTTTGACGTCACAGAAATAAAAGAGAGGATTTAAGAAGATTATATTGGGAGAAAGCAAAGCAAACGTCAGTGTTACTTTTTATACAAACGGCTCACAAATCCGCGAATACGCAATGTCTGCTTTACGAAAAAAAGAAAGAAAACACGGCAAAGAGGTTTTTTTAGAGCCGTTTGCAAATATAAAATGAAATCTGTTTGTGTGGGAAATCGACTAGCTCTTTAAAGGAAAGGGACTTTGTGGATGAATTTAGGAAATTGCTTTTGATTATAATTAATAATTCATAAACTTTCAAAATTTTCTGAGAATATTTTTAATTTGTCTCATTATACTTGATAAATTCTGTTTTTTAATTTTTTTTTTCAAATTTGAGTTTTCAGTGAAAAAATTCGGATTAAAAATTTTGGTTTTTTCCATTTATTTGGATGAGTTCATGTTGCCCTAATTTCGAACCCAATGAAAATTCTCTTGAAACTAAAGATGAAGAATAAATATGTGACATTTGGCGCACAGCCAAATAATCCGACAATATCAATTTTCAAAACAATTCCATTCATTGGTCTTTTTGTCACAAACAATTTAGATAGATTTCATCATTATTGTTGTTGTTTATGTGTCCAATAATCATCACATTGTATAAATTCAAATTTTGAAAGCAATTTGATTAAGAAAATTTGTTGATCTGAGATAGTAAATTATAAATTAAATTAATCATAAAGCGAATACATCATTTGCCAAATATTTAATCTAACAAATATTTTAACTTATAAAAACTAGGAAAATATATTTCACAATAAATAGCAAAATAGATAATATGAAGGTTTTAACGTTATTTTTTATTCAATTGATGAAGATATTATGTATTAAAATGAAAAATATTACAAAAAAATAATTTTTAAAAATTGAAATAATATATTCGAAAAAATTATATTAAAAATAAATGTTTCAGATGCTTAAAATATTATGTAATAAAAATGTAATTAATACATTTATAATAATTTAAATGTATAAAAAATTACGATTTTCAATATTAACTTACTGAATGGCTCAACACATTTTGTACAAAATTAATGATCTTTTGAATCAAATAACAAAACATACCTTATATTGAAAGTGTGCTTCTAAAATTTTGAGAGCTGAAATCTGCCCTTCCTATGGTAGTGGATACATTTTCTATATAATTAGCATCTAAAATTAAAGCCAACTTAATTGAGACTGTTTTGAACTCATCCACTTTTATATGTTAACTTTATTTTACTAACAATCGGACAAATAAACAACAATATACTTTTTTAACCACTTCGGATCTATATAACGTCTGTTACAAAAAATGTAAATTATAGCCTCTACCCTACGAATGAAAATAAATAAGAGAATCTCCAGTTCGAACGGTTGAAAACAGGAAAGGGCAAGTAATAAGGGCTAAATATGGAGCTTATAATAAAAATAAGGACTGACCTCCTCCTCAGCCTGCGTCGTGTTGACGGAGTCCATGCTCTGGGAGAGCGCGTTGGTGGCGTTGGCGACGGGCGCGTCCATGGCTGCGTGGGGCGAGGGCGTCGAGCTGGAGTCGTCGAGGCCGTCCGACGCGTACGAGGCGAGGCGCTGCTTCTTGGACACGGCGTCCGGCGACGGCGCCAACTGGTGCTGGTGCAACAGACCGCTCTTGTCCGAGGACACTATGGTGGCCGCCGTCGTGAAAAAGGTGCTGGCCGACGCCGGGGGGCTGCTGAAGATGCTGCTGCGCTTGAGTGCGGTGCCACCAGCCGCGGGGTTGCTCGCACCGCTCGACGTGAAACTCTGAATCGCAGGTGCTGGGGGCAGAAAAGGCGGTTCTAGTGATGAGGCCAGGACGATCAATTTTCAAGGCTCATGTGCGAAACAAACAACTGCGTCTTCCTCTGGCTTGCTTGCGCTCAACAGTGTCCGCTGTGCACCCGTGTGGCACGCAGACGACCAGCGAGCGGCAGATTCAGATTCTCTTCGGTGCAAAACCGTGTGGACAGTTTCACTCACTGCTTCGATTTGCTGTGCGGCTAAAACAGAAGAAAAGCCAAATACATTATTCCAATGATCGATGCATTTCAGTTTGTTCAAAAATTTTGATTGATTAATTAATAAATATATTTTCAAAGTTCTTAATGTGAAAAAGGCTTGGAAATAAGATTAGTAAGTGAAAAAATATGGAGATAATTTTTTACATCAAAATTTATTGATTAAGACTTACTTAGTGGGAAATAATTATCAAGAAACGGAAATAGTTATATGATAATTCTAAAAATATATGATTGTAGGTAAAATTTTATTACAATTTGGGTGTTCAAGGGAAAAATTATCAACATGCGGCCAAAAGGGGTGAAAAATAATATTATCATAGGTTCTAAGATCACAATTTTAACTAATATTGAGGCATAATTATACAGGCTTAAAGCTGGATAATTCAATTTCTTTTATTACATTTCATTGTATCTGAATGGAGAATAAATTCATATATAAATAAATAAAATGATATAATTAATATAGGGGACCGCCTATTTTTCCCATTCCTAATGTAAAAAGAAAAAAAAACGAATTAATTCATAGTTAAACAGTTTAAATGTTTTACTTCATTTGAAATCAATAAATATTACTAAATTATTGTGGAAAACACCAGTTTTGGCCACGTGAGAATCAATTTCAATCAACGTCAAAAATTAATGGAGCTGCCAAATGCATCTCATTCCGTACTTGATGAATAATTGAAAATCAGCCCGGCCACAAAATTTGGGCACTTGTTTTTTGCCTCGACGGCTTGTTAGCGGTGTACAGAAAACTGCTGGCGTGCAAACATAACTACTAAACTTCTTCTCTCTCAACTCGCTCTTCGGAACCAAATGAAAATTACGTTTGCTGCATAATTAATTAGCCCGTGCGGAGGCCGCGTGTGTATGTGTGCGCGTCGCTAGGAAACAAACTTTTGAGGAGGCATCTCCATTAAAAAGTCGCGAAACATTAACTTCAGCGAGGCAAAAGGGAGTTTAGCGCTTTTCATCACCGAAGAATAATTAAAAAGTTTGCGAGCCCAGAGAGTAGAAGGCGACTCATGGCTGTCGGAGGGAGGAATTGTTTGGGCGAGAGAGTGAAGTGACTCGAAGAAAGTGCGAGTGAAGAGGGAAAATATGCCACAGAACAAGAAAGGAAAAGACAGACCAGAGTCTACTCTAAGTTTAATGACTGGGAACTATAACTTATTAAACCTCATTATCAAACTTTACAGTTGCAAAATGAAGTTTATTAAACTGGAAAAAAACTCCTTTTAATTTTGTTTAAAATTTATCTTGAAATTCATTATAAAAGAAGATTTTATATAGAGAATTATACCATTATGATTCCAAATATGATATTAACAAACAAATTTTTGCTCTCACACGAAAAAATAATCAAGAAAGCAAGGAATTCTTCTTTTCTCCAAAAAAATATATTTTTTATTGATGTGAATATTTTTAATTTACAATCCAATTTCAATTTTCTACCAAGAGTTTTTTCAATTTAGTATTTAATCATTATGATGTTTTAAACTGCTGAAATTTATTTGCTTAATTATTATTATAATATGAATGAATTGATTAATGTGATTGGTGTGCAAGTTGAACGGATTCTTAGAAATATCTGTGTATGATTATTATTCCCAGATTGGGACTTAAAAAGAAATTAAAATAAAAAATTAACAAAATTAGTAATAATAATTTCAAAGAAGATAACATGATACATCTTGTTGAAATATCGATATTTTAATAAAAAAAGATCAAATTAAATAAAGTATTCAAATGAAGTTATTAAATAAATAAAGAGTTTCAGAAATATGTTTATGGAAAGTTTTTAAATGATACTTTTTCGACAATTTTGCTACAATAATAATAATAATAAAAAAAATATGTTTTTAGTTGAAGCTATTTCATTGAACTAGAGAATTGTAGCACGAAATGGCTCAACTGGCTGTACAGTTCACGGCCTAGCCGCAAAATTCGTTTAAATCAAACCGAATGCTCGGAACCACAAAGTGTGCTTTGGATAGATGAGAGAGCAGAGACGCTTTTTACAATCAGAGACAGACAGAGAGAGGAGGAAGCGGGCGGCGTGTAATTCCTCATCAAGCCACGGGACGCTTGATGGCTTGTGTGTGTGTTTTGCGCTACTCTTCTTCATGCACCGAGTCGGCCCTTAAATATTTGATACACACACGGGCATAAAGCACCGGTACGGCAGGTGCATGGTGTGGCGGTGTTCGCCGGCCCGGTTGCCTAGCAACCGGGGGTGGCTCGGGCTGGCCTGTTTGGCGCACGGCCAAGCCGCCCCTGTACACAGTATCTCGGGGGAAGCAGGGCGGACGAACACAAAACTCTACTCTTCGCTTCTGTCACCAGCCAGCCGGCCCAATTCTTTTGAATTATTCGCGTGTGTGCCGCAAGACGTATAAACGCGCGAGACAGAAAAAAATTCGCACACGACTAAAAAAAATAATGCACTCGCGCAAAAAAAAACACGCCTCCTCCGGGGGTGAAACTCGAGTCCTCGTAAAATATTTATGGAAAACAGACGCGCACCTTAAGAGAAAGAGAGAGAAAAAAGGGAGGGAGAGGCCATATTCATATTTTTCACGAGTCCTCCATTATGTCCCGGAAAATAAATTGAATTTTAAGAAGTGCGTAAGTGCAGCCCAAATTTGCATTTACTTTCCTATTTATTTTTACGACACGGGGAAAATTGCGAATGAATTTTTTTTCACTTTCGGGGAAGTGGAATTTTTTAATTTTAGCGAATTTTACTAGCCTGATTTACGCCTGGTTGTGAGTGATTCAAAGTAAATTTATTTCTTTTTTTAAGTGATATTTCATGTTTTAAAATAGAAGGCAGAGAAAAATAAATCAAAATTTATTATTTAAAATTTATAAAATTAGAAAAAAATTTATGAGGATTTTCCTAGATAATCATCCCAAGTTGACGGAATAAAATTTTAGGATAGCTCGACAAAATTTTCATTCAAAACTTTTTGATATAAAAAAAATTACAGAGGCACCTTAAGCCTTTTTGTTCGCAAATAGGGGTGGTTGATTAATTAATTTTTTTTTGCAGTTCCACTGCTGCGGCTGCCGGAGGATGTGGAGGATGTGGCTGGCAAGGGATATATAATAAAAGTGTGCGGTGTGAGAACGGCAGCCCAATTGACGGCCGGAGCAGAACGAAATCGATATATCATGTTTCGGGTGCACAATGCTCGGGCGACGGCACCACCGCTGCTTTGATCCACTTCATTTTGGTGCCAAAGTGGTGAACAAACACCTGCCTGCACACACACGCACGCACGTCGCCTTTTTACGCACGCTCGAATTGCACTACCCCTTTTGTAACGCGGCACCCCCTGCAAATTCGCGCAGGAGCTTTCAGCGAAATTGAGTTCTAATAATATACGTGTGTCCCTCGGCGACTGCGTAAATTGAAAAAATTCGCCTGGTAATGCGCGTGGATTTGTGCTACCTTAATTTAATTTTGATGGTGATTGATTGTAATCAAAATTCTTTTTTGTCAAAGTGGGAAAGGTTCAACTTTTGTGGAAAGCAAAATTCAAAGGGAGTATAGTACATGAAAGTTTGGCTTGAAAAAAAATGAATAGCTTCCAGAAGATTTTGTAATCAATTGTTGGTAGATAATATCAATTTTTTTATTTTATTTTTAAGGAAAATATAATAATTAAAAAAATTCATGATCCATTTAAAAATGATTAATTTGTGTTATATTCAATAAGGAATAATTAAAAAAAAGTGAATGAAATAACGAATACCAGAATGGCACCTGCCTCTGCACCTTTTTGCATCAAGAGTATACTTTGCTTTTCGCAAATTGATAGTGTGTGGGGAAATATAACCGGACTCCGGAGTCCCATAATAAGTATGTCCTAATGCATAACTAGCTCGAACGGAATTCCCCCTAATGGGGGTCCCACTCCAAATGATGATTTATAAACTTCGGCACGCAAGAGAGAGTGCAGCCCGACAACCCCTAAAAACCGATCATCTTTGTCCCCCCTTATATCCAACTTTGAGAAGAACACATTAAATCTGCGACGTGATTTCATATGCATGCGTATACATGTTTTTCCATCATCTGCGGGCCTGCAACTTTTGCCCTCACTCAAACAAAAAGCGACCGAGCTCGCTAATTCAATTTGCGAGTGTCCCTCGAGGGCTTCGGCCCGAAATCTGCCTCTGAAAGTTGGAAACTTCTTCTCTTGGCCAAAGTTATATCGGTGTGTATGTGTGTGCGTTTGCAATAAAAATTAGCTTGGGATGGAGAATATGGTTTTAACAATTTAGCCGGAAAATAATTTGAATGTATTATTATCATAATTATATAATTTATAAACTTAAATGACGAAGTTTTGGAATGAATTTTTTGATGAAAAATTATTCTCCTGATGGCACCCATATTGAAAAATTTGTGCAAGTTTTCACATAAAATAGCCTATTTAAACATTTTAGCCAAAAACGTCGTTAAATATTAAATTTTTATGTACAAAATAATCGGCTATTCCACCAAAAACCACCTATTTTTTCCCCCAAAGCCTATTAAATAAATAATAAACTATTTATTAATTGGAGTGTTTTGTTGATTCAATCGCAAGATAAATAGAAATTGCGGTGATTTAGTTCCACAGACATGTTCCGTGCGGTGTTCGCGCGGTTGCCGGCCCTAAACCGATGACACCAGGCAGATGGTCGCACCAATTATGAGCTTCTGCCCGATCAATTAAATCCATTCAGCGAGCTATGATTGGAATTATCGCGGTCGTAACCGGCCGCTGGGAAAGAGATCAGATGTGCGCAGCCAAGCCGGAAGTAAAAAATGCGGAATATCAATTCGGATATGAAAAAGAGCTCAAGTTCAAAAGGAATTTTTTATTTTTTTATTCTCTGCTGAAACGATCAGACAAATTAATTGGATTGCCGTCTGACAAATTGATTGGCCACTTCACAGAGTTTGAAAGAACATTTTTTTAAATAGTAAAAAAGGCGAACTGTGAGGTGGGAGTTAAATTTGATTAAAAAGCCAAGGTATGTGAAATTCATCAGTGGAATTGATTCAGTTGAGAAAATTAGGTTTCTCATAACAATATTGATTGACTAAAAGAGGGGAGTTAGCATGAACATACGAAATATAGAGATGCAAACCGTGGCCGTGACTGGTTAAAAGCCTTTTTCAATTAAAATTTTCAATTAAATCAAAAGTCCGTATTTTTACTTAAATTCTAATTCAATTTTAACTAATTCATCAAGAATGTGGCGAGCAAAGTCAATTAATGAATATTTATTAAAACTCTTTAAAGATAATTAATTTTGTTATTTTGTAATTCCTGATTTAGAATGAAATTTTTTCCATAGTTTGTTTCATCATGCAAAAATTCAGTTCAGGCAGTTTCATAAAATATTAATAAAAAAATTAAACACTTGCTCTTTCAGCTTTCATTTTATAATTTTTTTAATAAATCAATACAATGCAAAGAGCAACGGAAAAAACGGATTATCATCGTTGAGGTTCGTTTGTATTGAAAACACATCGCTTTGCAGACACGGATTGCTCTTTTCATGGCAAAAAAAAATCAAAAATGTAAATTTTCAATTAAATTACCTCAAAACAATAGAAGTTTTTTATCTCACTTAATTTGAATTTAATTAAATTTAGAGCGAGTGATTGAACTCTAAAAAAATGGCATAATATTCTTTTAAAAATCCAATTAAGTATTCACAATTTTAAATATCTCCTTAACAGTCAACCCGTTAACCTGTACCAGATAAAAAACCCTTTCATGAGTTTCTAAGGAAATTGAATATCTAAGACGAGCAAATCATTTTTTTAAATCAGAACAATTAAATTAAATTAAATTAAATTTTCGCGATAGGGCGTTTTCCGCAATTAAATCAACTAGGTTTAGCCTCTAGGCGTGTGGGTCGAGCGTGACCCTTGGCGTGAGAGCGTGACCCCGGTGAAGTTGGGTGGTGGTTTCGTGTGTGGGGGTGGCGAATTTCTCTCACCTGGCCCTGAGCGAGAGAGCAGCGTGGGTGGTGGCGAGGGGCCGCGAGCGCTCGTCGGGTCACTCGGGCGCCGCTGGCCGCATAGTGTGTCCGGTCGGTGCCTAAGAAGTCACAGCAGCAGCAGCAGCCAACACTCGCACTCTCTCGGACAGCAGCGACAGATGTTGAATCCGCAACCGCCTTTGCCCGAGTGCAAATCTCGCAGATCGAAAGCGGGCGCGCGAGCGGCGCCTGCGTGCCCCGCCGATCGAACCCCGCACAACCCTCGAGGGTTGCATGGCCGCCCCGCCTGCCTATCAGCCCCTGCGTGCCCTCTCTCCGCGATAAGGGGAGCGATCGACGCGACTGCGATCATTTTATTGCCCGACGACTTAATTGACGTGATTCACACGTGCTGCTGCGGCGCCCCGAAGAGAAGAGAAAAGCGTAACGCGACGAGGGTGCCGCCTCGCCTTTATGACATTTTCGCCACCGGCCGAATCGTCTCCAAATTTTATATTCAAAGGACTAATCGGAAAATTGGAAATCATAAAAATGTGTAGTTAAAAAAATTGGATTAAATTTTTTTATTTTGGTCTCTGAATTTCTGAAGAGATGAGATTTAAAGTTCTGGCTGTTTGAAATTCACAGCCCCTTTTGAAGAATCTTCTGAATTTTAGAAATCGAATGGGGCCAAGCGCCAACATATTTATTTTATTTTAGCTATGAGGCTTCACAAATTATAAACTGATTATACTAAATTTTTGTAACCAAGTGTGAATGTGACGAGTGGCTGCCTCAAAATATGTACTGATTTTTTACTAAAATGAAATAAATTCCCAAAGATAGTTTTAAGGGGTATTTTGCTGCAAGTTAATATATTTATATTTTGTTGTTACAATAAAGCATAATTAACGTTTTATTTTATTTTATACGAAAAAATTCTTTAAAATAACGTAAAAAGTATAAAGTCTATAAGTTATGTTTTAAAGATTTCATTAGAGTAATTTAATGATGTTGCGTGTTTGTAAAATGCACTTTTGTTAATTATTTTATATTTAGCATAGACAGTACAACGAATTATTTTAGAAAATAATGCAATGGTAATGCGATTTTTCAAGCAGCCCATGAGCCCGCCTTATAATGATCTTAATTTTACTACCAAATGAGCATTACCAAAAGTAGATGAATGTAAAGAAGATTGTATTGCTCTGATATACGTTAAATGCAGCGTCAGGCAGATAATCAATTATCAAATTAGCAGGCGGACGGCGCCAGATCGGAACTGACAAGGGCCCCCGTGCTTTGCTTCTCTCGTCGCATTTGTGCATCGAGGAGGGATCGGCAAACAATAATCAAACACACGCGTCGTGCGAAGGGCCTTTATCGAGCAATATTTCACCTGCGCGCCCGTCATTAATCAAAGTGACTTATTAAGCTAAAAGCCTCCGTTCTTGACCAGCAGCAAAAATACTTTTCCATAACCCGCATCGCAATGTAGGTTATGTGCGAAATCAGGTTTCGCCATAACAAAAGCAGGTGATGAGAAAAAATCCGGCGGAATTCACGCGTTGATAGCGAAAGTTTTGCGTTCGTGCGAAATGAGAATTTGATTTTAATAAAATTATATAATACGGACCAGTTTCAAGTTTGTGACCCACTGAGTGAGAGAGATGAATTCAAAGCAAAAAATTAATTTTGTCCAGCTCGACCCGAACCAGGTGACGTCACTGCTTTGTGCAGAGGCTGCATGGGAAAGTGGAATTCATAATCAGTAACGAAAAAGCTGTAGTGCTCTTATTAAAAAATATTAAAACCATATAAATTTATTTCTTTATCAAGAAGTTCCAAGAAAATTTCAATTTTTAATTGTAATTATCTTTTTCATAATAATAAAAAAAAATATTTCCATGAACTGATTGTGAGGTCAGTTTGTATTATTTTTCCTTTGGTGGATTGCGTTTTGTCTATTATTTTTTCAAACATTGTGTAATTTGTTCCGAAGCAGCAGTACTAGCAGCGGAACGGCACCGCAAAGGCGAAACATTTCCATGGCAACTGTCTGTATACAATATGCAGGCGTTTGCACACGACAACGCAAACCCTGCAGCGAACGAACGAACGATTCAATTTGTTGGAATCAATTTCGAATTCATCGACCTGCGATTTGAGGAGATAATGGTTATTTCTGGCTTTTTAATCCTCTACCAATCTTAAGAGGAAAACAAAAGTACTTTTGTTCTTCTCCTAATTTATTTTTGTCCCTAGGTTTCTGGCTCCTGTTTTGCTCAATCTAATTATTTTCAGCGCATAACAGAGAAATCTAATTCACTTAAAATTACAGTTCAAGAATAAATTGATACCGAAAACAAATAAATAAAAATTGCAAAAAAAAATGTATACTCTGTACTAGATCAGCATTAAAATCATAAAACATTTATACCGCATTTTAATCATTTTAAATATTTTGGATAAGGAAATTTGAGCTTTAAGTGTCAGGCCGATTAAAATGTGCTTGAAAAGCATTGTGGAAATTGCGAGTCGTCTGCTAAAAATGCGCTGATGAGCGAACATCCTGTCTTTGCGGCGAGCAGCAGACTTTGTCAGTCGCGAGTTTGCTGATGTGAACGACGAGAGACGCGCCGAGGCCTCTCTAGTCCGCGGCTAAATAATTATTATCAAGCGCAAAACACAGCCGCGTGCGAAAATCGACGCGCAGCCTTGCAGAGAGAGAATTTAGCAAATTGCAGCCTCGCGGAAATCCACAAATTAAACCATTTAAAGGATTGAAATATTTCAAACGTTAAAATGAGAGGGATAAATTCAAAAGTCTAAAATATCAAAAAATGTACTGAAAGTATAATAAATTTAAAATTGCCGTAAATATTTTCAATACTTATCTATTACATTATTTTAAATTTTTAAATTTTTTTAAATTTTTTAATGCATGCATGAGGTAATTGGGCGGTGAATACAGATACTAAGCACAAAGTGGCACAAAGCAACAAAAACAATTTTTTTTATCAAAAAATTACTCAAATATAATATTTTGTTTATATTATAAAAAAAAAATTAAATACTTATTTTAAAATATAATTTTTTTTTCATATTTCTGATTCTTATTTAAACACTATGGTTGAAATCAAATTTAATTTATTTCAAGGATATAATTACATTTCAGCCATATTATTTTGTAATTAACTTTCCTTTTATATATTTATATAAAAGATTAAACAAAAGCTTGTGTTCTTTAACGGAATTAAGTGAAATTGTAATTCAATTGGACAAACCTGATGCTAATCACTCATGTTCGGGTGCGTTGGCAAACGTGAGCTGTGAGTCCGCGAGTGAGAGGTGCTGCTCGTGCGATCCACCGACTGACTGAGTGACCGGCCCAGCGAGCTGCGCCAACACAAAAACGACATCGCCACCACCACCTGCGTTTTTACCTTGGCTCTTCCGCTACTCACGCCACCAAGCGTAACAACATCACGCTGCCTGCCTGCCGCTTTTTATTATTATTATTTTCGGTCGCTCTCTCGCGCTGCTTTGGCTATACTTCTGATATCAAACTCAGAACGCGGCCAACAAGGCAGCAGCGCCGCCTCGGCGCGACCGCCCGCACTCTCGTCTTCCCATTGTTCTCCGCTGCTGCTTTTGTCTCTCCTTCGCAAGGTCTCTCAGGGTGCACGTGTCCCGCCGGCCGATGTGCGGGTGTCTCGGGTTGCACAATTCTGATGAGACCTACATTGCAAAACCGGATAACACCCTTTCTCTTCCCGACTGCACTAGCATCAGTGTCACAGATCAAGAAAAAAACCCATTCAAAGGTTAATTCGAGGTGAAATATATCATTTTTTAGAAATCTTGACGAAAAATCTTATCTTGCTTAAAAAATCTAATATGAAGCCTTCTTCAAGCCAGAATTGAACACAGAAAAATCAAACACAAAAAAAAATGCCCAATTAATTTTGATGGTATACGCAGAATTATTTTGCAGATTTCATGCGAAAAATTTATGATGACTCTGGAGAACTGAATTTATGAAAATCATTGTATTATTTAGAAATGTTCTTTAATTTCTTTCAAAATTGACTAACTAAAATTGATGAAAATCGTCACTACAATTAGGTTTGTTGAACCTAAGTTTTGTTTTGTTTTTCTTACAAATAATGAAATTATAACTTGATTTCTATAATGAAAATATAATGAAGAATAAACCATATTCCAAATTATATATAATTGTTTTAAACACAAGTTTTCCCCGATAACTCAGTAAGAAATCACAATTAGATTAAAAAAGAAAATCGGCCTCCTTTACAAAAAATGTTTGAAACGTATATAATTCGCTAAGCGTGTTTGTCAAGAGTCAAGATATTGCCCATTATGCATTTATTTCATGACCCTTGCCTTCAAAATTCCGCAACACGAGGAATTTCTAGAATTGATTTTTACAAAAATCGGAGCCCATTAATTATTGAAGATTCGCATCTTTAAGTTAAATATTAGCATTATTGGGAAATTTTAATAGAAAAAAAAAATTATAAAAAAATTTGTCAATAAGTGCATTTTATTGATTTTACACATATATATTCTGGTGTGATGTCGTACCAAACAGGTACCAAACATATTATTTTTTGTTATTGTAATGACCAATTTCAAATTTAACACAAAACCACACGCTCCTTGATGTTGTATTCCAACGTCGTACAAATTATTTGAGACACAAAGGAAAGTATCATCCAACACTCTGTGAATTACACAAGTAAATTTATTCCTAAAATGTACGCAATTTCCAACAAATAAAAATAATTATAAAAAATAAGAAGTGGCAGGAGTCGTGCAAGAAATATTTGAATGATTTTTTTTGTAAATAATAATTATGATTGTAGCCTGTTTCTTTGATAATTTTGTAATGCTCACGTGCACGTAATTTCACCAGTATAAAATTACCTTTTTTAAAACAAATTCTGTGCAAAAATATTTTAACTCTTACCTTTGGTGTTGTTGTAGTAAGACTTGGATCCTCTTTCACAGAGCATTTAGCGGTGTTAAAAGAAACTGGGTTACAGAACATTCGGGGCCCTACAATCCAATGATATTTAAACATACTTTCAAACATAACAAAAGATTTTAAATAATAAAATTTGAAAAATTTGACTTACATGGGCATGGTATAGTGACCATTGGGCTACTGCCAGCGGACAGGCAACTAGCAATTGTATTTGTGTTAACGCAGAATGCTCCTCGACTCTTGCACTTGAATGAAGGTGAACCTGAGCGTTTGTTTAAGTCAAAACTTCTGCTTTCCAATTCAACATCGACGCAATCTGGAACCTTTAATTTGGAATTCACTCATTCACTGTTGTAAAAATAATGTGAACCAGATATTTCAACTAAAGTGTGAAAAAACAAACCACGAAAAAATGTGAAAGAACTTTTCTTTTAAAATTGTGGGATAGAACTATCTTGAAAACATTATCTTTGTTAAATAATAATTCATAAAAGGTTTAAAATTTCAGTTTTCAGTTGATCACCTACCTTGGACAAAACAAGGCAATACATCAATGTGTGTCAAAGGACAAAACATACAATTTGCCTAGTCACACAATTAAGGTAAACGTTTATTTTTTAATTAAAATTTCTAATTTGAAATCCTATAGTCCCTTCATATATTTCTCAACCAGTGAAGATAAAAGAAAAAGTGAAATACTAACCAATTCAGCCGGTTTGCATGAATTTGAGATCTTCTCGAATGCGTGGCCTTTTGGGCATGATTTAGCATATATCGGGACAAATTTCCCTTTTTCAGAAACGCAGACAACCATTGCTCGGCAATGATAAGGATGAGGCTGAACTCCATCTCCTGAACACTCGTACCTAATTTAAAAAAACTTCTATAGGCTCTATTATCATAAATTGATGGAAATCTGCACCCTTTGAGGTTACTGATGCCGATTTCAAATTGTTCGTTCGTTGAACAGACCTAATGAATAAAAATTATGAATTTTAATTATCAAAAATCCTGCTATCAACCAACCACCGAGATAACTGCTGCCAAGAAACAAACAACCGTAGTCGTGGACATCTTCGATACAACTGACAGTTAATCTGTGTATTCAAGGCGGTTATATACCCAAATTGAAGGAAATTCACCATTGTTTTCTCCGCCATTAAATAGATATAGAAGAAAATTCATTTCCTGTTAAACACTTGAACTCTCAACTCATTAATTGCACCTATTACGGATAATTAGCTTCGGGGAAGCCTTTTGTGCAAACTTGTTAAAAATAGTTGACAGATAATTGGCTCTGTTTAAACAAAATGAGAGGTCATTCAGTTTTGTTTTGATTCTTTTCCATACAAATCTTGGTGATATGAATTTATATAACAAATCAACCCTCCATCGTGAAATTCTAATTAATTATTTTTCTCGTTGTTGAATGAGTCCAATCATCATCAATTGTTTACGTCGAAAAGTTGGGAAAAGGTAAGTAAAAAAAAAAAATATCGTAAAATAAAATCACTAGCAAGAATTTTGAATGTTTAATATATCAATCAATATCAATTAAATCAAAAGTTATTATAACTCCACAAATGGTTACATTCAATTGCATTGATTTTATATTTAATTAAAATTATTTGCTATATTGCATACGGAATAATAAATAAAATTTTGAACGATTGTAGCCCATTTTTTTCCTCCATGGATAGAAATTGAAAGCAATAAGGGCTCTTCTTCATTCATAAATATTACATACAAACAACGCTTTTTGGTGATCATTTAGTTTTACATTAATCATGCAGTACTCGCTTGGAGTGCAAAATTATTTTTCTTTTGCTTTTTATTAACAGTTTGGTCGAAAAAATATATATTTTTACTAAACAGTTCATGCCGTCCAAAGTTCATTCAAGGTGACAAATTTTTATTGTGGCTATTGCAAAAAGTCTTCATTTACATAACTTGAAAGCAGCTAATTCAAAAGCAAATAATATAAAATAAACTGTAATTTATAAAATGCAAAATTGTTATAAAACAGTTCATCTTGGATCTTGGCGGAGGGCATCAACAAGAGTGTTGCTAATAAAAAGACATAAATCTGTGTTAAGCAAGTGCGCCGAGAAGGTTGGTGTGCTCCCAGCGGTGGCATAATGACTGATTTACCCCATTAGCGCCCTCTGCGCTTCACAAACACTCCTCTTTTCATTAAATTTAGTGGTTTGCTCGCGCAAACTTTCAAGTTGACTCTATTACATATCGTGTGCTCTTACTTACTTAGTATCTTGCATTTTGGCTCACCAAAATTCAGGTGAAAAGGTTAAAACATTTTATAAGCATTTAAAAAAATTTCTTATTTCATTAAAAACAATTATACCTACTACTAATATGGATATTTCATACCAAGGTACATTCAGAACTTAAAATAAGGATCTCTTTTTAATCAAAAAATAATAGTTATTTTCTGACTTATAAAGAAAAGTTCCACAAAAGCACCGCCTTGAAATAGCGCAGGTTTGAAGGGCCCTTTTGGTTGCAACGCTCGATACCTCTGAATGTTTTATATGCAGAGACGGGGATCCTATCCTACCCTCCTCATAATTCTCTCTCGTCTTGACTGCTACAGTCAAGTTGTGAATTGAAAACCGGAATTTTATCAGCCTTATATTAATTGCAGTTCTTTGTCAGGGGAGAATATAAAGTGCCTTCTTGCATCCTTCTCACTAATGTAAAATAAAATTTAAAATCTATCAATCAAAAATTGCAGGAATTACTTTTATTAAATTGACGCCTGTTAAAAAAATTGAAGTAGGATAATTGAATAGAGTTTTGTTTTCATTTAGAGTCAATTTGGAGTGAAAATAACACAATATCCAAATATTTTTGTCCGTATTCTTCTTGCTTGATAAACCTGGAAAAAAATTAAGTGAGGATCTGGTGAAGATAATAAAATTAAAGAGAATTGCATTTTTTTTTAATACTTTGCATATAAATAGCTGCATGTATACATTTATTTACTTTCTGTGAAATCAAGAGAAAAAATAAATAAAATGTTATTGTTTTTATTACCTGTGAAAGATTTTTAACTAAAGAATTTATTGCATAAATTTGAACAATTTCAGCGGCTGTTTGTTGGGTTGAGTTTATTATCCTAGAGCTAGACTGATTGTGAGGATTTGGTGGATGCGCGGGTGGGTGCGGACAACAAAATAATTGGTGCTCACTGCCGCTTGGCACTTCCGTTTCCGCGAATTAATGCCGAGGAGGCGCAACACAATATGGACAGACGAGCGCGGCCGCACCCCAACGAAACACAATTACATCTGCACGGGGCATGACGCTTAAGTGCCGTCATCGCAGCGCACATCATCGAGTTCCCCATAAAAATAAAAAAGCACGCGACTAATGGAGGGTGAAATATGCGTCATCTCGTTTACTAAATTTCACTCGCCCAATTATACAGCCTGGGCCAAACAGAGCTATTATCTGAATGAGGGTGTAAAAAAAATAACTCCATCTAACCTTTAGCCTAATATTGCCATATGAGCGAAAGCACTTATTAATTTATACACAACTTTAAGAATTAAAAATGTAATATATCGATTAAAAATTTTCACGATGATGATGCTCATTGAAACAATTAAGGGTTGATTTAAGCAATAGCTATCAAAATACTTATTAATTAAATATTCTTGCTATTTATCATGAATTTTGTAACGTGTTTTATTCTTAAACTGGAAACTTTTAGCTTTTGGGAAATACGAACGAATGTTTTTCTTCATAATGAATATTATGCACATTTCAGCTGTTTTGGTTCAATAGCTTGTTTTAAGAATTCAGGCACAGGTAAAAACCAAAATCCTATTTGAGAGCTCAGAATTCTCAAAATTTCATATTGATTTATGCAATCAAAAAAGATCGATGATTTTTTAAATCACTTTTTTGCATGCAAATACCAACAAAAATATATTGTTGGTCAATTTCAAATTTATAATTTGATTTCAAAATTTTTGTGTTTTCAATTAATAAATGGCTAGTTAATAAAATAAAAAACACTTCAAAATTGCTATTTTTATTCTCTAGTTTGATCTCCTACACTCGCCCTTTGACTTTGAAAATGAAGAGAGTAGAAAGATTTCCGTCCGCGAGTCGATGAATGACCCTAATAATGCAGCGCCCCAGATTGGAAATGGGCCGCGTTTGCATTCAAGAACACTTTTTATCTTTGCGGGTGGTTATTTACTTGTAATGCGATTGCACGTAAACAGCACATAGAGTACACGCAGAACGACGAAAACGCTGCTGCCCCACCCTAGCCGTGTACATACAGACCTGCAGGTCATTTGGGGGAGTATAATATTTTGGTGACATGCGAACTGCGAGTGGTATTCATAATAAAAATAATGGCGCGGCACGCGATTTCATTATTATTAATCGTAAAAATGCGCTGCCGCCGGCTTTTCTCGTTATATAAATATATATTTTCTGTGTTTTATGATTGAATTTGGAATGAAGCGAATGAGGGAGCGAATAAAGGGCTGCTATTAAGTCGGTGCGCATGATATATTGCCAAGCATTGCTGAAAAGGCATTCTTCAAAAAGGCGCCTTTGCTTCAAGTAGTGCACTACTGGCAGAGTAGCATTCTATCGGTATTCTCTTCTTATTATTTATTTCTACTTTAGATAAAATATAACCACAAAGTGTAACTAAAACTGATCGTGCTGAGATAAATAAAAGCAGCCGAGTTCACCATTTTTCCTAAAACCATAATAATAATAATTATGTTTTAAATTAATAATCAATTCCAAATACAACATACGTCAGAATTATTTTGGAAAACACCTGTTTATTATCAAACTAATATGAATATTATTATTATTAATTTGCTTTTTTAATTTTTACACTAACTATAGTTTTGAAAAAAATCGCAGCAGCCAAATAAACCTAATAAATAATTATTATCATATCTTTCATGAATGTGCTTAATTGTCAATGTGTTTCATTTAATGAAAAAAAATAACGCAATACAATATTTTGAATTTGTTATAAATTATTATATATTTTTTCATGTTGCTGTTGGCTACAAATCTAACAAATTAAGATAATCTTAAAAAATATTGTGTCCAATTTATTTTTACCTTAAATGAAATTATCTCCAAGATTGTACTTCTAGAGAGGAAAATCAATTTAAAATTCAATTCATACTCCTTTTTCTTTCAAACTATATGCTAATAAAAATTACCCATTTATTTGCTAAAATGGTAATTTTAACTGACGTGTAGAGTTGAAATTTAATCGCTTTTGAAATTACTTTGAAGAAAGTTGTAATTATTTTTTTAACAATTTGGGCATACAATTAATTCTGATAACTTCGAGGAACTCTTCCTCACCCCTCATTACTTTTGCGTGACATATATATTAAATGGAGGAAGCGCCTCAATTTTGAAAGTTAATGACGGCAATTAAAATTATCAGCAGGACATTTTTTCTGGAAAAAGGTCGACGCAGTTAACTTTGGCCAGCGGTCGCGGCGTCTTCTGATTGGAGCACGTTGTTGCTTCGTGTTGATGGAAATTTTCCACGTGTTTTTTAAAAAGCACTTCAAGTTTGAACGTAGAAAGGGAGGAAATGTTTAAAATAATTTAATAAAGTATTAAAAAAAGAGGTGGTTAAGTTTTGATACATTTTATTGTTGGTCACGCGGGCAGCTTAAGCGTTCAGGCGGCTGTGCGTTATGCTCTGAGGAACAGACTGTGAGCAAAATGCTTGCATTTGAAGCCTATGTGCACGATAAAGAGGATGGTTGAGCGAACTGGACAATTACCGGAAACGCTGTTATCATATTATTTCCTGCGTGCACAATCACGAAATGAGAAACTTCATGATGCGGACGTCATGAAACTAGACTACTGTTTGTTTGTGTTAAATGAAATTTCGTGCCGAACTAAAATTAAACTCATCTGAAGTTTTCATTTTCTGGAAAGTTGCTAGAATAGGAAATTTCGAGACTTAAAAACGAAAATAACTTTTCAAATCTGAAAAGAAAATGCAAATTGTTAGTAAAACTGGGAACATTAAGTCTTTTGAATTTTGATTATTAAAACAAATTTTTTCCTTTTAACCCTGCGCCTCTCTTTATTTCAAAACGATTTTCAAAATATTAAAAAATAACGAAAAATAAACAGAATTTTTGTATTTACCTTAAAATATAAACAAAAAATTTATTAATTACTTAATTATCAATACGCAAAATATTAATATTTTCTTTAATTATTATTTGATTAATTTAATATTAATTTTATATCCAATTTTCTGTATTTATTGTAGTTTTTAGAATAAATCTTTAGCATTAAACATGTAGGATACACAATTCCTAAATTAAAAAAGTAGCTATTTTTTAAAAGCACGCTTACTTTTCTTAATTGCCAACATATACATCAATTTTATTTGATTTTATTGATGGAGACAAGTTATGCACCCTGCTAGGCACAGCTGGTTGCAGGCGCTGCATAGCTTCCAGCTTCTCTGTCAAGTCTTCTGTGCAAACGTTTAAATTCAATTCAATTCAATTCAAAAAATTAAAAAATTAAAAATTATGATTTTATAATTTTTTTATGGAACTGGTCACATTGTTTCTTTTTCGCAGATAATGGATTCAAGCCGACCCAGATACCCAAAAAACTCTTGGAGAAAAAGCAGCATTTCTGTGAAAAGTATTCTGGCTGTTCTGCATAATTTGTCCATTTTTCGGCCGCTTATTTAACATATTGGCTGCTTATCGCGACCAATAAATTGGGAAACGGAGAGGAGTCGTCGGCGTTTCACTTGCTCGGCGCGTGTCTGATTTATTCCTCGGCGGGTTAATCTTATCGCAGACAATGCCCAACTCCCCTGGAAATTGGTTCGTATAAGTCGCGGGCGGAATTTCAATCGGCTCGAATCAAGCGGCTTTTTTATTTTTATTGCCACCCACTTGCACAAAACTGGCCGGTCGAACGCGTGCTGAAAATATGGACGGTCGCCCCAGCAACCAGCGGGCATCACAAAAGAGATTTAGGAACACGGAATGTGACGTGGGATTGGAAAAACTGGAATTTCCAATGCCACATTGTGCCTTCGATGGATATTTTATTCTTACCAAGGACTTTTGTTTGCTGGAGCTAAAATTATTGAAAAATTATGATTATAGAGTATGATTTTGATCATACTTCTTGATTAACATTTTTATCATCATTCGGGTATTGTGAAAACGATTAAAATACAAATCACGAATTTTAGAAGTTTTTTTATTTTTTACCAAAGTTTCAGTTTTGGTTGATAAAGTGCCAAGAAGTTTTTGTAGAAAACATTTTTACAGGCCGAAAATTTTCCACCACGTTATTTTATTATCAACATGTAAATAAAAACATTTTCTTATGTCCATTGGTTTTAATCAAATAGTGATACTGATTTCTTTCGTCGTCAGTTGCGTCTATATTGTAGATTTTAAAAGCAAATAATTCTTCGATCCATCCAAAACCCCTGCACCATTCACAATGAAATATAAAAATTTCGTTTTTAGCCAACACGTAAACATTTTAAAACAAATTTAAAATAAAAATGCCAAACTTTTTTACATAATAAAGAAAGGAAAGAAAAGTAGAAAGTACAATTTTAGGAGCTAAAGGAGGATTTATGAATGAAATTAATAATTCAATATTGAAAATTTCCTTCACCAAAATTTAAAAAGTCTGCAAGAAATAAAATGTAAAAGCCTACAATCACTATTCTGAATTCATGACAACCTTCGACATAATGAGAAGTTTTGCTACTCAGAAACGATGTAGTCCATAAATTCATCAAGGATACCTCTGCGAGCACAGGATGCAGATGGTTTAGCTCTGCAATAGGCGATGCGATCTAAAGTTTCAATACGGCACCACGGGGTTGGCGCTGCAAAGCAATGATAAAAAGTTAATATTTAAAAAAAAGTTTTTTTAAATTGGTATCGCAAAAAAAGGATGTTTGTTAGTCTTGCCATTTTTTTTTTTTATATTTTATAAAATAGTAAGCTTGAAAATATGGAAGTTTTTAGTGAATATATATAATTAAAATAATAAAGCTGATATTTGACCAGACAAAAAATTATCAAACCTGAGCATTTTATTGCTGCCATTGGTGCAGTATAAGGCCAGAAGCAATATGCTTTAGTATGGCAGTCCAAGCAGATAGCTCCTCTTTTCGCACAGGGGTTTGGAGTTGTGGACGGACTGGTCGTTGTACTGGTCGAAGAACTTGTCGAGGTACTAGAAGACGTGCTCGTTGACGAGCTGCTGGAAGTACTAGTTGACGAGCTAGTAGAAGTACTTGATGATGTACTTGTAGATGAGCTGGTCGAAGTGCTGTTAAAAAGGAGTAGCATAAATTTTAAATTAAAGAACAATTGATCCAATTTATTTTTTTTCAACAACTGAATTTTCTCAAAGCAAACCTAGTAGATGAAGATGTAGAAGTAGAGGATGATGTTGAAGTTGAGGATGACGTAGAAGTTGAGGATGATGATGACGTTGATGTTGAAGATGAAGTTGAAGTAGAGGAGGAAGTTGAAGTGCTAGTACTGGAGCTGGTAGTTGGCGGACAGTTATATTGAAGGAAGGTTGCGCTGCATCCAGAAAAAAGCCCGTTTGTAGAGTCCTTATTACACGCTGGCTTACCTCCTGTAAGGCGGCTAAATGAACAACACAGCAGGGAGACAAAGCATGTTAATACTAAAATCCTTATCTTTGTAAAAAAGAAAAGGGTATTAAATTTTAACCTTTATAAAAAAACACACTTGGAGAGAAAAGTAGATTTTCAATATATTTTCAATGGGAGCGAACATTTTCGTTTCAGTTTATATTTCATTGCAAATTGCAATTAAAATAATTTTCTAAGAAAAGTATTTCTCCCACTGATGGTCAGCTTAAATATACAATGTGGTCGATGCAGTTCAAAACAATCATTAATCCTCTTTTATTTTAATAAAAAGTTAAAATAATTAAGCCCCTCTCCCCTGATTATTAAATTTTTCTAACAGATAAAGAACTGAATAAAACATTTGTTTCTGACCAATACTTGACTTACGGTAAACTTTGCCACAATTCTGAATCCACACAGGTGGCCAGCCCACCTTGAAGCAGTATCCGTATCTGTAACAATCTATACATACCAATCCTTTGGAGGGACACGAATACCACAAAGGCGCCCGCGCCACGGACTGTGACTGCGCAGAAATGGCCACTCTTTGATCGTTGCATCGCGGCATCTAATCAGAAAAAGAATATTTTTCACACGCGCGTTAATACTTTGAACATATTCCCTTATTCATTTGAAGTTTTTTTCATATTTAATGAATTGATAATTAGTCACAAAAAATATAGGTTGCGAAAAACACCAAAGCTGCTTCGAAAGCTCAATATTTTGATCCCGGAAATGAGTCACTGGTGTAAATATTTGCAATGAGATAATGAGTAATGGTTGCATTTATACTGTATTTGTAAGAACCAAATAATTACCTTTTAATTAAATGCTCATTCAGCTTGTACAAATTCAAACTTACTTTTTACCATGTATTAATAATCCATAAGTGCTTTAATATTAATTATTTATCGTGCCACAGGGGTAAAATTTTTAAAGTTTAAAAAAAATGTCAAAGCATGTCTTTAATAAGACATGAAAATTTACGCACTATTTTGTTTTTGGACTCGCAGAACATGGTTGTTGCGTCAGCCGATTCTCCTTCAGGGCATTGGAAAGCTGAGATTGGAATACTGACGTTTGACGACCCATCCGACTCTGAACACAAGACCAATGCATGGCAATTATTCGGGTGAACGTGAACGCCAGGAGAAGGGCAGGAGAACCTGTTTAATTAATTTTTTTCACAAACGGATAGACAAGTATTCTAGACAAATAAGTACCCTTCTAGACCCTCAGTGCCAAGTTCCTGACCCTGGCCTAGGACGAAAGACAACTGCTGAAATCCAATTAACAATTGATCTTATTAGGAAACTACAAATCTTGTTGATAAAAATAGATAAATATTTTTGATCCTTTAGGAAATATATGAAAATAAAAAATGGACACTAGTTCAAGTAGTTCAACGGAAACGTTTTGGTCAATTATGCAAGAAGGAGCAGTGATACGTGATTTTGATAATTGTCATTTGATAAATATAATTCATTATATTGGCCACATATGGAAAAATTTAGAAAATATCTTCAGTAAAAATAAATTAAATGTCAGATTTGTATCGCTTACAAGTAAAAGAAAGGATATTAGCCCACAAATGCATTTTGAAGCACCCATGGCTGGTGAGTTGGCTGAAGTGTGTGACACAATAGAGAAAAAGCCTTTTCTAAGGAAGGGGGAAATTAAGTTAAAAGTAATTATTACGGTGATTATTTTCCTACAAAAGCCAAATAGAAGGAAAATATACGCGAGTATACAATAGAAAATAACAATTTTCTTTAATATTTTTGAATTTGTTTAAGTTTAGTTACTATTAATCTATGATAAGATCTATTTTACTAAATTTATCATTACTCAATAATAAATTAAGTGAAATGAATTAACTTATACATTTTTTAAAGGGTATTTTAAAATTTATTTATTACTTACTTGTAGCACCACCTTAAAATATTTTTTTCGAAGCTCACCTACAAGTCCTATTTATATTTTGAATTGTGTTTTATTGCGAATCTGAATTACAGGAGGCATGTGACATTTTTTAATTATTCTAAAAGCAATGGATCTTGTACTTACGTAAGTTTCGTTTTAAACAAAAATCAAGAAATTCAAATAATACAAATGGGAAGTTTAGAAAACAGTTTTTATTTTGCATAAAAATTCAAAATTTGGTTCGTTGCAGTGCCTACAACATTTTGTTTCAGTAAACGAAATAGTTTTCACCACAGAAGTATTTCATCTCCGTGTTAAAGAAAATCTTATGAGAATTAATATTGATTAATTAAAATCAAAAAGTGATTCTGTGTGTCAAAAGTGTCTAAATTTTATCATTTTCAAAAAGCTCATATATTTCCATCCAAAACCCTTGAACTACCTATTGAAATTTATTTATTTTTAGCAAGACGTAAATTTGTTGATAGCATTTGAAATAAAACAATCATTATTTTTTAAAAATTCAGAAAGGAAAGAAACGTACGTTGTGTATTATAATATTAATCATCTAAAATATGAATATTTCCTCCACCAAAAATATTAAATGCTATGTAATAATATGATACTTCTCTCAATATTTTGAAATCAAGACCAAATTTACCGAACGAGCAGTTTTACTACTCAGAAACGATGTAGTCCAAAAACTCATCAAGGATACCTCGGCGAGCACAGGATGCAGATGGTTTAGCTCTGCAATAGGCGATCCTATCTAAAGTTTCGGTACGACACCACGGGGTTGGCGCTGCAAAAAGCAATTATTATAAAGTAGATATATAAAAAAGTAGAGCATTTAAAAAAAAAATATTGCAGCATGGCATAAAAAAGGTTATTTTTAATTCATGCCAATTGTTCATTGCTATTTAATTAAAGAGGAATTTCTAGATTCCTAGTCCTTAAATCTTGAAAATATGGTTCTTATTTTTTTATTAAAACAATGAGAATAATCAAACTGAAATTTGGATGGACGAAAAAAATTGAGCGTACAATTGCATTTTATTGCTGCCTGTGGTGCAGTATAAGGCCAGAAGCAATAGGCCTTAGTATGGCAGTCCAAGCAGATAGCTCCTCTTTTAGCACAGGGGTGTCGAGTTGTGGACGGACTGGTCGTTGTACTGGTCGAAGTACTTGTTGAGGTACTAGAAGATGTGCTTGTTGATGAGCTGCTGGAAGTACTAGTTGACGAGCTAGTAGATGTACTTGATGAGGTACTGGTTGATGAGCTGGTCGATGTACTGTTAAATATGAATAGCTTGAATTATTAATTAACTATAAAGGTAATTTCAATATTACATTTAAATCAATTTCAAGAATTTAATCAATATTATGTTATAGATAAATTATAAATGGTAAAAAGACATGGAGCGAATAAAAATGTAAATGTTTTTAACTATATATTAGAGTACATTTAACAATATAATATGTAATTATGAAGATCTTGAAATAAATACACTGAGGCAATAAAATTTTTCCAACAATTTTAACTATCATAACAAACCTAGTAGATGAAGACGTAGAAGTAGATGATGATGTAGAAGTTGAGGATGACGTCGATGTTGATGTTGAAGACGACGTTGATGTTGAAGACGACGTTGAAGTAGAGGATGACGTAGAAGTTGAGGATGACGTCGACGTTGATGTAGAAGAAGACGTTGATGTTGATGACGACGTAGAAGTAGAGGACGACGTAGACGTTGAGGATGACGTCGACGTTGATGTTGAAGAAGACGTTGATGTTGAAGACGACGTTGAAGTTGAGGATGACGTAGACGTTGAGGATGACGTCGACGTTGATGTTGAAGACGAGGTTGAAGTAGAGGAGGACGTAGAAGTTGAGGATGACGTTGAAGTTGATGATGAAGATGACGTTGAAGTAGAGGAAGACGTAGAAGTTGAGGATGGCGTCGACGTTGATGTTGAAGATGACGTTGAAGTAGAGGATGGAGTTGAGGTAGAGGAGGAAGTTGAAGTGCTTGTACTGGAGCTGGTTGTTGGCGGACAGTTCGGCTGAAAGAAATTTTTGTTGCACGTAGAAAATTGTCCGGTGCTAGAGTCCTTGTTACACGCTGGCCTTCTAGCTGCAAATTCAATTAATTTTATTAGTCTCCAGACAAGAGACCAGTCAAAACAATCGATTAAATTAAGGCAGTAAATTGATTAATTTGCTACAGCGAGACAATGAAAACAAGTAATTTATAACCTTATTGTTTAAAAAATTTAATTTTAATGAAAAAAATGGATGTAAAATTTCAAACCCGGCGTATTTGATGGGAAAAGCCGCTTTATAAAATCATTTTTCAATGAAAATATATTTTTTCTTTCCAATTCAACATATCATAAATATTGCATATAAAAAATTTCCTTGCAACTGCCGATGCAGTTTCAAATAATTAGTGGTCTTTTTTCATTGCATCAAATAATTAATGTTACTGATTTCATACTAGCCCCTTTCCTTTTATTTACTTAAAAAAAGACTAATACTTCACTCACGGTAAATATCATCACAATTCTGAATCCACACAGGTTGCCATCCCGCTTTGAAGCAGTATCCGTATCTGTAGCAATCTATACAGACTCTCCCTTTGGAGGGACACACAAACCATAAAGGCACCACCGACTCTGACTGCACACTTAAAGCTGAAATGACTGCTCTTTGGTCGTTGCATCGAGGAATCTAATCAGCAAAAGAATATGATCAAATATCGTTCATCCATAAGTAAATATCTATATCCATTATTCACTTAAAGTTTCATGTTTAATGGTTTGGATAATTTGCCACACTAAAAGTATATATAATACCAGGGTTCGAAAAATACCATAATATCAAGTCTCAAAATTAACCCAAGATAATGAATTTGGGGAATAATTTTAAATTCTACAAAATAATACAGGAGCAAGTATACATATGTTTAAGAACCAATCATGTAATTTTTCCCCTAGATAAAAATTAACTAAAAATTGTATTAATGATTAAATTTTACATTGAGAGCTCTTGCCAGACTCATCACTAATTTAGCTTATTGTCAATTGTGTTCTTTGACTTTAATTAACATGCAGAAATTCGTAATATTGAGCGAAATTTTAATAAGATTTTTATTTCAAGACATGAAATTGTACGAACTATTTTCTCTGTGGCCTCGCAAAACATGGTTGTTGCGTCAGCTGACTGTCCTTCAGGACATTGGAAAGCTGAAATTGGAAAACTGACGTTGGATGACGCTTCCGACTCTGCACACAAGACCAATGCATGGCAATTGTTTGGGTGAACGTGGACACCGGCGGAAGGGCAGGAGAACCTGTTAAATGAATTTGTCCAAACATACAAGGCAATCTAAAAACAGGAGTACCCTTCCAGACCCTCAGTACCCAGTTCCTGACCCTGGCCTAGGGCGAAAGGCAACTGCTGGAAACCAATTTACAGTTATTCTTTATAGGATATCACAAATTTTGATGATAAATAAATCAACATTAGTCGTTCTTTTAAAGTTAAGAAAAATATAATATGAATAAAAGTTACAAAAAAAAGCTTTGGTCAATATATTATAGGGAGTAATAGAGGTAACTGATTTTTTTTAAATCATATTAGACTCATTATTCATTATATCGGCCATGTATAGAAACAAAATTATTAGAATCTTTAGAAAAAGTTAATTAAATGCGAGATTTTTATCGCTTACAAGTATAAGAAAGGAAATTATTCCACAGATGCCTTTCAGGGCGCTCATGACTGGTGAGTTGGCTTGGGCTGAAGTGCGCAACACGAAAAGTCCATATAAAAAAGCCTTTTAAAAAGGAAGGGAGAAATTAAGTGGAAAATAATTATTGCCTTGATTATTTTACCCACGAAAGCAGAAAAAGAGGAAATTGGGAGGTCACAACAGAAAACAAGAAATTTGTACTTTCTGATATATATTATGCTTTTTACTGTTGACGTTAATAACAATAATTCAGAATATTTTACCTAAATTTAATTCCATAAATTTATTTTTATATTTATTGGAATGATTTAAATATTAGAAATTTCTAATTAATATTGTTGCTAATTACTTGTGTTACCACCCAGAAGAAATATTTTTTTTTCGCTTATAAATCCTTTGTACTTATTTATTCTCCATTCAATACATTAGATACATCAAGTCAATAAATTCAATAAAACTAAAAATACATGATAACTATGTTGATTAGAGGGGTAAATGGAGAAATGGCTCTTCGCTAGAAGCACAGCACACTCTCTTTCGAAGAAGAGCGCACTAGCCGAGATACGCAATTCTTTTTACGCGCTTCCTATAGAACAGGTCGGACATGTCCGAGGGCCCACCGGGTCAAACGGCCCTCCGAAGCCAGAGCACTGTTTTAGGCAACCCACAACGCACACGTGACAAGGCGCTTCCTACTTTTTACAGGGGCATTGGAATTGGACCGAGCACAATTGCCTGAATTACTCCTGAGGTCACTGTACATATGTACAGGGAGCCAATTTAAATTTAATTTATTTGTGAATAATTATGAATCTAAATTACAAGGGGCGCATGAAATTTTGTTATTATTTTAAATGCAAGGATTTTAGCCTATATAAGTACTATAAGTACCAATCATAGGCGGCCGGTGACTTTTCAAGTGATGCAAGTGCAGCCCAAAGAATCCCCCCCCCCCCCCCCAGGAAAATCAAGTTGCTATTTTTTTTTAGATTTTTTTATATTAAAAAAATAATGTTAGTTAATAAATAATGGCAGATTTTTCCAGCTTGCTGAATAATATTCCTATTTTAAAATTCGCACTGCGTAATATGTGATCCGGAGGGTCATTATAATTATGTTTAATTTTAATAAATTTTCTCTTTTGAATTTTGTATGTCATATAATTAGATTTTTTTTAAAAAAATTGATAAGGGGAAGGTATCCGTAAATCATTATGTTTTTATTTCAGTAAGAATGCATTTAATTTACAATATTTTTTTTCATGAAATAAAATATCGTAAATTAAAACTTTCACGGTGGCCAGTGAAATTTGAATTGACTAAAAAATACAGATTTATATTTAGGAAAAAAATTCTCAAAATTTATCGTTGTTAAAAATGTTGGAAATCAAAATACACGACCTTATTAAGCTTACTTCAATGAGCAAATAATACTGAATATTATTGGATAAATCGGATACCAATATAAACAAAAAAATCAAAATAAGCTCAGTATTACTATTTTTTTTTCAATTACAATATTTATTTTACTCCTGAATTATAAATTTTTTTCTTTCCACGACCTTAAAGATAGTAGACGTTGAAACCACCATATAACTGCATACCACAAGTCGTCACTTATTGTTTTTTTTTTTATTCTACTCAAGTAAATTCAAGGGATTGTGAAAACAAGTACGAAACTCGAAATAAAATGTTGCATTATTATTTGTATGCAAAATCAAATTTTGAAAACGCGTTTATTTATTAATTTTTATTTGCACAATTTATATTAGCATGTGACATAGACTACATTCAAACACCGGGAGTATTTAGTGCTGAAAGCCATGAAAGCAGGGCACGTCATCCTTACATTTGATAGCACTCCATTGACCAGAGTGCACACAGAGTAAGCTTGGCATCCAGCAGTACTTGGGTCCAGAGTTTGCACCCCGACCGCTGAGCACGGTGGTACTGTTGTTGGTTTAGAAGTTGTAGAAGATGTTGAAGTTGAGGTCGAAGTAGAAGTTGTGGTTGAAGTAGATGTTGAGGTTGAAGTGGACGTGGTCGAGGTTGATGAAGAAGGGCACGTGACGTAAAATGTGTTTAGACACCTCAGGCGAATAGGGTCAAATGCCATGTTGGCCAGGCAAGTGTTCAAAACGTACTTCAGCACTCCATTGACAGAGGTACACGAGTAATATGTCTTACAGTTCAACGCCTGTGGATCTACAATATTTGCACCAACTGTTGAACACGTGGATGGGACAACTGTAGCTGGAAGTGCTGTTGTACTTGTTGAAGTGCTTGTGCTGGATGTTGAAATTGGAGCACTTGTTACTGTGGTGGTTGTGGTCAGCTTTGGGGTTGTGGTAGTTGTTACAGCAGGAGTAGTTGACGTTGTGGCAGCAGGGGTAGTTGACGTTGTGGCAGCAGGAGTAGTTGACGTAGCAGCAGGAGTAGTTGACGTTGTAGCAGCAGGAGTAGTTGACGTTGTAGCAGCAGGAGTAGTTGACGTTGTAGCAGCAGGAGTAGTTGACGTAGCAGCAGGAGTAGTAGACGTTGTAACAGCAGGAGTAGTGGGCGTTGTTGGCAAAGCAGTGGTACTTGTGGGGACACATGAAGGGTTACTGGACGAAGCGGAACATGTTCCAGGAGCCGTGTCTGACGCCGAATCGCATTTTGTGAGAGTACCTTAATTTTGAGATTATCTATTAGGATGAAAGAAACTTTTACCGCGTCTAGCATACTAACCGCCAGTGGCTGCGGTACACGAGACTGTAACAGGAGCACTTCCCGATGCAGAGCAAATAGCAAGTGTGTTACAGTCCTCGCAGTACTCGCCGCTACCTGGGCACGAGCCACTAAGAGTCCTTGACTGAATTATTGACTCCGACGTGTTTACTGCTGATGCGCAATTTGGTACCTGAAGTTTAATTCTTTACTAATTTTCTATGATTTAAATTTAACTTAACCTCCTCCCATGGAGCACAGTTTTTAATTGAGTCCGAAAAAGCATATCCAGAAGGACATTTGAGGACAACGGTTGGAAAGAATACTTCTGAATTGTCATTGTTGAAACAGTATAGGAATTTGTGACAGACGAACGGGTGTGGCTGAAGGCCTTTGCCGGAACATCGTTGTACAGCTCTGAAATCATTAGTATAATTTAAATATGTATTTTTCTTTTCCCTGATCGAAAGAGAAAAAAAATGATAAATACATGTTCAAATCTTCCGCGTCATCCACTTCTATTGGACTGCCAAGAGCCATGGAAACTATCTTCAATTCAGAAAGAAATGAAATTTAAAAAAAAAATTGTTTCCAGTGACCTACCAGAGCTGCCATAAGGATGGATTTGAAGAATTTCTTGGTTTTGGTTCCCTTCATTATTTCTTATTCGCAAAGCAAAGTTGCCACCGCTGTTGAAGAAATACTGTGTAAGCAAGACAGTCTGTCAAAGAGAATGAATTTATTTTTTTTAGCCTTGGCCTTGTCACAACATGAAATAAAAAAGCAGAATTTATGGGATTTTTTAATTAGCCCCTTTTTGTACCTCCGTTTTTTTACGAAGGACGTGACGATTAAAAAACGTTGCATTCTTATCACTACAGGGGCACTGCTGCCCAATGCGGGCAGTTTGAAGTCATCTGAAGATAAATTTACATAGTCTGACGTGTCTAGAAACTTGAAATTTTCAACCTTAAGTGCCATTAAATATTATGCACATTTTTTTTTAATTATGTAATGAGTAATACAAACTTCCTGAATTTTTTATTATCGTAATGAAATTTTTTTTTTATGAAGTATCTTGGAATTGAAATTATACAATATGTACTTATAATATACGATTTGTGATAGAAGGAAAAAAATATATGACGTTTGCTGTTGGACTCGGTGGGAATGATTTTTGTTTTTTCCTCGTCCGGTGTGCCGCTTCATGTGTATAGGGAATCATAATTATCAATAGCGCCATGTCACCAAGCTGAATATGAAAATATCCATCTTTTTACGAATTTTTGAGCTAGAATCATTTAATTTTATTTACTTTCTGCATATTCTAGGAGCAGCTTTGCTGACCGTATTGGTGAGAGATAAAAATTAATATTCATACATAATGAAAGAGCTTTTTTTCCAACAGCCTATCCACGGGTTTCCATCAAGCTGCGTTGAAAAAGCTCAGTAAGAAAATTCACCTGATTTGCGTAAAAAAATATATAATTTCTCTATCTCGAATACTTAAATTCTTATTAATGGCCTTCTTTCTTAATTGCCTGTGCCTTCGGGCCTGCATGTGTGTTTGTTGATAAAAGTTCAGTGGCCCGAGAAAACTTTGTAAATAGAGGCCACACAATTTCCAAGGCTTCTTGATAACGCTACAATTATTATTATTTTGTATTTTTTTTTTATTGTAGGAAAATTCAGGGCACGGGTGACTTTGTGGAGGCCATGAAAGTACGCAGCAAATTTTGAAGAAAAAATTAAAATTTATTTTTAGTATATTTGATATTTGGCAGATAGAGAGGATGGGTATAAATGCTGAAAGATTAAACGAAGAACTGCTAACAGTGGGACTAAATACGCTGGAGCTTGAGCACAATCATAAACACGAAGACAGAGTATAAAATAAATTTCCAATAAAAAAAATTTATGTATATTATATATCTATCAGGAAAAAACCGGTCGGTGCGCTGAAGGTAAAAACTCTCCATTTAATATCCATTTATGACTTTGAGATTTGAAATAAACATTTTTATAGAACTGGAAATACCCATCGATCGCTTTGGAGACACAGTTTTCTACTTCCAAAAACGTTCTAAAGTATTAGAAGAGAAATTGTCCTGTTAATGTTAAACACAAAAATCATTTCTTTTTAATTTTCACAGTATTTTGTCGAGCTGCACTGGTTCCCAGCGGTTCAAATTTGCAATACCAAAAGTCGAAGTCACTCCGATGAAAAAGCTCACGATGAGAAAATGCATGAAACCGTTGATCAGGTTGAACAATCTGTATTTGGTAATGAACTCCTTTTAACTATTACAACTGAACCCCTCCACCCGCATGACATGAAAACATAGCCGGTTGCATAACCATTTATATTTATTCGGCAGAATACGATTATTCCTGTTATTATTATCTATCCAATTATTACATACATAACACTAATTTAAAAAAATTTTATTTAAAGATTACATTAAAATATAATAATAGCGCAAGCATCTAAAGAAGTCAATTAAATTATTTAATTTTTTTTTTCAATAATATCAAATAAAATATTAAAATATAATATATCATAAAAAAAATGAAAATAATTTTATTATTATATGTTTTTTTAAACAAAAATGTAAAATAAACATATATAAATACACCAATACAAACAACTTTTGTAAAAATTGTAAAAAAAAAAAAATGAAAAGGGATTAATTTTCCTATTATTTAAATTATCATCTTCGGTTCATTTTTAGGTAGCGATGAGGGCAACAATACGTTTTTCTTTACAGGCATGATGGACCTCTCCAGCAGCAAAATGTACGCTCTCGAGTTGAACGACGAAAATATTTTTGCGCCGTGGCCCGACAAAGTAGGGCCTGATAACGAACTTCCGAGTTGCCCGTCATCAAGCGGTTTCGTGCCCAAGGATAAAAATTGCGTGTCGCACAGAGAAAAAATTTTGTGTGGCCTCCTGGAGGTGTGTGGCCAATGAAAAATAGTTTTAAAAAATCTTTTGGATTTTAATGTTACTATTATGTTAATGAAAAAAGAAAATTTATAGAAATAAAAATTAATTTAAAAAAGTTTAACTGTTGAACAGTAAATATTATTTTAGATCTAGCAACTGAATTTGGGAATTTAAACAATAGCACTGTTGCAGGGAAAATGTATTTTTTTTTTACTATCATACAAAAATTCTTTTTGTTTTTACTTTTTTTAAAGTCACACCACTTCCTTTCATTGCATAATACTTGATTAAATAGCTTCAACCTCAGCCAGACCACAAAAAGTTAGGAAGAGAAACAGCAGCATGTAAAATCCTTCTTTGCAAACCACTCTGGTCATTGCATTTAGTTAGTTATATGCAACAATTCTTTTCTTTCCCGCACGATGAGGGTTGCTTGCGGATTTGTCACAATCCTAGTCATTCTTCACTTAGGCAACCCCTGCACAGACAGGAAGTACGAAAATTTTGGCCACGACCACACGATGTGTATGGAGCCAAAGAAATGCAACGCCAACAAAAAGCTAATTGGTGAAAACCGCTACTATTGCAGATTATTAAAAATATTTAACTTTTCCTATATTTATTCCTTTCAGAAATAAATTACATCTTAACTGCTCACGAGCGGGCGGCTCTCCTGGACATTCACAATAAGCTGCGGGCGCTGGTTGCCTTTGGTCGTATTCCTGGCCACCCACCAGCCAGAAACATGCAACAGCTGGTAAGAATGTAATCCTAAATCCTAATCCCCTGAAACATTTGGTGATTATATTTAAACCAAATCTTATCAACCTAAAAATCAATTTAACATGAGTCGGATTTAATGGAATGATTTAAATGTTGAAAAATAAAAGACACTGAGGCCTCTAAAGGGCAACCTGTGATCACAAGAAATTGTAGGCTATCAGACAGCCTTTGGGGTTATGATTGGTACTTTATTTTTTCGTCACGTTGCACCCCAGTTTAAATTTTTGTTTTAAAACTGAAATTATTGTGCCGAATTTTATTTTGAAAGATCAGAAAAATTTTGCGCAGAAAAAGATATTTTTCACTTACTTATAAATTATAAATAAACATAATATTTATAATTCTGGTTAATCTGGTTGTATATTAAAAAAATATAATATAATAAATAATAAGTTTATCCATCTTTTCAATTACAAAAAAAACCAACACAACATCACAATCAATATATATTTTCTTTGATTTTAACCGTTCAAAAAGTTGAATAAAATTTTTTGCAGACTTGGGACGATGAATTGGCGAGTGTGGCACAGCGCTGGGCCGAACAGTGCATGTTTGAGCATGACAAGAACAGGCGCGTCGGTAAACTAAAATAAATTTTATTAAATTTTTTTTCCTTTTAAAATATAATAATAACAATAAATAGAAAGATTCCGAGTGGGTCAAAATTTGGCATTTAGTTGGCAATCCCCACCTAACCGCGACAAGTCAGCCGATGTGATTAATTCTACAATCGCAATGTTCAACGAGGTGAACAAACCGGGGTTTCCATCGGCCTATATTGGAAAGTTCCAACCCGTCCCTAAGACGGGCCACTATACGCAGGCAAAGAACTTTATTTTTGAATTTATATCCATATAGAGATTTATTTTCCAAATTAGATTGTCTGGGCTGAGAGCACACTGATTGGATGCGGTCACGCCATTTACTCAGAAACTAAAAAAAATATTCCAGGCGAAACAAAACTTCTTGTCTGCAACTTTGGCCGCGCGTAAATTTTTCAAAATATATTCAATGTCTTAAGTTACTTTAATATAAATAATTCAATTTTTTTTTTAATTCTGGGGAAATAGAGGAAACATGATTGGTGCGGAGGTCTACAAAACTGGGATGCCTGAATGCGAAGTGCCATCGAACCACTATACTGGTCTGTGTACAACTAAGGATGTCAATACAAAATTTGAGGATCCTTGTGACAAACGAGAGTTCAATGCTCTTTACCCAGCTCTGTGCGACAACGACTTGTTTGAAGCATTAGGAATTTATGGTTTGTAATCCAATATTGCTTTAATTATTAAAATTTTACAATAATTATTTTTAAAATTTGTAGGAATAACACCCTCTATGAATAAATGGCTTCTAGGAAGTATATTATTTATCTCTGCTGCTGGCTTCCTCGGCCTGCTGTATTTCACATACTGTACGTGGCCAAGGCTGAAATTATGCAAGAGGACCTAATTATAGTCTAGTCAAAAACTGATGTTTAGACCAATTTGCTTTGTTAAATTTCTGGAAAAAAAGGAACATTTTTGCAGAGCATCAATGTACACCAAACTAATTAGTGATTTTTAATTAATTTGAGATATAAATAATAAAAGCTTTTTCACTCAACATTTTTATATTTTTGATGTAATTTTTGTGATATTGTTGGACATAATTGTTTAAGCTTGATAACTACAAAAACTAATTCGAATTGTTGCATTTACCAATTTTTGCAAATCCCAGCCCTTAGATATGGCTCTCCGTATCGGAAAAGTTGTTCCTCTGATGCTGTTCATCATTTTCACCTTGGGTCTGGCGTCTGGCAAGGTCGACCACTGCGAACTGCGAGTCGCGAACTTCATAAATCCGTCGGACCCAAACGATATCCCGTGCATGACGCGCAACGCATGCAAACCCGGGCACATAGTCATGAGTACATAATAATTATAGTTTTGTTTTTAATTGGCTTCAAAATAATTGATTAAAATTTTTTGAATTAAATTATATGCAGACAAAGACTCGAGACTGAATAAATTGGAGCAAAACGCCATCCTGCACGTTATCAACAAGTTACGAAGCTTCGTGGCAAGCGGTCACGCCAAGGGTCAACCACGAGCAAAAAATATGAACCAGCTCGTAATTAGTTCTTTTTACGCTTGCGGTAATTGTAATTTAAAATTCAATTTGTTTTAAAAGGAGTGGAGTGCAGACCTCGCCGACTTGGCCAGAATGTACGCAGAGCAATGTGACAACCCCAATAGCAAATTCTTTGATAAAGACCTTCACTGGCTTGGTAAAAATTTTAGCTCGATTTGTGTTATAAATTTTCAACTAATTATTGAATAAAATTTTCTGGAATACTTTCAATGCTGATTTTTCAACTTTTTGATAAATTTCAGATTGATTTTGTAAGAAAAATATCAATAGCATTAAAAATACAAAAATATGCAATAAAATTTTTAGAGCATTTTGTTGATTTTGTATGCAAAAGTGCAAATAAATTTTTTTTTTTAATTATGTTTTATATGGGCTATTGTATTCAAGTCTCGTCGCAATATCTACATGAAATTTAATATAATATTAATTTCTAAATGATAAATTGAACAGTATTAATTTTTCTGAAAAAATTGAAATTATTTAAGAATTTAGACGCGTTTGAAAAATTCTTAATTCTGTCTATATCCTATTAAATTAATTAACTGCAGGTCATTACGACATTGGAAAGCTACAGTCGGAGACGCAACACGCCGCCACTGAGAAAGGAGATGAACTGAAATTGCAGTTGGAACCATATTTCTTGCACACCATTTATCGCAAGGCAATTTGCGAAGGGTTCTTCGACACCGAAAAAATCAAACGCTTCCACAGACCCCCAGACTTTCTTCCGGCCTCGTATGCGTACGCCCAGGTGAGAAATTAAAAGATAAATAAATAAACACCTTTGGGCTGGCAAAACTAATTAGTAATTAATTTTACCCTCTATGCAGTTAGTGTGGGCTAACGCAAGTATAGTTGGATGTGCACACGTCGAGTACAAGAGTCTTGATTTGCAGGCTGACCCTGGACATAACCAGAACAATTACTTGGTTTGCTTCTTTGGCCCTGGGTAATTTTTTATAAAAAGTAAAATAATTCAAATAAAAAAAATGAATATTATAAATATGCAGAATTCCTCTCTGGACCTTGGACAGCACCATGGTGGATAAATGGAGTGCAACCATTTATGACGCAGGAGACCCAAAGTGCAAAGTGCCTTCCTCAGTTTACCCTTCACTCTGCGCTTCTAATGAACTCAACGAGATTGAAAACCCTTGCTCAGACGAGGAATTTTACACCAAGTACACAAAGTTCTGCAGTGACAAAATCTACGAAAAAATCTGCGGTAATATAAGCAAAACCTTTACTTCAATCCTGTGACAGATTCACTGTTCTGCAGAACACCATGCTACTTTAAATGCAGAATCTAGTAACTGGTACTGGTACATCATGATCATCTTCCCCGTTGCAACTGTCGTAGCCGCTGTGTGGCACTTCCGAGAAGATATTGAAGATTTTCTGTTTTGATGTTAAATTCTGTTCCTTTTCCTCAAAATAAAAATTATTTGTTTGTGGCAGAAAAATGTTGCTTGCATTTAAAAATACAAATATGCGTGTTTATGAATTTATTGGTTTCTGCTAAAACTGTACATTAATAATATTATGAATCTGCTCAAAATGGTTCTTTATACTGTTACAGCAACAGCTAATTTTCTTGAGAAAGAAAAGCGGTTTCAAAAATGCTCTACAGCGGCATTTGAAGTGGTGATTTTGCACTGCGTACAAATTGTAGTCACAATCAGAATTATTATTGTATCATAACAGATTAAATGCCATTGATATAAGGACAAATTTCTTTTCTCAGCTGGCTAGAGTAGCGGTTATATGATGGATTGTTACATTGTAATATATTTCATTTCATTTATATAATAATAATTATGCAATCTTGGTCATGCTGGAAGCGAAAACTTCTCTGTTATGAGAGATAAAAATCTTCAAGATATGACAATTACATAGAAAAAGTTATTTGTCAGAAACAAGTGGAATTATTTTTGTGGACAACATATTCTGTGCTTAATTAATCATCATAAAACTTATTATTCAAAATCAGCACCAGGCACGGATCATTTGCTTAACAGGAACGGTATCATGGCCAATTTTATCAAATGAACACAGTCCTAAAAAAAATCTATCAAGGTGTCTGGGAGGATTTCGGGACTCAATTATCCCCTGGACATGTCTTAATCTGTACGCGCCTCTTGCTCGTCTCAAGGATGCCATCAGCACCTGGAATTCTCATTGCCTCAATGGTCGGCACCATTATAGGGTCCGAAAGGGACCTTTCAACAACAGCATCAACCATGGCCCTGTAGCAGTTCAAGGTGCTGACCTTTTCAGCCATCTCCTTTTTCATATGGGTCAACTTTAGTTTCAGCTTTTTGTTCTGGGACTTATGCATATGCATTTCATTTTCAAGCGCTTTGATGTACTTGCGCAGAATGCTGATCATTTCTTTATCCCCCTTTTTGTTCTTTTTCTTCTTTTTGTTGGACTTGCTGGCTGATTCATCCAGGTCCGAGTCATCACCAGAACTGGCACCGATGATTTCGTCAGAGTCGTCTTCAGAGTCGCTTTCGGAATTGACTTTGTCCACAGAGCGGCTGAAAGAGACGGCAGAGGAGATGGAAGGTGTGGAAAGTGGTCTCTCTGGGGGGTAGTTGCCGATGCACTCTATTCCGTCTTCAGGGGACGAGGCGCGTTCTTTCACTTGCTCAGTCTTCTTGTTTGGTTGCTCTTGATAGTTTTGGTTGATGTTTTCAGGTTTAGGAGGGTCTCTTGATGTTCCTGAAAATTTTGATAATCTTAATAATTAAATTTTAAACTACTAATCCATTTTCACGGAAACTATTGTGGGATTTCAAATTCTGGTCTATAATATGGTATGAATCAAATTTAATATTAACCGTTGATTGGGAAATATTTTCTGTTTTGAAAATAATCAATTTACTTAATTTCCTTCAAACTTTGAGATCATTTATTATTATTAGGCTTTCATAGAAAAATTCAATTCTATTTTTCTCATTAAAAAAAAATCAGCAAAAAAAACTAAATTCTTTAACTTAAATGTTGTAGGAACTATTTAATTTAAAAATCAATTTGAAACGTTAAAAAACATGTCAAATGGACAGATCGGGCTTTTCCTCGTTGCGAAAATTGTTTTTAGTTTCAAATTGTTTTTATTCAAAACCAAATGGCTATATGAGTTTCGGTCACAGTCTGCAACCCTATTTTATGAGCAAGAAAAATACAAAAAATCAGCAAAATTGAATTGTGTATTTTTCTTGCTCATGAAATAGGGTCGCAAACAGTGACCGAAAAACTGGTAGAGCCAATCGTTTTTTAATAAAAAAAATTTTCGCAACAAGGAAAAGCCCGATCTCTTTTTCCATAATCATCTCCTCGAGTGTCAATTTCTTCAAACAAAAGTTTAAAAAAAAAACCTAATAGAAAACTTGTGCATTTACCTGTTTCAGTTGCAGCTTCAGCATGCTTTGTGGGCGCCTCTTCACTTCTTGCCTCCACCCGTTTTCTTTGATCCTCAACCTCATCCTGAACATCCGTGACACCCGAATTAGGTAGCTCCTTTGGCTGCTCTTCCGGAAGTACTTTTCTACTCATCACATTTAACTCAGCACTCTGCTTAGCTTGGTCGGCTTGCGTGATCGGCATTTCACTCATAACTTCATTCTGCCGGTCAAGCATTTTTGTTTTGATCAAAGCTGGCATTTTTCCTGCAAATGGCGTTTTAGATTTGTTGGCAGGGGGCTCTTGACACTCGGATGGTGGCGAGTTTGTCTCTGCAGATGACTTTGGCGAAATAGGCTCAATTTTGACTTCAGTATCCAAAGGCTCTTCCCATATAGTCATGTTTGCTGAGTTGCTGTCTTCGACGGTAGAGAATTTCTCTATCTCACTTTTTGTCTCGATTGTTTCGGAATTATTGTCTGATTCACTTTTGTCTGTTGAAGATGAAAAATTGATTAGAAATCTAAGCTAATAAGGAATAGAGCTTTTTCAAACACCTGTATCAGCTTTGTGACTGTCGTCCAAATTGATATGAACCTCACTAACTGTCTCACAAAAATCTGGCTGACTGACTTTTGGAGGCTCCACGATGTTGTCTGGTGGCAAAGCTGCTGGTAAAATATACTTGCATTTAAACGGATTCTCATCTGGATTCTCTTTAGCTAAAATCAGACATTAAAAATTACATCAAAAACAAAAAGTTAAATATTAGCAAACCTAATACGCAAGAGTTGTTTATGAGAGATCCTATGAATTCGTTGTCCACCTCGGTCACTTCCTCCTCAGTCAATATGATGACAGTCTTATTAATACCCATATCTGGCAAGCTATGGAAAGCACCAGTGTTGGTGTTCAGTAGAGAGGTGGAGGAACTGTTGCCTGATGTTTTTTTGGCCAGCACTTCAAACAAGGAAAAAAAATTAAGCTTGCATTTACCAATTTACAAAGCTGCAGCTTACGACTTAATATAGCCTGATCGGCCACACTGGGCAACTCTTCTAAGATCTTCCGAGAAATATCCTTATTTGAGTCTCCTTTTGCCTTAAGCTTGGTATTTTCTAAAAATGAAAATAAATTTAACAAAATTCATAATAATAATGGGTTTTGGATATTTTACCAGAAGTTCCGACAGCAGTTGGTTTGGAAGCTTCTTCAATCATATTGTCAATCATGTCCAAGTCATCAATTGGTGACCGTTGGTTCTCAATGGGCAAATACTTCGACTGCTTTAAATTTGAAACAGCGCTCTTCGCCAAGTTGCCTGAACTATCGGAACCACTGTAGTTGCTTGTGTTGATGAAGGATTTAAACATTTTGCTGGCGTTTTTCTGCTGTTTGCCTGATCCTCGCATGGTGAAGTCTTCGTCGCTGGAGTCTTCATCTGATTCTTCTTCGGAGTCTTTATCACTGTCATCCTCATGTGCCCTCTTGTTAGCACCAGTTGCTTTCCTAATGATCTCCAAAGTTCTCCTTCTGCAGCTTCGAACAGGTCTACTCCAGTCCTGATCTAGTTCACCATCACGACTAGCACCCAATGTACCATAGGAGATCCTATCCAACTCTTTGCTCTGCAAATTTTTTAATTTTAAATTGATATCAAATAATTTTGAAATGACTTACCTTTTTCATGTTACTTTTACTTTTCAACTTTTCCTTTCCAACTTCATTTGACTCAATAACTTGCCCTGCAGTAGCAGCTGGAGAAGTTTGGACCAATGTAGTAGTTTGAATCATTGGTTGAGTTTGGACACTTTGCACTAACGGAGCAGGAATTTCCTCATCGTGAAGGTCAAATCCTTCAAAAGGCTGCTCATCAGTTGCCAACAGCTTTGAAAGAGATAGTTCAGAGCTCTCTTTTGGTTTTCCTTTAGACTTCTCTTTTGGCAATGGAGGAGCAGAGTTGTTTGGCGATGGAGGAGGTGACTGAAAAAAATCACAACATAATTCTTAAGAAAAACAAACAAACTAGAATTACATTTCTATCCACAGAAACAGATGCGCTCGTTTTTCCCTGCTCTTTTCCAGGACTTCTTGGTGCCTCTTCAAGTTTCCTCTTTACAGTTCTTCTTTTAGATGGACTACTTTCCGCTATTTTGGAAGCTTGGGTTTCATTCCCAAACACTACTGTTTCTTGAGATGAGCATTTTTCAAGGACCACCATGCATTTGCGCGGTCTCTCATCAAAAGGAGGAGTTTTCTTAACTGAATCCAGTTCCACTATATCAGGATGTACATCGGATCCTGATTTCCCTGGTGTTTCCTAAAGTATAAGAAAAACTATTGTTATTTTTGGAACAGATAAAATGAACACTAATTACAATCAACGTTTTTTTCTTTGGTGAGGGCAATTTTGACTTCTCCTTTGATGTTATTGTAACCCCGCAGGCTTCCAGCTTTTCGAGGGCTGCCTGCGCAGATATGGCTTGGATTGATGACGGATTTGTTGGTTTTGCTTGCTTGGACGTTTCACGTGAGTTTCTTGAGGACGATGGACCCACTACCTTGCTTATATTCAGACTCTCATTAGAATTCTTCAACACTTTCACTTCTATGGCTGCACAGAAAGTTTCAAGTTAAAAATAAGAATGAAAATATTGAAATTTAAAAACTAACCCGAAGTTTTAGAAAAAACTTCAGAGATAGGCGAGTTTACAGTTTGGGTCGGTGAGGACCTCCTGATGGGCGTCTGAGGAGCAAACATGTCAACGATTTTCAAAGTCTGTTGACCACTCAATGTGCTTCCTTCATAAGCCGTTGGCGGCTTTAGTAAAATTCGGCCTTCTGTGATGATTTTCTTGCTGTCAACTCGCTTTGGAGGCCTCACCATTGAAGGTCGACTGCTGCGAAGAATGAGTGGCACGGTGCCATCTGATTTTGGGCTGCTCGAGTCATACATTTTTTGGGCGGCTTTAGTCTTCACTAAGTTCTTCTGCCCCTCTCCAAGCTGGGAAGACTTCCCATATTCCTGAAACGATTAAATTATATTAAAATTTTTTTTAAATAAATACCTATATCATTAAATTTTGGTACTTATTTATGAGGAAAGTTTTAACAATTCATTTAACAGTTCGTTAAAACAAAATAGATTAAAATTTTATAGTGCTTTAAAACATAATAAAACAAAAATTATTTTCCACAACATTTTCTACTTGGGACAAATAAATCTACTTGGACTGCTCCACATTCGCACCAATTAATCAATAAAATTAATTAAATAGATTATATCAGGTTGTTTTCAAATTAATCGACATTCAACAGGTTTGAGAATGATGCAAAAAGCATGTTTTTCCAAGAGTCTAACATTAATTTATCAACTTTTGACACCGGCAGCTCAGCCCGACATCGATTTTCACCCTCGCTGGGTACAACAAAATGGTTACCTGAGACGCTAGTGTCGAATTAGAACCCGTTACGCTAATGTAATTTACGATTTCGGGCCGAAAAAGCAGAAAATTAAGCCGAATCTCTGAGCAAAACTGTAAGCACGGCACGAGTAAAGTAAATAAACTGAGACCGGACGACCGTGATTGGCCAACAGACCGGTTTGACTCGTCATTGGTCAATATTCGCAGGAGGCGTTTCGATTGGCGGAGACTGAATTTTTAAAGACTGCGTCGCGGCAGAAGAAGCTTTCATTACATGATGATTTGATGATGGGAGAAAAAAGAAGAGTTTTCTTAATTCATAAAGAGGGACGATGTCTTGGTGATAATTTCTTGAAATTTCAAAACAAAGCAACGAATTTCATAAAATAGACAAGCAAACTTGGAAATTTCTATTCCTTGCTCAAAATTTTGAGTCATATAAACTGATGCACTTGAGATTTTCTGCGTTCATTGCGGCAATAAAATTGCATTTTAATTAACAAAACTACACATCAAGAACCGAGACAAATATTTTTCATGCTACAGTTACACAAGCATGGAAAAAAATCTAGTAAATTAATTATTTGTGAACAGTAGAGGTAAACCTAAAAACATATATTAAAATCTCCAAAAAATAAAAAATAATAATAATATTGAATACATAATATGATGTTGATGTTTCGCCTTGTCACGTCACTTTGACTGGTGAGAATTCAAATAATACATGGGCATTGAAAACTTTAAAAAGATGTTGTGTTTGATGTATTAATAAAAAAAAGTATGCATACATAAAAATAAATGTTTCATATTTCACTTTGGAAAACTGGAAGGCTGCGCAATGTGAGGATAGGCATGTTTTTACCAGTTACGCGTGTCATATATGGTTTCCGTTTTCGTTTTTTACACTATGTATCACTGTGAATCACTGGATAACTAAGTAAATTTTATGGAGAATATGTAAACAGTATTGCATAAATTGCTGTGCAAAAAGCCAATGAAGCCTCCTTGAGGCAGCAAAATGTAAAAGTTAAACAAAATGTTATATTTTTGGTGTTAAGTCGTGGCACTCATGCGGCATTCAATCCTTCAAACGACAAAAGTTTTTACAAAATTATTTTTTTCTAGCTGATGACTTCGAGACAAAAGTTACTTTCATTTTGCTCTGCCAGTGTGGGCAGTGGTGCGACACGCGAATGTTTTGCTAATAAGCGCCGGGCATTACGAGGAAAGAAAAAAGGGAAAACGCGCTCGATAAATGGCACAAAATTATAACTGGAGAGATGAGATTGCGACGATGCGCGACACAAAAGACGGGGTACGTCTCTCTCTCTCACTCACACACACTCGTCCCAACAACAATGGGATCCTTTCATACGCAAAATGTGCTGAGCTGTCTGCCGATAGCCCAAAGGGCTTCTCATTATGCATTCTTTTCCCACATTTACATTTTCCAATAATGAATATGTGTGCTCCTCCTGAATAAGAGTTGACGATGCTCGCGGTGACAGATTTTTAATTCCAACAAAATAATAATCACAAAAGCCGAGAGCAGACCCCGCTTTTTGCCACGAGCGAACAGATTGTTTTAGTATTCAGAGTTCGCAGAGAGGAGAGAATTAAAGCAAAAAAGCAATACTTCTTTATATATATATAATATACGCGCGGCCCATTGCGCTGGGGAATAATTACTATTCTCGCGCGCGGCGACGCCAAGAAGAGACAAAAAGCAGTCGAGGTGACGAGGCCGCAAGAGATGAAGTATAAAAAATTAATAACATGCACACGAAATGCAAAAAAAACATTTATGTCATGTTGATCGACCGTAAAATGATGCAAAAGTAATCGACACACTTGCTACACACAATAATTTGCAAGCAAGGGGAAAATGCGCGTTGTATCATGCATTTGTATTTTATACAGAATATTATTTAGCGAGATAAGAAAAGATCCCAAATTAATAGAAATAAAATAAACGTTCTGAACACAGCATAATCTAAAACAAATAAATTTAAGCTGAATGAACTTTATAAAATTTTATCAAATAATTGGCCGTTTGCCTAGCAAAGCTGAACTTTAAATTACTTCAAGACTTCAGAACTCAGTTATTCAAAGTAAAATTTATTTAATATATTAAAATGTTAATGAAATTTACAATCAGTTCAGTCAAATTTAAAATTTAACAGGACATTAAAGAAAATAATAATAAAGTCTAATAAAAATTCCTCAATTGGAACATAACTCGAAGGAATTTATTTAAAGCGATTCATTATTGAACTTAAATATAATCATGTGCATAATGATTTTTTTTAATCTCGTTGTAGAATAAAAGAACTTCAAGATTAATTAAAATAGCAAAAATTTTGAAAAATTACAAAGACCATTCAACATTGATTTTTAAATGTATGACAATTATCCTCTAAAGGAATAGATTTATCAATTTTAGCAACTTTTCAAAAAGTAAAATAAGAAAATAAAATTAATTTTACCTCTAGAGCTGCTCCTGAGAGTTCAAGTGCGATTTCCTGTGCGGTCTTTCTGGCATTTTCGGTGAGCAGGCACTCAGCGCGACTCGTCAAAAGGTCGGGCTGCTGCCACTGCTTATCTCTAATCGGCGGATCCGTTTGCTTAGCTTCGATTCTATCACTACTGGCAAGATTCCTGTTCTCGTGACAACTCTCCTCGGGCGACGGATTGGCGGGTTTGTCCGACGAGTCGGCGTTGATCTGGCTGAATTTGTGCACGTGCGAAGAGATGCCCTGAATGAGCTGCAGGGCGAGGGCGTCGTGCGGCCCCGCGGGCACGTGCTCGCCGGCGGCCACCTCGGCCACTTCGATCACGATCTTGGGCTGGTTGGCGTTGATCATGTTGACGATCTCATCGGCGCCCACCTGCGCGTGGTGCAGCATCGAGGCCACCGGCGGCAGCTCAAAGTCTTCGAGACCTGCGAACTGCAGGTCATCGGGTGAAAGTGTCTCTTGATCGGTTGTGGTGGTGGTTGTTGTCGGTGGGACGTTGACTGATAAGGGTAGAGTAATTGTCGGTGGAGGCGGCGGCGGCGACGAACGACGCACGTAGTTGAGCTTCAACAGGCCAGAAGTGTCAACAGACGGAGCCGAGTCGTCAACTATCTCGCCTTCTTCCAGTTCCAAATTTTCGGCGGCGGCGGCCGCGTTGATTTGCTGCAGTTGTTGGGACGGGAGGGTGGTGTCCGAGAGGGCAGGGACGAAGGACGTCGTCGGACAGCTGGACGAGTCTGTTTGCTGAGGGAAGGACGTCTGCTGCATTGTGGAGGGCTGCTTGTCTTCGTACATGGAGGGTTGCAGGGCCGAGTGCAGACCAGCAGGACCTGCATCAGTGGCGGAAGAGGGCGGCGCCAGAACGGCGGCGTCTGGACAGTAGGCGGCAGCGGCGAGGTCGAAGACGGAAACGGTCAGGTCCTGCTGCTGCTCGGCTGAGGTGAACAAGTTGTTGTTGCATTTGGACGTGTTGTTGTTTTCGTGCTGGCTGGATGAGCTGTTGGAATTAACCATCGCGTCGAAAAACGGTGGCGGCGACGGAAGCTGCAGCTCGAACAGGTCGGCCGGCAGATTCATCAGCGGCTCCATCGAGAACGAACCGCCACCGCCGACTACCACTGCATCCTCCTGCAACACAAAACCGAATTAGAGGCAAATTTTAATAATTAATAAATGACGATTTACAACTTTTGCAGTTTTATATTCTACTTCTGTGCAAAAAAAAAAGAATTTATCATTTTTTTAATCTAAAATGTGTCCTCATTTTTGTTATTTTTATTTTTAATAAGACTGACTTCTTATTAATTCACGTCATAAATTAAAAAAAGGAATTTTAATAAAAATAGTTTATAATTTACTCGCACGTGAATTTATAATGGGAGAAAGAAAAAAATATTTTGTAAAATTTCATATGATTCTAAATTCATTTTACGCGTGCAAAACATATTAAATCAGATTCATGAAATCTGATTTGACTTTAAAATACTAGTACTGATCATCAACTTTTTTCCTGTTTTTCTACAGATTTTAATCATTTTAGTCAAATCTATTGGATGTGGTGCTATTTTTTTTACAGATCTTATGTTACTAAAACCAAATAATTGACGGAAATAAAATGAAAAGTAGAGTCAATACCGCCGATGCATTGACTTATCCTCAAATTTTGGATACTTTTTCAGATCTCTTTTTTATCCCAAAACACGAGCAAATATCTGGGATTAATTTATTTAAGAAAAGTACAATTTTAACTTTGGCTTTATGGTTAGACTTTGCAAAGCTAGGTTTGTATGAATTGGTCTTGGACTACTTAGGTGAAAGGTCTAGTTCTAATCTATTTTATTTAAAATAACTATCGAACTAACAAGAAGATGAGGAAAAAGATTGGAGATCAAATTGCATTATAGGAGTGAGTATCGAGTTTTCTGAACGAAAAAATGCACGCGCGCACCCCTTCCTTCTTCCTTTTCATCAGCGATTTTGAGTCAGTTTTTTCCTGTTGCTCCGGCAGATCGCGAATTGAAAGAGAATACATGTACGCATATATACAAGGGTGTGTCTGCCGCCGCGCCTAATTAGAGAGCGGCGGATGTAAAGAAATTCCGGCGTGGCAAATGCAAAAAGTAAGCACGAATCAGGTTGAAAAAAGCGCGAGCCGAAATAATCGATATAAGCTTTTAGGGAGGAGCGGCGAAAAAGCAGGGAGGAAAGAAAGAGAAAGAAATATGTGGGCCGCGAGCAAGAAAAATGTGTAATGCACCGAGAGTTCGTTTGGCGTATTGATTTGGCGAATGGCAAAAATTGCGCTCGGAGCGACTGCATGAAAAGAGGCTCTTTTATTCGCGCGTGTGTTTAGAAGAAGAAAAAAGAGCGAGAGCGAAAAAGCAAGTAGTCTGATGCTTTTGTGTAAGGGATAGGGGGTGGTGGAGGAGCAGATGTCACAGAGAAAACGCGCGCGAGGAAAAAACAATGAGTAAAATCTAAAATGTTTAAAAAAAATCGGATTCATGGCTGAATTTTTCTAATTGTTAGTGTTGAATTACATGAAATAAGAGGAAGATAATTTGTAATGGAATAATTATCAGACCAAACTGTGTTCATTCTGGACCAGCAAAATTATTCAACTTCATAAATTTTAGAATAAACTATGTAGACGAAAATAATTTAAAAAAACATTAATTGCGCGTCATAAAATTTTTAGTCGGAAGAATTTTTAATTAATTTTATTTTTACCAGAAAATCTCACGGATTTAAAAAAAAAAATCATGAAGAAATGTCAATTTTCAATGATATTTTTTTACATAGTTAACAAATCAAATTAAACTTACGTTAATATATCTTGAATACAATTCGAAAAATTTGAAAAATCTACAATCAAAATTTACCGTTTCAAAATTTTGAAAATTTCAAATTAAGACTCGTCAAAATTAACCAAACTTACTACAACGGGCTGGTTTAATAAAATTTGTGTTCACCTCAGGCAAAGTTTTAAGAAGATATAACCCCTCAATTCTACTAATTGTGAATAAAATGATTTGAAAGGGAGGCGATAATTTCTGATTCATTTCGCTAAAAATAATTTGTATATCAATATAAATAAAAATTAAGAAAAAATAACTATACATCTTGCTAGATTATTTGAAAGTTTCAAATATTTTTTTGAGAAAATTAATGAAGTTTTTTAAAAACATGTAAATAGCAAAACATTTCTGAGCAACAAAAAATTAAAATAAAAACCATAATCTTTTTATGATTTCATAATTTAAAATATTATAATAACAAGTTATATAGCGTGGTTTCTGACAATTTACCTCTTAAAAGTTTTGATAATGAGCCCCTCTGTAAAACTTTATCATAAGTATATAATGAAATATGAGGCCGAGACTGGCCGAGCCTTGGATTGACGACAGGAAGAAACTAAAGAAACCCGGTCCATTTACAAACACAAGGGTGAGTCGTGCGCTTTTTGGGGTCGCGCTTGTTACCCCCATCATTCCGCGTCATTATTTGCAGGTGCATGCCTTTCCCTTTATTTCGTACTCAATCTGTGTCAAACACGACCGGCAGCGGGACGATTTGTCATTGGCCAAAAAAGGCACAGAGAGGGCTTTGTTTTCGTGGCGTCGGAATGAGAAAAACAAAATAACACTCACCCTCCAACCCTTTCGGCTACACATCTTCTAATATATCTGATTCTTTCCATAAATAAACAGATTTGAAGGGAAAAACGTAGGGTTGAACCAGAAAACAGCACGTGTACACTTTGTACTATCAACGAGACACGGCTGGTGCTGGTCGGCGTGGGAATTTGTTTACAAATATAAAGTAACAAAAAAGCACGAAAAGCAGCGACGAGCTGGCTCTTATCAAATATATAGTGAAGGCAGATGGCAGCACGCAACGTCCAACTTTCATTCCTAAATAATAAATAAATAAAAAAATGTGTGACATAATTCAAAGCATTGAAAATATAATTTCGATAGTGGAATTTATAAAATAATTGTTAATCAAAATAAAATAAAAATTTTACATAATATTTTTTAATTTAATTTTTCATCATCTTTGTAATCTATAATATAAATTTTGAAATATTGTTATCTTTTATTAAATTTGAATGATTTCAATAACTTGAGCATTATAAATTTAAAAAAATTATTTACAGTAAAACAATTAATAAATAATATTATAATTAACGTTTGAAGTTGAATCCTTAGTATACAGACATCATCGGCAAAAAAATCAATATCAAAAGTTATGAGAGGCATGATTAAAATCTCTACCAAAAAGATATATTTTTCTTAATTATAACTAAATATTAATTCACACAATTATTAAGTTTGGTGACACATAAAGGGTCGAATTGAAAATAAGACAATACCTCACAACACTCAGATTTTGAAAATAAAGGTGGTTAGAATAATCTGCACTGGATATAAGACGACTCGTCTAAGTTTGTGAGTGGAACATAATTTGTATAATTAAAAAACAGAAAAAATACATAAAGTTGTTGAAGATTAGATTATCCTTTCCTAGATTTTTAAAGAACGTTGAATTTATTAATATCTAATATATATTTACATCTAGATCTGCAATAAAATTTTTCTGGCCAAATGAGCTTGGAATTATCTATAAATAGAAAGGGCTTCTTTGTAAATATATCCGCCTCCCTTATGCAACCCCTTTCAATTTCTTTCAGCAAAAAGGGAGCAACAACTTTGCGTAATCGGCACAGATTAGAACGCAATTCACGGAGAGAGCATAGTGGAAAAAAATTAAAAAGCACCCCTTATTTCCTTTGTCGCGCGTGTGCACCCAAAAGGAGACGAAGAAGTCTCTTTATCTCGGTCCCCTGCATTGAAAACATTTTTAATGCTCTCGGCTGCATCCACTAAAGGTGGTTTAAAAAAAGCAGCTTTGTCGCCGCCGCATTTTGATACACCGGCCTGGATTTAATGCAGAGGAGCGAGCGAGCGCCGACGACAACAAAACAGACTATCATATTTTGCATTATTGAAATGACAAGAGCCATGGATGTTCGTCGAGAGCAATATGCGGAATGACAATACGGTAATGGGCTCTCGAGCTGAAAGCAGCGGCCGACAATCCGACGTATATTTCACGCACGCCGCTTATCAATAAATTTGTTCGCCCAAGCTTTTAACCGAGGGAGGCTATTAAAAAACCTGAAAGCATTTTTCTCTCCGTCGGTATAATAAGGTATTAAATAATGGACTCATTTGCAAATTGTCGATGCGGGTTGGTAAAAAATATTTTATCATCTTCTGCAATCTCTGCACAAATATATTGAACAATGTCTAAAGTAGACTAGTCAGATTTTTTTTTAATTCTACTCAAATTTCATTCTGAAAATTGATATTAAGGCGTTCCGATTCAAATTATATGAGTATAAAAACGAAATTTTTTATTGTCTTCCGCCCTTTTATGGCTTTTATTGTGCCATTTATGATTTAATTTTACATTTCTTGGATTCCTTTTAGTATAATTTGAATTTTACTATGTATTTGCTTTTCTGTAGGAAATATAATTATTGTTCATTTAATTTCAACTTCAAGAAAAAAGAGATTTTTATTTCTTTGAAAGGAAAAATCAAAAAGATTTCTGAAATGAAAATCAATGCTGCCATGAAATTTTATGGCAACAAATTAATTTTCATTCAAAAAATGTGAAATAATGACTTTGTAAAAAGTTACATTTCAAGCATTATTGTGTTGAAACAGCTATACCTAACCGGCACTGATTCATATGAAATTGAGACTTATTTGGGGAAGAAATACTTTTTTTTCTTTTTTTACAAGTCTATCAATAGAAGAAGTAAAAAAAAAGGAAAAAAATATCTAAAGTGTACATATTTTTAGTTACAAATTGTGTTTAATCTACGATAAAACGAAAATTAACACGAGACAAAATAAAGTTGAATAGCATTTTGCCGTTATTTCGTCGGTGGGTATAACGAAACAATTTTCCGGCCCAATTTCATCAGCGCAGGAGCTTCTCGTCGTGTCTCGCTCGCTCGTTCGCTCTCGGGGCTCCCGCGAGAATTCAAAGTCGTACATGCATATTTTATGAGCGGTGCAGGACCGAATGCAACCCACATTTTAGTCAAGTGGATTCCGGCGGCGGAGTGAGTAGTTTGAGCGAGCAGGGGACACATACACGACGGACTCGGGGAAAAATTTATGTCGTTGGCGCGCCACGCCGGCAAACGCTTCGGCAGCGGACACGAAGTGTATGTGGCAGAGGTGCGTGCGTGGGACAGGCTTTTGCCACAACGTCTGCGGAAATATTTATCATTTTCTCTCTAATTTTAAAGTAAGACGAGCAGAAAGAACTTGGGTTGGGGGAAACGTGTGCGATACGAAAAGAAAAGCAAGGTCAACAAACGCTACCTTCCGTTTTTTCAAGCTGCCAAAACCTGCCAGCGATTTTTAAAAACAGAAATAAAATTTCTTTGGAATTCCGTTGGCAGATTTCGGTAATGTAAAAACAAAGATCTCTAATCAGGTCAAATTTGCAACAATTGATATTCTGTCCTTTAAATGAAAAATTGGAGGCCTAAAAAGGGTTGAGCTAAATTGTTTATCAAAAGTCAAAAGTAATATTATTTAATATTAATTAAATAGCAAATAATGCAGAATGCTGCTGTCCCTAGATTGAGATTAATAATTTGAGATCCCTCATTAATTGAAATAATTTCCTCAAAAACGTAAGCGGAAATAAACGAAAAACGCCAAAAAAATCTCATTTTGTGACATTTTAGTCTTAAATTTCAAAACATTTTATTGTGATTTTTTGGGTCAAATTACTAACATCGGTAAAAAAAATTTTAAAAATGGCTTAGTATTTTTATTTTATATTTTTTTTTATCAGCTAGTGAACAAAACTGGTTGAATGAAAACAATTGTTACAACGAAGAAAAAGCCCGATTGCTTCACTTCCATGATCATCTCTTTGAGAGTCAATTTCTTCAAACAAGTTTCCATTTTCATGATTTATAAGTCTCCTTTACAGTAGAAAATCTATAGATATTTTAGACTAAATTGGATTTAATACATTAAAAAACTTACTGCATCGGTTTTACTTCAGTTGCAAAGAAAATTCCTACGCCAAATTTGTTCTTTGTGATCATCATTAACAAGACGTTTATGCAAAACAATTCTGCCCGTGCAAGAGCTCCAATAACTCTTTTTAGTGTGAAATTAAAACCATGGTTTTCCCTCCAAAGAGGGTGTCTAAATATCATTGGGCTTTTATTCTTTTAATTACGAAACATCAAAGCATTACTAAAAACGAAACCAGCATCTTTCCGCCCGGATTTTCGGACCGCTCTTAATTAAATATTGAAAGTGAGCGGGAGAGTGGAAGAGTAGCATGGTATTATTTTACTCGCAGCATCCACTGCTCTTATCGGCGCTCGCGGTCGTGCAGCGCCTTGGACTTTTACTGTAATAATAAAAGTGACGGTGCAGGGCAATAAAAGGCAGTTTTATTATTGCAGCCACGCGGCCGGGGACTGAACGGAGAAGAAATTCGGAGACCTGTCGAGCCAACATACAATAATGAAATGGCCAAAAAGGGAAGAGGAAGAATAATAACGTGCTTTTTGTACTCACCGGATTTGCATCGAAGAAAAAGGCCTGCAGAGGATCGGCCTGCAATAAAAAAATTAGACAGTCAGAAAAGTTAAAGGGCAGGCCCTTGACAATATTTCAGAAACTGGGGGATTAAGAAAGAGTCTGCATGCATAAGGGGAAATAAAGGTTGAGCGAAATTTTACGACGAGAGCCATTAGATTAATTGCGCCCGGGCAAGTTGTCCAATTTATCGTCGGCGGCGTGCGTAAATTAAAAGGACCAACTTGGCATAATTGAGCGCGATTGTCGCACCTGCGACTACAGCCAAACCCTCTCGCTTGTGTAATAATAACACGGCCTGAAACAAGTTAATCGATTTTGCAATTCGCCTCACGTTTCTCGTCGTGTTTGTAAATACGTAAGTGAAATGAGTAGCAGATGCACTTGGCGGCTAAAGGGGTCTTTTGTCTTTTATACTTGTTGGAAATTTTTCTTCTGCTTCTTTCCGGCTTTCTGCTCGGATGAATTTTTAAACGGCGTAAAAGTATATTACTAAGTGGCTCATCTTCTCATTTCCTCGTAAGCCTCTCCCGCAAAGTGACAGTTTCTCATGCAAATTCGGCGCTTGCGTTTCTTCTCTACAACTCCCTTGGGAATAAATTTTGTCTCGAAACAAAATTCTCTCGACCACGCTGGCTGGGAATGATTTACGAGCATTGTTTAATCGCAGCCGCGCAACTTGAAGAAATTGATTTATTCCCACCTGCTGACGATGTTTATGGTCGCGAGGTAAAATGCATTTCTCTTGTCAAAGAAACTTCTTCTCGGTGGGGTTCTTCAGTGTATTAAACTAACCAAATTTCTAATTTTTTCTTGCATTTTGCACCTTGATATTCCTCAAAAGAACAAAATGCATAGAATTTGTCAAGAATGAGAATTTTAAAACTTTTTTTTCCTTGCAATTCTTTAGGAAAATTCGTAAATTCTTTATAAAATTTTTTTATTTGGTTCATACGGAATTATAAAAAGTAAAGATCTAGTATCTTAACAAAACTTTGAGAGTTCAAGATTGTATATATTTGAACTAAAAACTCCACGGTAAGAAGTGCAAAAATAGCTTATTTTTTTTAATTCATCCTTCTCCTTTTCAAAATGCTTTCACCCCGACTTATTCTTACTCTCGCTCGCTAATTATCAATTAAGAGTGGCACGGAGATGTGAGCCTCCCTCCACCAGCACCTTTGTTAGCACACTTTTGCTTGTGGCCTTTATCTGAAGCAGCTCGCGGCAACGTATTTACTATTTGCCGAGCGAGCGTATGTGCGAATGTGTGCACTAATAATGCACTACTTTCTTCGTCTGCACAGGGACAAACAAAAGCAGTGGCGCGACGGAGTGAAATGGCACGCGCCAAAAAACAATCGCAATTATTCACCCGCGCCGTTGCGTGGTTTTTCGACGCGCCCGCAGAATACACATAATCTCTGAACGGGTGTGTTATTCCCTCTCTCATATATACACAGAGAGTGAAGCGAAAGGCACGCATTTAGAAAATTGGGCACATCCTGCCTCTCGCCGGGATCCCCCGCGTCCTGCTCACCAAACAATAAAAATGCTCGGCGAGTGGGGAGCAATGTTTTGTTTGTGCGAATGAGTATGTGTGCACTTTCAGCTGCATTATTGCCTTTTTCGATTGAAAATAATGGCCTTTTAGCGATGATTGCTCAATGGGTTTGCATACCGAATGGAGCTTTTTGCAATAATTATGTGTGAAATAATGTGCAAATGAATAAAAATATCTCAATACTCATTTTAACTAAGAATATTCTTAGTTTACAGAAAAATTATATTAAAGGTTATAATATGATTTTTAATTTAAAAACTGATTTGTGCAATACTTTACGCAGATGATATTGTGCTAATAGGCGATAGCCTTGAAGATATTAAAGCAGCACTTTTGGAAATTGAGCAATATCTAGCAACCAAAAACTTAAAATTGAATTATGATAAGTGTAAGATTCTCAAAATTAGAAATAAGGGTAGAGGCCGTCTAAGGAAAGACGACATTTTAAATGTAAATGGACAAAACATTGAATTTGTAACAGAGTTCTGCTATTTAGGTGTAACTTTTCAATCATCGGGAACTTGCTTTTCAAATCATGTAAGCAAAAGGGTGAAAGCGGCACTCTTTGCAATGGCCAAACTAAACGCTTTGCCAAAATCCTCTCTGCAGTCGGCCAAAAAACTATTTGACTTAGCTATCTCACCGGTTGCAAGTTACGGAATTGAAGCCATTTGGCCGTATTTGAAGCAGAGGGATTTGGAAAAACTAGAAACCATAAAATCAAGATTCCTAAAGAGAGTTTTAAGTCTGTCTAAAAGAATGAAATCACGACTTGTATATGCATTAACGGAAAGTGAAACAATCGTCAGTGACTTAATGAACAAATACAATCTTCCAGCGCACTCAGAAAGTGACAAATTTTTTAACTCCATGCGTCTTAAACAATTGGAAATCAATCCTCATTTTTATAACACACCTGCAATGACGAACAAAAACTGGCAGGCTACAAATTGTAAAGACAGACACATGTTCACCCGCTACTCTTGCCACGGTTTTCACTACCTGTTTTGCACAAATGCAGCCTATCACACGGCAGCAGATGACAAATGTAAATGTAAATTTTGCGATGAAAAAATTCTTTTTTATCACTTATTCGAATGTAACAAGAGCAATATTACGTTATCAGCCGCAGCGACAATGAAAAAGTGAGAGACAACACCGAGTGTGAGAGACAATACCGATGAAATAATTTTTGTTCCTTCATTTGACCGATTTTTACTTTATTTTATGTCTAGTATGTATGTTGTATACCGTTGGTATTTAATAAATAAATCAATCAATTTTTCAGATAATGGAAATTATAGATCAATTTGTATAATCCTGGATCCAAAATAAGCGAATAAAAATGAGCAAGTTTACTATCATTTTTAAAGTTTTAAACAGTAACAGATTTTATTCTGGTTGGAGAGTGTTGCGCTTTTAAATAAACAATTGATATTTGTCATTTAAATACGTGCTCAGGGCTTACGAGTTTCTCGTTAAATTTATTCATCCCTAAAATTTAAAAAAAGATATTGGAATACACAAAATATTTAATCATTGCAATAGAATATACATATTGAAATAAAATTTTGAAAAAAAAACTCACAAAAATTAATAAGCAACCGTGAATTCCGTTTGAAAGATCACAGAAGATCAGCTAAATTTGAGCAATGTTTTAACCAGGTTATACTTTTTTATTATAATAAAATTATAAACTACAACGAAATTTGGCGTTCCTCTCAATTCAAAACAGAACAAAATGCCAAAGTAATAGGAGAAAGCATAAAAACAATGCTCGTTTAAATTTATTAAAGGTGTGCAATAATTTTTTAGAAACAAAACCGGTAAGGAGAAGAGCAACATTGAATAACAATATTCCAGAATTTAAATGGTTTCACAGCAAAAACGTCATTAAATTCAGCACCAAAATAGCATTATGTTTTGGCCGCAGCTGGGCCTCTTTTGAGTTCATCGACCCAACTTAAAAAGCACCTTAATGCGAAAAACTTTTCCGCTTGAGAATTTCCAGCCCTTATACTTCTTCCAATAAACTCTTTCTTGCGTCTCCCGCATGAGTGCAAAGTTGAAAAGTTAGGCAACCGGCGCGACTCGCAACTCGAGACGGTTGCGTCGTTTCTTAAACGGCAGGCGACTACACAAGACGCTAATTAAATCAACAAGTGTCAAAGCGGAGCGTCGAATTCCAATCGCGTTTCGACAAAACCGAGCATAGAGACGGACCGTCGAGAGATGAGACGAACAAGTGGTTCCGACGGTGTGTGCGGCGCGATATTAAAAGAGAGAAAGGGGATGGCCGGCGGCTGCAGCAGCTCGGCAGTGAAAAGGTGCCGCAAATGACGTCTTTATTCATGCTCGGCCGAGTGTTGGCCACACAAAAGCAGCGCCTGGATTAATTTGCACCAGGCGAAATTTGTTCTCGTCACCACACGGAGCAAGAATTCGCACAAAGCAGATATCTCAGATATCATCTCGGAAGACGGAATACAGTCTTACAGTCCACAAAAATCAGTTCAAAATTAGAGAAATTTTTAATTAATGTAAATAAAATGTTTTGAGGAATGTTTTTACATATTGAAACAAGAAATGTGTCATGAAAAGTAAACATTTTTCTTGCAGATAAAAAAAAACTATGAACCTTGAAAGTTAAAAAAATACGAGGATGGTTCCAACCTTTGGACCAAAATTTAGTTTGATGAAAATGTACGGAATTTTTTCTAACAATTAAAGTTTTAAAATAAAATATTTCAATGGTATAAAACAGTATAAAAAATGAGGGAGTGGTTCATAATATGATTTCTGAGTTAAAGAAGAACTACCATTGAGATTATTATATGCTCTAATTAAATAAGCTAATTGAAGACATCGGTTGTTAAAATTAAATACAATACGAGTTATAAAATAAAACGTCCTCAAAACATAATTTTACCAATCCTCTCTATTAGGAGAAAATGGAATTAGAAAATTTCTGAAGTTTTCTATAAATAAATAATTCTTTTCAATTTTTAAAATTTTTGGAAACAGAAAAAATGACATAATTAAAAAATAAAATAAACCAAAAACAAAAAATGTCAAAAGAATAAAAAAATCATCAAGAAGCGAGATTTGTTTCAAATATGATAGAATTTAAAATTAATTTATTTTCTACGTTTTACCATTACTATTTAAAAAAGCAAACTCACTACATTTTCTTATAGATCTTTCTTTAAAAACTAATTTAACGACAATTTTGTTTTTCCCGGACTTCTCTAAGCTTTTGATGAATCTAACATTTTCGTTTTACTTCACTTTCCTATAAATTTTTCAGTTTTATTCCAAGATTTCTCTTAAGTAACAATGCGAGTTGCACTCTTTCGCTCTGTCACAATATCCGACTAGAGTCCTCGAACCGCGCGCGCGAGTGAGCAAATCCGCCGGGCACACAATGCACGGTGAATTGCACACGAGATGGAATGCGCCCTCAAGACAACAGCTGAAAAAAATTCGCCCTCTTTCTGTGCAGTCGTCGGAGAGCATTTTTTGTGCTCGGCGGGGACGAAAAATAATAATAAAAAAGGAGCGCTCATTCATCAGCTGAAATAAAAGCGCGCTTTTGCTTTGTTTGAAAATAATCGATCGGGCGGCGCGCAATATACATTTGATTCCTTGTGTCTCCCGTGGCGAAGTGACTGCACCCCTTTCTGCAAAATCCCATCCATACCTGCATCTTGTCCCGCCACAGATGTACATATACACAAAAGGCGCCGATTTGCGACTCTCTCTTTGAGGGCAAACAAAAGTTTCGAGTCGTCCGGCAACAGAAAGGAGGAGATGTCAAGGTTGGCTGCTCAGCACATGCAGAGCGCGCAAATTATTTGTTGGCCTAAGGGATTGGCACCGGAGAAAAAAGAATCTTCAATTCGCCACTGCTGCCGGTTTAAATACGTATGAAAAGAGGAGTTTCATTTATAATATTGGAAAAACGGTTGAGAATTAAATTAGATAAAATGAGGCTTGTTTTTTTTAAATTGTGATTTTTTTAATTGGAAGTCTAACTTTTATTTTTATTTTTTTAATACTTCACAGCTTAAAATATGAAGAGCAGAACATTTTTTTTTCTTTATGAAATAAAATCATAAAAAAAGATAAATCGAGGAAAAGGTAAATTCCGGTAAATTCAAACTCCTTCAATCAACTCATGCTTGCAAATTCTTCTGTAAATTTGCAGAAATTTGTTTCATTTCACAAGAATTGACAGCATAAAAAGCTTATCAATTGGCACCTTTTTTTGTCCATTCTGTTATCCTACATTATCGCAGGCACGCAAGAAATAAAAATCTCTTTCAAGTATTATTTGATAATTTTTACATAATAAATTGATTATTATTCTTTAAAATTTGATCAAATATTTCTGTTTTTCTTCTTTCTTTGAAAAAAGTATTCCATTCTGGTTCATTATCCTTTTAAAACTCAACTCTACGAGTGTTGAATTCCATCAGCCATAATTAATTAAATTCAGTTTATATTTTCAATTTGTCAGACGTATTTTAAAATGTGAATTATTGTTAAATGTAAAGCATTCATTTTTCATTTCTATCAATTTTATTTGATATTTTAGAACACAAACAAAATCAGTAAAAGTGATTTTCTTTCTTTCCAGCAATTGATGAATTAATACCGTTCCCAGACAGCCAAATTTTCTTCTTCAATTTTTAAATTGAAGTTGCTTTTGTGAAAAAATACAATAAAGAAAAAAATGATCTAATTCATGGTTTAGCTTACGACTAAATAATTTAAATGTGCGTTACTCTCAATTTGTAAATTAAGTTTTCACCTGCAAGAATGACTTGAGCACCAGAACGAGCCAATTTAATCCCTTGTCTCGCACCCGAGGTCCTTGTTTCATGTGATGAATTGCATTGGCTCGCTCACTACTTTCGTGTGGCAAAACATGACGCGAGCAATTAAACTGCGTGCTAAAGTGCATTCCATCAAACGCGCCCGCAGCGCTGCAGATTATGCACGTGGGGCCCAAATTCGTCCCCCTGCAATTCAATTTATCCTTTTGTCTCCGCCCGAACACACTCTCCGAAACGCCACTGAATTTACAACCTGCAGCTTCAAAAATTAAAAATAAAATGTGTGAAATTTTTCCCGCAGCTTTTAGCGGAAGTGGCGAATTAATTTGCACCCATGTGGCTAATGGCTAATTGATTTTCAGTTGCGCCGAGTCGGCACTTTTGTTAATTATTCAACACGTTTATAATGGAAAAAATTAACGAGCAGTGCCGCGCAAACTGTCGCCGAGAGTAAATATTGGCGCTCCCCCTAATTTTCTGCTTAAAGCACTTCCCCGATCCGTGCTCGTGAGAGATAACACCCCGTCGATCGCCATCGCTTTCCAATAATTTGCTTCTCTAGCCCAAAAGGGACCGAAGAAACAGAGATTACTAGACAAGGGTGTTGGTCACTCTGAGAGATTTTAGAATAAGAATAATTAAAAAGTTAAAAAAAATTTATTCACCAAAATATTGTTCTAGCAAGGAATATCGCTCAACTCCAGCTTTCACAAAAATCATAAATGCAATGCAATTGATTTTTTTTTTTAATTTTAAAGCTAATTTCTAGCATAAAATCACATTAGATTTATCGATATAATTAGCTTCAAAAAATTTATAGGTATTTGAATACAGAGGCATTTTAATGCTTTTGCGATACATACAAAAAAACAGGACGAAAATGTTTTGGCAAAATTTGATGTTATAAAGAATTTGCTGCTGCTGATTTCCTTTTAGCCAGAAAATGGTATTAAAAACTTGACGAATTTTGAATTAACAATCCTGCGCTGCCATGACAATATTTGGATTTTGTATCAAAATGATATAATTGTTTTAAAGATCGTACACAGCATGTATGATTATGATTATCCTCTTACTTGGATCAGTTTTGTGTAATAAGCGATTGCGTCGACGGAAATTCGAAAATTGTCAAATTTGATGCTTTCGGAGAGAAGCAAAAACCAGGTCCAAATGGAAACTAACCTGCAACTCTCTGCTGGGACCGATGCTTTGAGAAAACACGGTGATCGTTGCGTTTCGACGGGCCGGACTGGAGTTTCACTCGTTTTTCGCCAGAAAACCCTCACGTGGAACGATTTCTGATCAGGAACTCGATACAAACAAAAGCCATCATTCGACACATTGAAAGCAATAACTGACCCCGCCCACCTGATTTCCCAGAAGGGCGCGAATGCACTGATTATCGGCAGGCAGCGCTGACTAATTTCAAGTAATACATAAATGTGGCGGCACCTCGGTTGCATGTTTTATATTAAGCTGTCTTCCTAAATTTTTAATTTAAAATTTAGCTGAACAAAACACCAAGATCTGGCTGTATGATAACCACCAAAGCCAAAAACAACAACAAGCTCAGTTCAGCGTTTTGAAAAACTGTATTCCTGATCGTTCTTAATTGTTAAACATTGATTCTTATTTAAAAAATAAAGCCAAACAGGCCCTATTAATATTATTGTCACGATCTGAGTTGTATGTCACGAAAAAGATAAATTTAAAAAAAAAATTAGCAAATTAATAATAGGCATAAATATGCAAATAAACAAAATTTTCATGTGAACAAATTCCGATTCACATAGCAAAATGAAAAGGCGCAGCTTGTATTTTGGCAAAATTCAAAATGCGGAATTGATTTCTGCCAGAAAAAAGCATTTTTAATTATTTTCGTAAACAAAATTTTCCGTAAAACGGCGAGTGGAGAAACGTACGATCAAAAGGCAACCGACGCGTACGAATTGCATGGGTGGAGTAATTAATTTTCACGCGCGGCCCTCAAGTATTTTTAATAACAACAAGGCAGTTCGTTTCAAGTGGCCGTGATTTGCATCTGCGCCACACTCCACCCTTTTGCTCCGCGGAAACATTTTAATCAAAACTGAAAACCACCCCTAATCAAGAATTTTACGAGCTAGGCGAGAATCGATTATTTCTGCGAGTGACGAACGGCGGCGTCACATGGCGCCGCAATTCGCCCAAGGTTCAACAAGTAATCAACAAGTCGGGCCCAATTAATTAAGAAAACGCGCCCGGCTCGCAGTTAATTAAAGCTCTGACAGTTTTAAGTGTCGTCGAGAATTTGATTGCTCGAAAAAGACAAAAGGCGGCGCGAGTGCTAATTATTCTCGAGAAATAATAACTCCGCAGCACACTCACCCAACGGCCGGTCCTCCGCAGGTCGGAGGGCTTCGAGTGGATGGAGCAAATGACGCACTCGGCATCTGGCAGGGCCCACTCTGCGCTGGGCGCCGCCATCGCCGAATGCATCCACTCATTCAGCGCCTCCGTGCTCGACATCACTCCGCACCACCTGAAGACAAAAGTACAAAAATTTAGTTTCGTACAGTTTCGTAAAACAAAGCGGAAAAGATGCAATAATAGCAATAAATGCGATTCTTTTGAAATTCAAGCACCTTAAAAGTAATCCTAGAATGGTGGTTATTCGTTTTTCCCCTTTCAAATAGTTTCAATATAGACAATTTTGGTGATATTTTTCTAAAACTTTGATGGCTGAACTTAAAAATTAATAAACAATTAATAAAAAATATAAAAACAACATTTTGAATTCCTGCTCATTGTGAATTGCAAGAAACTACTGAAAAAAAAGTTTACACATGAAACACGTTATTATAAAAAAATCTAAATAAAATAAATTTCATTTTTAAAAAAAATTTATATATAATTTTATAATTCAATTTTAATTAATGAAGGTAAGATATTTTTACATTAAAAACAAAAATATTATCATTAACGTTCTTATCTCTATATAATATTTATTTTGCCTTGTTTTTTTAAAGTCAACTACGTTTGGCGCAAAAAAAATACAATTTTTTTACTATTTATAGTCGCCTACGGGCTCTTCAATGACAGCCTGGTTCAATGACAAACTCCAACAATTAAGCGTACCTGCAAACATGAGGTCTGACTCCTTTTCTCCTCTTCCAGATTATCACACACAAGTTGAAATTACATTTATCTTTTTTTGTCAGACTTGTAAATCACGTATATTTATAAGAATGAAAGTTATTTTCAACAGATATTTTGTTCATGGGCATTTCCTTGTTGAATAAGAATTTTACTAACAAGAAAAAAATGATATTTTCTAAAAATCAAAAAGCAAATTGCTTGTGAGCCCACATAATGCACCTTTGTACATTGAAAGTGAATAATGCGTGCATCTGGACCGCTCAATTTTTAAGATTGAAACAAAATTAATCACTTGCGTAGGGGGATTTTGACCAGGGCGAAAATTGCGGCCCGCGGGTAGAGCGAGAGGATCGGTGAGCGGCTAATTGACACTCGTTATGCGCCTCCACGGCGAGGGAAGGTGCGAGCTGACAGCCAGCAACCTCCGCTCCCAGCAGCACAGAACACTGCACGCTGCGCGATTAATTAATTATCAATCACCCACACGTTTCGCCCCAGGCAGGCTGCCGTTGAAGGGGACAAAGACAGCAAATTAATAGTCGAAAAAATGCTCTGCTGGCTCGCGCCGAAAAGTAGTCAGAAAGCGCCTCTCGTTTCTATTTGCAGCATCTAACGTGTACGTACATATATAAATTCAAATTTTATAGTTTTTTTTTGTTGAAAATATTTATTCCTTCTTCCTTCCAATTTAATTCATGAATTCAACTAATCTGAAAGCTCATTTTAACTGTTGGGGTCTCTATAGTTACTGTTTGACAAATTTATAAGCGTTTTCAATCTTTTGTAGTATTATTTTGTCGAAAGAATTTCTTACGTTTATTTTATTAAAGAACTTGATTTAGAAAAACCGAAGGATAAGATTTTTTTTTTGCTTTCTTTATAGACTCCCCTCCTTATTTAAAAGCTAAAAAAATTACTTACTAAAAAATCCCTGAAGAAAATTGATAGCGAAATCGTGATCACAATAATTCTTTTAACAAGGTTAGACCAAAACTAACGACTGCGCCTGCACTATTCATAAATCATATTGTGACAAAATTACTACATTCAGATAAGTTTTTAATTGAGAATATTGTTAATGTTTTGACTGTTTTCACGCAGAGTTTCAGAGTAACGCTGTATAAATGGCATATGATTCAAAGTTGCTCTGGTGGGAGCCCCCTTTTGTCCCTAAATTTATTTCCCCTAATGGATTTTTTCTGTATTTCCCCTAAATTATTTCCCCTAAATTATTATCCCTAAAATCTTTTTTTTATTTCCCCTAAACTCCATTTCCCCTAAATTTCATTGCCCCTAAATCATAACAGAATGCAGGATTCAGGGCTGTTTCCATATGCAAAAATTGTTGGTTGCCTGATACATCATTTACAGATAACATAATTGTATAATATTTAAATAAAAACACAATTCAAAACTTACATGAAGTTATAAAGTCCATACTAAAATAAAAATTACAAAGTTTGGGGCTCACAAACTCTTATAAAACTGAAGCAAATATAATCTGTAAAAATGCTCAATGGCTTTGTCATTATTGTCTGCCTGACTTTCAAAAAGTTTGCAAATCCAGCAAGTAAAAACGGAAAAAGGCTAATTTAGCAATATGGGAAAAGATTGAGGTAGTGTACTCGGTATTTGGACTAACAATAAGACTTGACTTGATGGTTATAGAATGACTACAAAATAAATTTAACTTATAATTGATAGAGCATATATTTTGAAAATTATTAAAAATAACATTTTTACATAAAATTTTACGATTTAATCCATCTTTTGGTAACAAATTAAATTAATTTTTAAAATATTTTGGTCAGAATCAGTCAGAATATTGAAACTTGTGTTTTAAGCGTACCTTTCTCGGCGGTATTCGAAGGAAGACTAAATTATATTTTGCTCCGTTTTTCCGGTTTCAGGTATAAAAGATATATTTCCAATTTTGTTCAATTTAGGGAAAATAATTTTAGAGACATTGCTATTTAGGGGAAATGCAAGAATAAAGTTTAGGGAAAATGGTTTTAGGGGTTTTGATTTTAGGGGAAATGAAGAAATTGGTTTTAGGGGAAAAAAATTTAGGGACAAAAACGGCGACTCGCTCTGGTCACTGATATGTAAACATAATAAACAACTCTATTTTTGCAACTAAAAATTTTAATTAAATTTTCCCTGCAAACAGGAAAGTATACAGGTTGTTGATCGATTTTTTTTTCCTTTTCAATATCAAATTAAACAAATAAATGAGTAAAATTTTTAAATAAAAGAATTGAGGTAACTGATAAATATAAAAATGACGACGTCCTATTACAAGTGTGCCTTTTCCTTGAGAGGGTATTCAATGAACGCATGCAAACGCGCGCCCCAACGAGAAGCGAGTTAGGCAACCTGCATGACCGCAACGTGCGGCATAATGCCTACAGCCCAATGTTCAATGTTTAAGGGGTTCAATCAAAAATGTAAAAAAGTCCAATATTAAAAACAAGAAAAAAAATTTGTAATCAGAATCAATATTATAATTTTCTGATTAGTATTTAACTTCCGGTCATTTAGATCACAGATATAATTATATTTGGTAAACTTTTAAAGTTGAGGAGCAATAATTAATTTTTTTATTACAAAATATAAAAACTTTTCTCACCTGTTACAGGGTCATTGATGCTCGTGTGGGTCATTGCGCGTGACCAAGAGAGAAAAAGAGCAGAATTATTCAAGATGCGTTTTGGCCGCGGACGAAAGTGGCATGTCGTGCCGAAGGAAGGAGCGACCGGTTGATGGGCAAGCAGGTGGTGCGCGTGAGAGACGGAGGCTTCAAGCTCAGCGGACGCGGAGCATGTGAAGAGAGACGTCGTCCGGGCGTGCCACTCACGACTCTTAGGCACGCCCGTCGCCGCGCAAGCGCCCGCCTCCCCAAACACCGGACACGGAGCGCGCCAACCGTCCCATTCATCGCTTTAATTGCTCCTCCGTCAAAATAATGTACATGCGGTTAATAACGAGCACTGGCTGTCCTTGCAAATGGAAAGGGTTGAAAGCTACAGAATGTGGTTGAAATAAACTGGCATGTAAAGTGTGATAAGACATGTTCCCTGAAAAAGTTCAAATGCAGAGTACTTTTAAATTTAGAAACTTTTTTTCCAATTGTTAACAACATCTCTTGGAAATAAAAGGAAGTGAATTAAAATTTTTATTGAAACCTTCACAAAATCTCAAATATATATCTTATTAAACTTTCTGTGAAATAAAATTATAGGTACTCCTGTACACTTTTGCACCTGCGTTCACTTTATATTCAGCAGTTGACAAAATGCAGTTCGGCAAACTCGTCCGAGCTTTAGCAACTCAAAATTAGGGTGGATTAGGATGCAAATAGGGGCTGATCACGACGCCCGCCGGTCGAGGGAAGAAAATTGAATGTCTCCGCTCGGCACATATTGTACTGTGGTGAACGGGCGTGTTGGTAAAACTTTGGCGTGCGCCGGCGTGTTGCTTAATAATTAATCACGCCTAATTATTTCTCTCTCGCGCGTCAATTATTAATTTTCCATTTATCTCTCTCGCACTTTCCACGCGTACGTGTTGTGGAGAATTATTTTTCAAAACAAATTAACGCAACACGCGCACCTGTGCGCCAAATTAAACCGCACAGAGAGAGATCAATCAAATTTTCGCACGGGTGAAAAATGAGAAATAGTCGCAGGTCTATTTTTCCGAGTCGAGAGGCGCTATCGATTATTTGCGCGTCTCTCTTTCTCGTCACTGGCAGAGCGCGATCCACACGGGGGCTATTTGTAAATTATAAAGGACCCCGAAGACCTCAGGAGCGCGCACGGGCCATTTTAACATAATATTTTACAATTTCGCCTCTCTCCGCGTAAGTGAAATGATGGGCCGCAGTAAAATTTATCGGGCCTAGTTTTCCCTATATAGACACCCGAGGCACACAAAAATTATTCATGACGTAATAAAATGACAAGCTATTATTATTATTATGCACTGCAACTTGGTACAAGAATAAACTACTGCCGAAAGGTGCGGACTTGGTATATGGAAAAGTTTGCTGCATGGGAAAACTTGCACCGGCACTCGTGGCGTGCAGAATTAATGGATGCAAAACTTGTTAAAGGGGTGTCGCTCTCTCTCGGCAAAGGCAATTTTCAGCTCTCGAGAATTTTAAATGAAAGCAAAAGTGGTCCGGACGGACAGACTAGGTGGCCGAGAAAAGCTCAACACGTACACCTACCCAATATATTTGAAGCTTATTGAATAAGCGGGCTGAGCTGCACACACCACCGCTGACCAAAACAAACGACCAGAGAGGCCGAAACCTTGGCTTGGAAATAGTTAAGACAGATGATAAATTCCACACCCTGTGTGAGAAAGTTCTGACAGCTTGGTAGGAAAATAACTATCAAATTCTCTGAAGCTGAATTTTAAGAATTAAATATTCTTAGGGGAGAAAACTTTTGAATAAAAGAAAATAAATGAAATTTCATTTAACCTATTTAAATCTAATTTTCAAGTTAAATTTTAGTTCTAGAACTTTGGTTTATATTATGTTAGGTAAGTGTTTTTCAAGTTGATAATTGTCAATAATTTAAGCAATATCATTTTATTAATCAGTCAAAATAGAGTTATTTTCAGATTATTTTTCATTATACCACAGTTTTAGTGTGAAATATTCAAGAAAAAGAAATGCTTATTGTTAAATCATCTACAGATAACAGATCTACAGTAATTTCACTTTGAGTAATACCAGAAAAAATGGCTTTTTTGCCATTATTAGTCTGGCTGCAATACAAGTTAACATCAGACTGGAAACTCGATTCCCCTTGCAATTAAGAATAAAAAAATTATCCAAGCTTTAATTTTGATTTTATGTCAATAGAGTAAGTTAATTCCCATCTACGAGCAAGGAAACTAACTGGGATGTTTATATTCCGAGATGGTCCAGTGTGTTCTTCACATACTAAGGCACTCGCTTTTTGGCCCGGTATGAACCCACCACTCTATTATTCTGCTTGAACCGTTTTGGCTGTTTCCACACAGACATGTTCTTGTAAGGCGCAGATGACAGTTTGGGCTTGTAGGTCATCGAGACCTGGCTTGGGCCACGCCACTGAGAGCACCTCAGCTTGCTGTGCTTGCTTGGTTTTTGCACTTTGGGTTTGAACTTCTTCACGCGCATGTAGAACTTGCGCCAGGTCATAGGTCGTCTCTGATGACACTGTCGGAATTTGTTCCAGATGCAGTACTTCCAATAGTTCTTCTTCCACCTGGAATTATTAAATATGAAATTTATTAATTTTTAATTGCACCATAAGACAATTTATGCCAAAATTGAGAATCATTGATATTTTAATGAATAAATTTTTTTATGAAAGTGAAGGAAAGTTAAGTTGTTAAATTGTATATAATAATTAATTGATAATTAATCAATAGATAATAAGTATCAATACTAGGATGTTTTTTTTTAATTTGATTTCAAAAGTTTGCTGTGGATCTGTGTGGATAAAAAAAAAATTTAAAGCACTTCAAACATACTTTTCTGCCTCCCTATTACGAATGGCAACTCTGTGCTTGACAAAGAGGTAAGCTTTTTCAGGAGGGTCCTCGTACTGGAAGTGGATCACGTAGTCCGGAAAGACATCGTCCACATCAAACTTGACCCACACCTTGCCGTTCTCACTGATGTTTGTGTCGTATCCTTCGTCGGGCAGTTCCGAGTCCTCGAAGCCAATGCACTGCTTCACGGTGAGGACGCGGAAGAGCAGCATGATGCTGTGCTTGGTGTTCTGGTCTGTGTAATGCATGGCATAGGAGCTGAGCGGGGAAAAGTAGTAGCCTCGTCCGAAACGAGAACCTTTCTTGCGACCAAAAAACTTCCAGTCAAGGTTGTAAGTGAGAATCGAGTCCACATACTGCTTGTCTGTGCCATGGAACAGGTGGACTTCTTGCACATGGGGGTATGTCAGCTCGAGCTTCTCTTTCTTCAATTGATACCTGAGTAAAAAAAAAAATAGAAAATATATTTCTTAAAATCAGTACCCTCGGATTGATAAAAAAATTAATTGAAAATTGTCACTAATCTATGCATCATTTTGTATAAATTTTAAAAATCAAACAAGAAATGTTTTGATCATTTAAATATATCTCTCAGTTCGTTTTTTCCATTAAATCTGATTCTTTAAAATTCATAGCTTATATAACATTTCAAGACCCAAAAAAATTGCATGACTCATGAAGGCCTTATCAAATTTTCAGCATTTCGTAGCTTTTTTATAAAGTTAAAGGAATACTGGAAGTGAATATCTTTAACATATATCAAGTGGAAACTTCGATTGAAATAAACTCCGAGATTGAATGAATACAAAATCCAGAGCTACAAAAACAACCCCGGCAACTTTTATATTTACGCCGCACTTTTTCCCATACACATTATTAGGATTATTGCGTGTTCCGCTCGCTCTCTCCCCTGCGAGATGCCTTTATAGAAATTTACGCGCGGGGGAGCGCTGCAGAGATACTTTTTTCTTTATTTCTGATCCCCACACCGTTCACTTTTTGCTACATATATACCTCTTGGAGAGAGTTATTCATATAATTTGAATTCATTGCCGTTCGAACTGGATAAAAAGGTCATCGAAGAAAAAAAGAATATTCTAAGGTGGAAATGAGAATCCTTTCCCTCTTGACTTGGCAAGTAAAATAAATCAGAAAACATGCATCCCCTGTAATTAATATTCAACTAGCGCGCCGCCGCTTCTTCTACAAAACCCCTGCAAATGAAGTGGCCGCTCAGAATCAGCCGGCCGTAAATTTTGTCTCTCCCTCTGTAAAAAGAAATTTCCAGCTTTCCTTCTTTCTGCATCTTGAAACAAACAATTTTCTAATGAACGGGCACCCATTAATCTTCATTAGCGAAAAATAGCTGCGTCGCATGGTCAATTTTGTCCCTTGCAGGAAGGAAAAGGGGCAGTAAAAATGGACGAAAACGTCCGCCTGGGACGAGAAGCAAAATTTTTCTTACACACACGTCGGGTCGACTTTTTATTTGCCTGCTTTTCTTCTCAGCGCGTATAAAACTTGTCATTTTGCTGCTGTGCAAAGCCGGGCCATGTAAATGCAACGAGTAAACATCAGCCGACGCACACACAGCCGTAGTACACTCTCCCTTTCGTCGCATCGATTTCTAATAAAAAGCGGAATTTATGTACCTGAACCAGAGGTGCGGATTCTCGACTTTGTCTACGGCCAGCACGCGTTGCCGGCTGCTCTTATTGAATTTGGCCGCGACGTACTCGAACTCCCTCGACAACGAGTTCACACCTCGCAACACGTATTTGCCAATCAGGAAGGGCGCGCTCAATAATTTAGAATGCCAGTGATTAGGCAGCAGCTCCTGTTGCCGCTCCACGCTCACCCTCGGAGTTGGGAACAATTGCAGGAAGGTCAGCCCGGAAGCTGCGTTCAGCTTCTTGGCGAATTGCCTCTTGGTCTCGGCGGAGCAGCATTCTTCAACCTGCAGGACAAATTTATTTCATTAAAATTAAAAATTGAGAAGGTTGGAAAAGAAAAACGAAAATAGTTTTGAATGTTTTCTCTTAATAATTTAGGTTGAATTTGTTAAAAAGTAGCACAAAAATGAACACAATTTTTGTTAAATCTTTCATAAACATAAAAAATAACAATTTGTACAAAATAGGCAATAAATATTATATTACGAATATTAAATGATAAAAATAGCAAACATAATAGAGGCGCAGTATTTCGTAATTATTATTACCTCAATGAACTAAGAGAGAGACTAGTTATTCATTAATTAACCAAATTATTTTGAATTAAAGGTAATTTTTCTGCAGTGTTAAAATTACGATTTTCTTTTCCAGCTCTGATTGTATGGCTAAAGTGAAGAAATATTGAATTAAGTCCAATTATTAATTTAGCAGTAATGTTATCAAACAATTTAAAATTCTTTTCAGCTCTCACTTTGAAAGATTTTTAAACAATGCGGTCAGTTTTTTGTTGAACGTTGTTAGAAAAGTAATTAACTATAGAAAACGGTACAAAAGAATAATATTTGCTTTGAAATTAATATAAAAATACTGTTTAGCGAAAATAATTATAAGAACTTCAAATTAATAAATCACGTTTAAATGAAACTTCTGAATTATAGAGAAAAAATATAAAATGATTATGGAATATACGACCAAGATATCTATTCAAAACCATTCTCGCGGTTTAACTTTCTGCGGACAGATTAAATGATGTTTGCGTTTGGACCCCTGACCAGAGTCAGCATCTTTTATTCACAGCCAGATAATGGGCACTCGTGCGTGCCTAGGACCGTAGAAAATCGATCCTTCTTTTATGGCGGCGCCGCTCTTTTCAATAATTTATTTATCCCGAGACGAATGGGCGATTTGTATCTTGCTCTTGCTTCGGAGACGTTTGGCGACCGATGCTATAGAGCAGAAGCAGGAGATGCAATGTCAATGCTGCACCAGAAATTGAAATAAATAAATAATATTTCGACCGGCGGGTCCGGATATGAAATTGCGGCGAGGCGCCTAATATATTTTTTACCTGGCCGCACACGCACACAACTTTAGTGGTGCACCGAGTCGGCAGGGCCGCCGCCGGCCGGTCGGTCGGTCTCGGGGAAAAATATATTAGGTTGCTTGAAATACGAACGCCGTGGTCGTTCACTCAAAAAGGTCGGCGGCGAATTCGCCCTCTCATTTTTTAGAGTGTATGTCTTGCACGCGGCAAATAAGTTAAATCCCGCCCCATGTGCATTCGCGAGTGCGTTTTAACATAAAGTAGCCTGCGAAAGTTAGCGAGCAGCTGCGTGTTTTTCCTCGAAATTAAGCAGCCGCAAAAGTTTTATACACGCGCCCAAAGTGGCGATGCAGCATTCGAATAATGGCACTCGGCAATTTAGCCGCCGTGCGTGTATTTTCTCCTCCCTTGGTGCAAATATCAGTGAAATCAACCCTGATGGCGGCGGCATTTTCCTGCTACACTGCTCTCGAGAATAAAAGGCGAAAACTTTTACCCAAATTCTTGCATAATTTAATATTTAACTTTGCTAAAGAGATGAATGTTCAATTCCTTGTGAAGAGAGCATGCCCTATTAATTTTAAAATATTCCTAAAAGTTTCAATTATATACAATATTTGATTTAGCTGGAAGTTTAAATTGCAAAGAATTTTAAAATCACTTCATAAAAGAAAATAAATCCATAAGTTAAAAAGAAAAAATAGTATGATAAATCTTCAGACAGCTAAAATATTTACCTCTTCCATAATAGGGTTTCCCAGCACCATCTCTCCATTGGCACCCTCAACCTTCACCGGCTGCCTCTTCGCCCTGATCCTGTCAATGGCCGCCTGTCTGGCCGCCGTCTGCTCTTCAATATCAGCTTTGACATCCTGAACAGAATGCTCTGGCGGCATGTAGACCTTGACTTTGACCTCCTTGCTCAGCGTTGTCCTCTGGTGCATGCTGAATTGCATTTTTCCGTCTAGCACGATCCAGTCGATTTTGTCATTTCGCTTCTTGTCATTAATGAATCGCTCCAAGGGCACGGTGCGCTCAATGTCTCTCTCAAGCAGTCCGATCATCTCCCTGGGAAAAGTCTTGCTATTCACCGTCACTTTTCCGCCGCAGCTACTATTTTGTTTTGCCACCACGGGGGTGGCGGCAGGTGCGGCTGTATTATGACATTTTACGACTCTGCGGGGAGCAAATATTATTTGCGGAGGCTTTGCGGCTTTTTCAGGCGGCTTTGAGAGCAACATATCCATCAGGGCGGCTGCCTTCAGACTCGAGTCAATTTTGAAGCTCTGGGACTTTTGCGGTTTGACTTTCAGAAGAGGAATTTGGGTTTTGCGGCAGGTGAGCCGCTGAATTTCGTCCTTGGCCAGCCTCTTGATGACGACGCGCACCTGCTTTGTGCAACCAAACTTGCGGCGCAGCTCCCTGTCGGAGAGTAGCTTTTTAACGCTCCTTTTATTTGCATCACCGGCGCGCTTTGTTTCACTCATTTCAGCCGTCGAGGACTTCTGCTTTTTCATTTCCTCCGGCCCGTCATTCTTGCTTGGCGCGGCGGTGGGTTTTTTAGTCGAATCATGGCTTTTTCCTTCTTTACGACTCTCGTTTGGAGGGGATTTGCCAGTCGTCTGTTTACCATTGTGCTCCCTGCTATTTTTCTGCTCATATTTGTGCTCTTTGGGCTTTGGCCTCGAGTAGCACGCTAAGCCCGGTGAAGAGCTGCTCGCCGCGGCTGCTGAAGGCGTCTTTTGCTCCTGCGACTCCGCTTTTTTATTACCACCCTTTGAGGATTTTGCGAGTATTATTTTCAGGGCAGAGGAATTTTCACTGTGAACTTTCACTTGGTACTCCTCTGATGGACATTCAACATCAATGACTTTGTTAACAGGCTGCTCGTTTAGTTTCTTGTAGGACACCTTATGGAAGAGTTTCTGCTTCAGGGATTGAGAACTATTCTTGAAGGTCTCCTTGATTTTGTTCTTCATCAAGCTGAAGTGCTTCAGCGGCTGGGTGTGCAACACATGTTTTTTCTCCGGGGAAGCTTCTTTTGGTTGTACCTATAAAAAAAATATATTTATAATAATAAAAAAAAAAATTAAATTTAAACATGCAAATTTTACAAGAAAAAATAAATAAACTATTGATTTGTCAAATAATATCATCTGTTATAAAATACTTTGTATAATTTCTCCATGTAAATTATAATGAAAAAAAAAACAATAAATTTAATTCAATAATAAAAAAGCATTTATACATATTTTTTTCTTTAAAACAATTTAACTCGTGAGAGAAAAAATTGTTGATTAAAATAAATTTTACTAGATATAAATATTAACTAAAAAAAAATTGCCTCTGTCTCAAAAAAATTAATGAAATTGTGATCTCTTTCTCATTTGCCAAGAGCTATTTTCCCCACCAAATTATACTTAATTTAAAAAAAAATTAAAATAGAAACAACTAGCATAGGAAAAAGCCCATGAACTGATATTTTTTAATAAAGTCACTTGTATGTTTGAAAAATATCTGCCAACCAAATGAATTGGAAAAGCCAGCAAAGTCATAAAAATTACCAATGACTGCTTTACTTCATCATGCTTTGCTGGCTGCAATTTTTCCTGTATTGCAGTCTCAAGCAATCCATCAGCATAGGCATCCATTTCGTCTGCGGACAAGTTGACGTACTCGTCAATAACAAGCAGCTTTTCATCGTCGCTGTCCACAGTGTCATCGTCAGATGAAATTTCATAAATCGTAATAGCGTTGTTGCTGTTTGATTGCTGGCTGCAGTTGGCTGGCGGCGGCGGCCAGGTGGATTTGCATCCGTCCAAGGGTTGTTGCCGGCGGCGTTCGTCGGCTGTCACAATATTGCCAGCTTGAGTTTGACTAATGACAGGTACATCGCAGTGATAAACTGGTGCTAATGGTCGAGATAAATCAATAGCGGCCGTGTGCAGAGATGAGGGTGCAGCAACCGTCGGCGGCGGTTTATGCCACTCGTTAACATATCGATGCTGGTGGTGATTGCTGCTGCTGCTGTAGGGGTAGTGTTGAGAGCCGCTAAGATCCATTACTCTCGCCTCTGCAAACATATAGTAAGGAAATTAATGAATGCCCGACTGAACACACGCACAACCTGCCATGAGCAATAATAAACCAACTCTTAATGCGACGACGAGCGCCCCATAAAAATAAGTGTCGGAAGCCGAAGAGCGACGGAAATGTAGTGCTTTTATGAAGGGTGTGTGTTGATAAGGGGCTATTTTTGTTACTACTCGAGAATTAATAACCGTTTAATCAGAAGTGCGGCTCTTGGGAACAAAATGCAGATCGGTCCAATCAGAAATTCACAACATGAAATTAAAATAAAAATGCTGATAATTATTTGCGCAATGTTGATGAGGATAATGAATAACAAAAGGATGCGCATCTCCATACATAATAATTATTATCATCAGGTTCACATGATGCGCATTATCTCAGGTCGCTAGAAATTATCGTACTATTTTGTCTTTTAAATTCTATAATCCAAAATAGAAATACAGAAAATCGAAAATCATACATATCTCTCTCTCTCAATATTTTCCGTCAATTTATAAAATAATGAAAAAACGGAAAATCCCTTTGTAAATATCGTAAATATGAATAATTGAAAAAAAAAATTAAATCACCTAAATATTCAGGATGCAGACCAAACGGCCATGGAGAAAAATTCTGGCTTCCCATACTTATTGACGAAATATTGACAGTTGAACGCTGCTTATTTGCTGATTAGCTGTTGTCGACATGTCGACTAACTACTAACTTCTGTTTCTGCCTTTTTTTCGAGTTTTCCCCTCTACCAGTTAAGTGATAATGTCTCGTGCAGCAGCAGCAGAGAGCAAAAGAGCCAACAGAAAATAATACACAGTTCCTGTTATGTATTCCTTTTGGTGGCTCTGTTCCGACTGCCACTGCAGGCAGAGAGCCGACGAAAGTGCGATCGAGACACAAGACTATTCCAGATTCCTGAAGGTGGTCTTATAATGCATACCGATATAGATATACATACATAAAAATACTATGCTCCCCTCAAGGTCATTGCAAAACTGATGGCAAAAGATCCTTCCTCGCTCATCTATGAATTCCACTAATTCCCTCCCTTCGCATTCATATACATGTTTTGCGTGCTATCACACATCACACACAACACATGAAGTATGAACGAAAAGAGGCAGAAACCCACACGATCCCACACGTCTACGTAGTTATGTACACGACCAACCACACTCCCGCTTACATGACGTCACAGGCGATTCGCTTTTGTTTTGAATTTTCACTATTGACCACGCCCCTTTTTAGAGACGATCATCTCATCTTATAATCTCTTGCCAGCAGCTTTTAGGTGATTTTTCTTGCAATTTCTCGTTACTAACTGTATTTGCTACACTTAAATTATAACTTAACTTATAATCTTCAATTTCATACTAAAAAATACGATTTATATTCGCCCTTTTGTGTCGAAATTCCTCTTTTTAAAATCACACAGCATGCTTACTCCCATATGTACATAATCCTTTCGAATTTTTCCCAAGCTTATTTCACCAATTCTCTCATATTAACGCCCGTTTTGATTTCTTCAGATCCCTGAAATGTTTTCCGCACTTGCCCGAAACACCTTGCGTGCCGCCGGTAGCCCCGCTAGCAAAGTGATTGCCAGAAATATTAACTCGTCGTACACCGTCGTCTCCGGACCACCTACCAACCGAATTTCCTTTGCTGTAAGTTAATCAAAATCATCAATTCCCGCAATTATTAATTATGATTCTATGAATTTTTTCCAATAGGAAAAGTTGATCTTGGGTATGACCATGTGCGGAAGCCTGTTCGTCGTCCCTTCTTGGGTTTTGGTCAACATCAAGAAGTGGAACGGTTCTGACGAGTAAATCCACCTGCAGCTTCCCTAGTTACCGCTTGTCCTGTAGAACCCGCAACCAAATTTAGTGCAAAATGCAATCTTCCAAATCCAAACCATGGTCTCCCTACGCAACCGAATACAACCCCCTCGAAGCTGGGTCCATTGACGCCACCGACACCGAGCCACACGACAACGCCATCGCCAGGGCCATGGAGGCCCACTACACGCCCAACCCCACCCTGAGAAGCAAACCTGAGTACACCGTCTTCATCGCCAGGCTGAACTTCGGAACTAGTGAAAGCACTTTAAGGAGGGCTTTTTCCGAGTACGGCGAAATCCTCAACTGCACTTTGGTCCGAGACATTGTGACTGGAGCCTCCAAAGGGTACGCCTTTGTGGAGTACAGGTCAAGGTCCTCTGTTGAGTTGGCCTGTAGAAGAGGAAACAAAACTGAGCTAGACGGACGGATCCTGTTCGTTGACAGAGAAATTGGGAGAACGATGAAGGGCTGGATTCCACGACGGCTCGGAGGAGGCTTTGGTGGAAATAAGAATTCCGGACAGCTCAGGTTTGGTGGCAAAGACAAACCCTATCTAAAACCAATCACAAAAGGAGAGGAGAAAGAAGAAAAACGACACCATTCGAAACTTGAGCGCCGATAACTTTTCCAAAATATACATTCCAAGAAGCACAAATATTTTTGTATTTTCACAAGAGTTATGGTATGGGTCCAAAAATTTCAATATCGAGAAAATCATTTTTGCGTCAATTTATTGGGCGAGCTGTAGTTATACATATTTGCTTGTACATTAAAATTTAATTCTTCTGTGAACTGGTATGATTTTTGTTCAAATTATTAACCCTTTTTTTATGTGGATAAAAGTTAAATTCTTGAAAAGTTGCGTAGATTTGTTTACGGTAATATTTTATTTTTAAACAGCTTGGACCTCCTTATATTTTTATGATTATGATTTAATTATCAGGTAATTTGCTTATTCATTTGACTTGAAAAGAAAACCATAAAATTGTACGCATTATTAAAATTTAAAAATTATTCAAAATATAATTTAAATATGCAGAGCACTTAAACAAAGCTAAAGAAAAACCAACAAGCCAAAGAATTTATTTATATTAAGGTGGGGATGAGGAACGTGCCAGCTCATCAGAGAAATTTTATTACACTTCTGCCCCCTCAATTAGCAAGACAAAAATCCTAGAAATGCAACGTTTCACTTCCTGCCTCCAGTGCCTCCACTTCTATTCTCACGCAGTATCACGTTCCGCTGATACCAAATAATTGCAAATTAATTTGTGTTAATTAACCATATATTTTCTTTGCTTTTTTGTTCTAAAGATGAACGTTAAGATGCACACCAACCAATTTATGTAAGCAATTAAAGTAGCAACGCTATAATTTCTAATTAAAACGTCAGATTCAGAGACACACAGAGAGGCCACTTTCCAAACCCGCTCCGAAAAGTAAATTGAAAGTCGAGATAAATTTAAGTTAAAAGTATATTGTAGAAATCACATTAAAACAAGTTCAAAAGAGGAATGGATCAGACGATCATCATCGTCAATAAAATTATGAATTGTGTATTCAGATGTTTACCTGCAGCAACTCCTCTTCTTTTATTAGTTTTATTTTACTACCCACCATTAAATTACAACTGAGGATTTTGTGCGGATTATTTTCAGGCGAGAGGAATTTTCACTCAAGTATACTCGGACGTTTGACGTCAAATGGTATTCTGACTATCTCTAAAAGTGCCCGAAGAAGTGCTTCAGGGTTGGGACCAGCTGCAGGGTGTGCAATACAAGTTTTTTCTCTTGTTTGATGCAAGTTCCTATTTTCTTACAATTACAATGAAACGAATGAAATCAAAATAAACAAAATTAGTGTATATTATTATAATAATATTATAGACGGTCCGTTTATTTCTAAAACTAGTAAGTGCAGAAAATTTTAATAAATCAATTGGATATGACGGAGATCTGATACATATAACTGACTAATAGTCTTAAAAACTAAAAATATAATTCTATCTCTTCACTAATAGAATTAAGTTGTATAGCAATAGAATCTAAAGTAAATTCAAACTATAATATCAATCGCTTAAGTCCAACCTATCAAAGAGTTCAAACTTAAAAAGTTTTGCACTCATCTTCTGATATTCAAAGTTCACAGCTTGATAGTCTCACTTTTGCACACAAATCACAATAGTAGGATTAAATATACGGCGTTCCTCTTGTTTAGGAGATGTGCGCGTGCATCAATCAGGAATAGATTGGCTGCGAGGCTGCTGAATTGGCGCCCTCGATTCGCTCGTAAGAGTGCCTGCAGGCAACACCAAAAAACGTATCGATTAGAATTAATTTGCATATCAATTTTTTTTCATGGGATGAGTTTTCATTTAAGCACGCTTTGAATATGTTAACCGAGTTTACAGAGAACGACTCGCCCCACTATCTCGTCAGCTACAGACGAGACCGTGTAATAATTTTAATCACCGCTGCATCTTTATTATATACTAAAGCCCCTCTTGGCTCGGGATCGAATTCTTGGCTATGAGCTAGGCTTTATTACACATGCAAACCATTTCCAGAGGCGCAATCATATTTTACGACTTGTTTGTTCAGCTCTGCATTTCCTTATGCTTGAACTTATCTCTGCAAAGTAAAATTGAATCAGCCCCGTTCAGTGGAAAACTTTTTTAATGAAAGCTCTCCATCAAAACTACTTTTAGCAGCAAATAAAATCTCGTGTTTTGAAGGTGATGCGTTAGAAGAGAAGAATAGGAAGAAAACATCATTCAAGAGCATTTTTATTGCTTATTTTCTTTTTTTACATGCAAAATATAAGTCAGTGGAAAAGTGAGGTTTTTTATATAAATAAACTTGTTAAAAAATATAATAAAACTATTTTGTTCTGCTATCACAATGGGAAGGGTTTTGCTTAATACTTTTCTGTATCGGCTTCAACGTCCTTGCGAGCGTGTCTGCGAAAATTGAAAAGCACAAGAGATTACGAAAATGACATGCAAAAGTTGATATCGACAAAGGTTCAGTTTATCTTTTTATGGGTACGTCTGGCTGTCTGGCCTGAGAAGCTCAATCAAAGGTTGAAAAGCATTAAGGGCTTAAGTGTGTGTGAAACAAATACTGGAAAACCCGCTCATTGCCAAAATGACAAGTTCATATGGTTGGTGAAGTTGGAACATGCAAAATCAAACTAGCAAACATTTTTGATAAGAGTGTGCGTGACACTCTCCAGAGTCTCCATCAAGAAAATTTTGCAGATGAAAGATAAAAAAAGATCAATCAAGTACTCTCAACATGTGAAATTGAAACCTAAAATAAGTGCCACCCAAATTTTTTTGCTTACCTGTAAAGAACGTAATGCTGGAAGATGAAGAAGATATCAAAGACCACTGAGAACAGTCCAAGTCCAAATTTGGTTGGATCTCCAAAGATCGATTGCCAATCGTCTGCAAAATGATGCCATTACGTTATTTAGGCTATTTTTTTAAACTTCAAACTTCCTTACTGTAGTTGTGAGAATTTAGTATCATTTGCAACATGCTGAGAGCTCCTCCGGTAAAGTCGAGGAAAATGTTTCCGATGCTCCAGCCGACTGTGCTTTTTCTCTTGTAATTCATGTAAGCCTGCAGAAAATAAATTAGTTCCCATGAACAATGTAAAAAAAAAAACTCAATTACCTGAGGAATGTATTTGATCAGGGTAATAGTCAGTTTCACATAAGAGCAGAAGTAAAGGAAATCCAGCCATGTTAGTAAGTCGGATGCTCCGGCAATAATGGCGCTGATGCCAAGGAAAAGAGCGAAAATGCACATAATACCACGGGCGGTCCACGAAACCCTTTGCTCGCCTCTCTGAAAGTATTAAAGGATATCAATTGGTTTTATTTTGATTACTTCAATATCAAAAAATATACCTCATATATAAAGCATTGGATTATGGTGATAATGGTTGCAAACATCGCATGTAGTCCAAAAAAGATGTCTTGAGCCAAAACAGGGATCATACCTCGAGGGTGGTCCTCAAAATATTCTTGCTGGAAAAGGAAATAATATAGTTTTTAGCATTTATATTATACATATCGAGATAAAATATACCTGGATGGCTGGAATCCAAAAAAGTCCACAATTGAAAAGAGAGTACAAAGTAAAGCCAATGATGTTGAGAGAAAGGAAGTCAAAGTTGAGACCAACAACACTGTAAAATAAAATTTTGGATCAATAACATGGTTTTAAATTTTTATATAAAAATGTTCAAATATTTATTTAAATTTACTCTAAAATAAAATTCAAAATATTCTACATCTAGAAACCTTTTTCTCTTCCAGTTTTCATAAATCTGAGGATAGAAAGACACGGACCAGGCCACAAAGTACATCCATCCGATGACTTCACTGAAGTGATATAACTCAAAGGAGTGCAATGAAGTAACTCGAACAAATACATCAAACACTCTAAAAAAAACATAAATTAAAGACCAATTGTAAATTGCAAAAAACTTAATTACTCTGTGACTGAGGGTGTGACATTTAGAAATATGGTGGTGTACCCAGCCTCGATGGAGGAAACTTCGATCTCAATCTCAGACGAACCCAGGGTCAAAGGAATTGTATCAGGGCTAAGCTCCAAAAGTCCTGAATGGACCACCTGAAGTGTCGCCACAACATTATTTACCGTCAAGTCTTGGCTATAGAAAAATGACAGAAAAATAGAATGCTTTAAATAAAGTAAACAAAAAATAGATTAGCAATTTAATGAGAACAATTTTCACTTCTTAATGATTTCCTCTTGATAAAAATAAATATAAATTTTCACGTTGAGTGGAACAATTCTTAAAACATTCATTTATTTGCGTTAAACTTTTGTTTGCTAACAGATCATAAGGACTGGAAATTACATGAGAAAGAGTGAAATTCGAACCGCCTGAACAGGCTAGAAAGGCTTCCCTTAGCAAAGTCAATGACCTCACTCCACATTTTTATTTATATAAAGGAAATAGACAAACAGGAGCGAACTGTTATTTTCTAGCATGGTTTTCATAATTATTATTCATGACGTATATATTATACAAATTAACTTTTGAATGAAATGAGTTATGGCAATAATAAAATTATAAATTTAAGAGATAAAAATTTTTAAGGCAGCTACTGTTAAAAACTCTCTGGAAGCTTTTTTGCCGGTAATTTTCAAGGATTGCTTATGCACAATTAAGTTACATACACAAGATTAGATTATGATGGACAAAATTCTAAAGTGGGTTGCTCTTTGCAACACACTCACTCTGGTACACTTTGCATAAAGACAATTGTAGGCAAACAGCAGATAACAAGATATATAAGAGGGATTAACAATCAACCACATTTCAAAATTATATGATTGATGTCTCCAGTTAATCAATGATTTTTAATGACATGAAAATTAATTTGAAACAATAAAAAAATTAACCTTGTTTTAATTTCATTTGGCAACCAACAAAATGTAATAAAAATAATTTTTCAAACTTAATACTATCAAGAACCGTATTAAGTTTAGCTCAATTAATAAAATTATATTAAAAATATCTTGCTGGAAACTTACACAACGAGTTTAATGATTTTCGTTTCCTGAACAAGGACATCGAGCTCCTGCGGAACCAAACTGAAGGACGGCTCTGCCAAGGAATAAGCTGCAAATTTTTAAATGGAATTAAATTTCTTCAGTTATTTTTTTTTAATTTTGGATCGTACAAATAAAAAGTGATGCGCAAAAGAGAGCAGAAAAAACTGTGATTTGACCCATCTTGGATGTTAGGGGTGTAAATGGAGGACGTCGACGTCGCTTCTTTCCGGCCGGGTAATCACAGCCCTGGCCCTTCAATTCCGGGTTTGCGGCGTTCCTATCGTTCCCGAGGGTCTGCTGCGTCCGCCGCTCGACGCAAAAGTGTGAAATTTCTCGGCCAACATGACTTTTTCACTGGTTAATCGCGGCTTTGCCCGTCACCACTTTTCTTCTTTCCTGTGTTAAATCTACCGGGGGCGTGGCTGTTTACCAAGTCATGTGAGTTGAGTGCGCTCATCGACCAATCAGCGGCCGCCTTTTCACCAATTTGAAACTGCAGTGGCGGCAAAACGACAAAACTCTGCAGACAAGGACACTCTTCTTTTCAACTATTTACTCTCGGTTTTCCTCCTTCCAAATCTGATCGCGTTTCGTCCATTCACTTTTAATTTTTTCAAGTGGTACCCTCGAGCCCTGGTGGTCACCGGCTGACCTTGTCTTCGTTCGACATAGTAAATCGAGGTCAAATGAAAAGAGTCCTAAGGCAACCTGCGCTGCTTCTCCTTCGCTCGCGTCTGCCTTTGTCTGTTTGGGTTTGGTCTTTGGTCGATGAACCCGTCGCGTCCTAGATACCTACACATAATTTTCGCATTTTTATTTTGAACTTGTTTCTCGTGGCAGACGTGACGCAAAACTTGCATAATCATTCCGTACGTGATGTCATCCTCTTTTCATATACTTAATTTTGAGATTAAACCAGCGGTGGGGATCAAATCTCAATTCATTCCCAAGCCACAAAATAAGTTGACGCTGATGCGGTGCTGGACAATGTAATGTACGTGTATAATTTTGTGCAGCAATTGGCACGCAGTAAATTTTTATGAAATAGTTTATAAACTCTCTTATTCAAAATTAAATACTTCCTCTGACGCGTTTGACAAGGAAATTGCTAAAAGGGTGTTTCCGTGTTTTTTGAGTTGCATGATTGCAGCGGATTTTGTTTGTTTGGCAAATAATTTGCGTCATCACTCATCAGTCATCACATCATCCACAATTAAACACTCATTTTTTAGCTTTATTAAATAACCTATTTATTGGTATGTAATCCACGACTTCCTAATTTTTCTCCAAATTTTAGTCAAGAGTTAATAAACAACTCATTTTCATTATTGAAACTTTCATAATTAGATCGAACTTTCTTGTTAAATTGGAAACATATTCCTCTTTGTGGAATCTGTGATCATGATCAATCAAAATGCGTAACCAGTTTTTAGCTTTAGTCGTGAGGAGGCAGAAAGTGTAACATAAATAAATATCAACGGCATATTATACATATATGTGTACTTTAAGGAGGACAAGGTGGTCGCTTGGAGAAATAAATTATGTTTGTGTGTTACAGAAAGCGAGATTGAAACGCGTACATCAGTATAATGCGCTTTATATTAGTATATAAACACGTTTCACTTTCTTATTCAGCATCAATTATAAGCACACAATTATAAGAATATAGCGAGGGATCATCAAACGCTGTGAAGTTTTTTGTTGATATATAAAAGTTGAAATAGTGACAATATTATTAAATTAAATTTGGAATTTCCATATAAATTTATTCTAAACTTGCAATTCATTGATATTGTTAATTTACCTCATCATATTTAAATAATTAAGCTTTGAAATTCCATGCTTTTCAAATTGTTTTTATATTACTTGCGCGTCGTAGCGCGCGGAGTTAAAAATAAATGCAAAGCTAAATTTAATTTAATTTTTCTTTTATGCGTTCTCATTTAAAGCTAAAATGAATAAGTTACAATAACAAAGAAATACAAACAAGTATGTATATAAATATATAGAAATAATTTAATTCTGGGGCCCAGTGTACCTATATATATTATAATATAATTTTGAATGTATAAATGATGTATCCCCGTTATGGGCAGCAATTGCCTTTGTGATAGATCAATAAACACAATTTGCAACTATATTAGTATAGCCGCGGTTATGATATTTGAAAGGATGTTATATGTTAGTATTATATTAGTTGCCAATTGTGTTTATTGATATAATATATCACAAAGGCAATTGCTGCACATAACGGGATACATCATTTAAAATTATACAAATTAAATACAATTGAGAGAAAAGATGAGAATTTTACAAACAAAATTTCACTAACAAAATTTTTATATTATGACATTTTTTAAACCACAGCCTACTCAAACTATGTTTTTTGTTTTACCGCAGACCGCACAGGCAAAGTACGTCAAAGCGGTCAAAGTTAATAAATTCCCAACATAATCGTCATTTGAAATGTGAAAAAAATCTTCAATTAATTTAATAATTATTTGACAATTTTAACTAAAAAAGTGCAATTTAATTTATTTATTTCTTGCTTATGCAAGGGATGCTTTAAAATAATTCGCTTTACACTTATCTATTTATTTATAACCTAGAAAGACTCTGGGTTGAAACCTAATTTTCTTGCCGTGAGCTTCACAACAACTCGTCATTATATTATCTCCCCAATGTCATATTACCAGCGTCATCTTTTAACACTGCATTGAACTATTGACTTAAAATGTTACTTGGGATATAACTAGATTTTTCATTTATATAATTTAATTTTACTGCTATTTTACTGGTTACTATATTTGGGCTAGTGAGATCCAAAAATAAATTATCAGTCCAGTTATTGACATAAATAAAAAAATACAAATTTTTATGTGAAATTTTTATTAAAAAATTATTTTTGAAACACCATCACTAACATTAACAATAGATCGAAATTATTTTTTATTTTTGCTTTTTGTAAAATTTCTTAAACATGAGGGCGATTATTTGATCTATTTGCAATCTTTGCAGCACTGTCCTTCGCACTTGATTTTGCACTCCTCGGCGCATCGTCGTTTGCACTCGGCCAGGAACTTTTCAGACTCTTCCGCGCAGATCTTCTTGCAAACTTCAGCACAGATTTCCCTGCACTTCCCCAAGCATTTCTCAACGGTGCATCCGGGGGCGCATTTCTCGGAGCATCTCTTAGCACACTCCTGGGCGCACTCCTCTGCACACTCGGCGCTGACTTTGCAGCAAACTTCCTCGCACGCTGACATTTTCTGGGCTAATAAAAACAATTTTGATAAATTAATTGTTATCTAAAATAAGGAAATAATAGGAATATAAAAAATAAAAAAACAAAATAGCTGATAATTACTTAATTTGCTTTTAGGCTGGGATAAACATTTTTATCTCATGAAATTGAAATAAAAGCCAGTGATTAAGCCCAAAAGTTTGACAGAAAATTTTTTAAGTTGGAAATTAATGTTTAAAATTTTAAATGAGTTGCGCCCCTTTTATTTTACTCAATAAAATAAAAGAAATAAATGTTTTATAATAGACTTACCAAAACACTAGTGGTTGTTTGGTCCGGCTTGACGAGAGGCTGTACGTGATTGCGGATGGGCGACCGGTGACTGACGCTCTCGCTTTAGCTCGGTGTGCTTTTATCTGGATAGTGCGTCGCATCATAAAGTTCGAGGGGGAGCGCACATGTTCTGGAAGGTACGGCAGGAAATACTCGTTATTGTGTGTAGCTCGCCTAGGGTGTCAATAATGAACGTATGTGTCACACAAACACACGTGACCCTTGCTCGCCCAGCTGTAGACTATAAAAATAATAAATATATGCAGACGCATGCAGAGAAAAACAACTTTGACTGCAGCTAAATCCTCCTCTCATTATTAATTATATAAATAATACTTAACATGTAAGAACGCAAAAAGATATAACTACAGAAACCATGGTACCAAACTGAAATTCCAAACTTATTGTTAGCAGATAATAAATTTAAATTGAAGAAAAAAAATTATTTAAAATTGAACAAGTTTGCGTTGATGAAAAGTTAAAAACCGAGCTTTTCCTCATAAATATTTTCTCCTTGCTACAAATTTGTTTACCAAAATAAAAAAATAAAAATACGAAATTAAACATTAAAATTTATTCACCTAGGAGATTCTGGAATGGGCTAGTAAGCTGTACATAAAATGTAAAAAAAGAATTCCCTGAAAAAATCTTGTTTCAACTGGAATCTCCCTCGAGTTTCTAGTCATTTCCATTCAATTATACATAACGCGGCGCGGTCTGCTTCCTCTCCCATCATCCCTTATGCCGCGGGTCTGCGAGCGCTTTTAGTTCTTTAGAATTGCTCAACGCAGGCGGCCGCAGTTGGATTTCCTCTCCAAATAGTATACCTCCATACAAGATACAAGGTATTTTTTAACATATATATTCAAACAAATCATTGTTCAAATTTTCTGTTTTAATTCTTAAATCGATGTCTTAAGTGTCTTCACATCTCTAGACATAATTCTAAAAATTTTTTTTTTTTTTTTTTGTCTGTGAGGATTCCAAAAGCAATAAAAACATTACATTTATTTGCGTTTCATCATATTTTATGTTCTTAAATTGCTACGCGATTAGAATTATGGATTGCGTATTTTTTTTTTAAACAACGGTTAAATATTTTATTTTAATTTTTATTGATGAAGAATGAATTATTCTAGAGAATTTTTTTCATTTTTAAAATTTTATAATAAAGATATTGTATAAAATCAAAGTCGCATTAATTTAACGTTTTTAAGAGGATCAATAAAAATTAAAATTCTTTTGTCTCCAGATAAAAAAACTTCTAATTTGCCCAAGGAGAGAAAGGTGACTAACAAGACACGGTGATGGATTGCCCGGAAAAATCTCCCTCGCGCCAGCACCTCAAAGCTCCTGAAGGACAACGCGGGCAGGATCTCCTCGGTGCTCACTCGGAAGGACACCACGGCAACCAGCATCAGGGTCACCACTCTGAGGGACATCACCATGATGGGTATTCAAAAGGATCCCAGCATGACCATCACCAGGATCACCATTCCCAGGGACATCATGGTCATCAAGGCGTCTACTCAAGAGGACACCAAGGTGACCATAATGGCGCAGGACATCAACACGGAGGAGGCCATCAAGGGCACCGTGCTGGAGGAGGACACCATGGCGGACAACAAACCTAAAATTTTCTTTTTCAACAATTGAAATAACATTTCGGAAGAAAAAAAAATATAGCATTTGTAATTACATGGATTTTCATTTTTGTGTGAAAAAAGATTGAATGTTTATATTCTTGAACTTTTTATAATAAAATAATATCAAATATAAAAAATAAGACCATAAATTGATTTTATTATTTTTCATTTTTGTTCTTCACAAGTAGCTCCCATATGGACAAGAGAATTTCAGTCGCGCTCTTTTGTTGAGCGGCGCCGACTGTCAGACTTGAGGTCTGCAAGGTGACTGACATTAAAACAGTGCAAGGCCGATGACCTTTGCTGCTGCTGTTTTCAGCTGATGGATTGCTCCTGTAGAGAGGTGGGATGTGTGTGTCGTGCTGCTCAAATGAAGCTGGTTGCATAAATGCAGGCGCTCACCAGCGCATTAACATCTGCTTTCGGATGGAAATATCTGTGTATCATAATTATAATTAAATAACCCAATATTTGTTGATAAATAATTTGAAAGAATGGTCCTCTGCTATATACTGATTATTTTTCGGAGGGTTTTCCCATACATGATTTTATGCCTATTTTGTTATCTGATAATAAAAATGATGAACGCGCACACACGCTTGGTATTGCACAGTTTGACTGCGCTAATGAATATCAGCCTCCGCTGCATGTCAGCTTCCGCAAAAATGTTAACCATAAATTGTCTGGTTTTACGATAATGAAAAATGAAAATGTATGTTGAAGAGCAGTTATTGCTACTAGCCTCAAACGACAGCAGCCCTTCACATTTGACGCATCATGAAAAACTTGATAGTGCTAAAAATTGTGATCATTTACTTTGTGGTTGGTATAACAAAATTTAAGATCAAATTAATATACACCCAATATAAATTTTTTACAAAGACGATTAAATTAGAGCAAAATAAAACATCAAACATTTTGCAGAGCCTGGTGCTAGAAACTTCGAACTTCAAAGTATTGCGTATAAGTAGGAACCCAAAATTTCCTTTTTTTAAATAAATTTGACTATAAAATTTTCAGAGCCAAAACAGACCAAACAAAGGATGATTATAGTCCAGTGCTGTGGGCAATTAAGCTGCACACAGCCAGCTAAAAAAGAAGCCAACACGTCTCGCTCTCGCACTACCATCAATTTGGATAATAAGGCACTATAGATCTTAAATTTAAATCAAATTAAGCCAATTTATGTCCACTGAATTTAAGCATTATAAATATATGTTGTTTTAGGAAAGCAATGCGGACTCAAAATTCTCCACAGCAACTCTTCATACAACTAAAGGTTTCAGTTTAAAATCACATGATGCAAAAAGATTTATTTATTATCTGTGCATTCAGTTCATGTTAGCGCCACTTTAAATTTGGATATTATAAAAGGATCAACACAATCAACTTTGACAACAAATTTGCCATCAAGTTCAATTACTACTCCAATAGTAAAATAACAAATCATGCAATTAATCCCGTTTTTTCTTTAAATATTATAATTTTGTTATAATAGCCTTATTTTTGCGGGGATATTTGCTCTGGAAATTTCACATGCTTGAAATCCGTAATACAAAAATTAAATCTTTTTCACTGAATTTTCAGTTTCATGTATTTTTAGGAATCAAAAGTGGTGGCCATGATGTCTACCAAAAGTTGTCAAATAACTTTTTAAATTTATAATTATTATTTAATTATAATACACTACCCAATTTAGGCTCCACTGCGGATGGAAAGTTTATTCAATCATGTGGCCAAAAGTATTTTATAAGCAGTTTGAAAGTAAATAATTAAATTTTTGTTTTGCAACTTGTTAATAAAAATCTATATATTTTGAGTAAAGTCGACGATATCTGAGGCGAAAACTGCTTGCTGCGCTTACAATATGCGTCTTTTAAAATTAAACTCTAATGAACAAATGAAGTGTGTTGCAGGAATTAATGGTACAAAAACATTTTTTTTTTTTTGCCAAAATTCATTAGATACTGGTTGTTTTTATAAATTGGAATTTTTTATTTTATTTAATGCTATTTTGCATAGAAAAAGATTTAAAAATGCAATATTATATATTAAATTTTGTTAGAATCCATCGACTGTCGATAATTAAGTAATGTAATGTAAAAACTAGATGAGATAAAGCAAACATCTGTATCTTACTGGACGAGTGGTTTTGTGGACACTGATTGCAGATGCTGGTGTCCAGATGAGAAGAACTATTCAATGGAAGTTGAAAATTTAACTTGGCTTCAAACTAGCGCCAGCAACCCAGCCGCTGATAAATGCATCACTTTTGCAATGAACCAGGATTTGGCCAAAAGCGGATTGGAATTTGCAAATTGCGCCGATCAACATCCGTTTATTTGTCAAGTTTAAGATTAAAATATTTAATAAAAATTAAATCCAATTTTTTTTTCTTCTCTTTAGTCTGTGGAAATCACATGCCCAAGCGCCAACTTGTACCTGAAAAATGTGAGTCTTAAATTCTTATTTCTGAAGAAATCCTAAATTTTCTCTTTGTATCGCAGATAAGTTTATTTGAAAGAGGCAAAAATCTCATAGGTTAATAGTTTTATTTTATTTAAAAATTGTGAAAAATAATATATAAAATTTTAGGTTCGTCAACAAATGGATTTTGGGAAAACTCGGCTGATTCAACATTTCTTTTTGGAAACACATTGGTAAAATATAAATTTTTTATTATTAATCGTTATAAAAAGATATAAATTATTGAAACTTTTTATGCTCCAAAGATGACGTGGTATGAGATATGGACGCATTGTGCAAAATTTAAAATGACTCCCCTGAGTTTGCCTACCGAAAATGACCTTAATTTTGTGAAGGGACTATTAAAAGGTAAAAAATTACTTGAATAAAAGATTTTAATACATTTTTTCAGATCGCATTCAATTTTTTAAGATTGGAGGTACAATTACAACTATTGGACGGCAGGGACAAGACTCGATTTTCCAGAGGCTGCTCCCATTTGGTGTCCAAATCGTGAAGATTTAACAAATTTTGATAATAACAAATTTACTGGAAACGGAAATGCCACGATGATCGGAGAATTTGATTGTGTTAGTTTTCAAATTAAAAAGGCAACTAAAAATACGTCCAACGAGTATTTGGCTACTTTGAATATGATGAATTGCAGTCGGCGACAATTGTTCGCTTGCAAGGTACAAGCACACATATTGATAAAATACATTTATTACATTTGGATACGAAGGGACCAAAAACTACAAACACGTGCGTCAAATCAGTTTGTCCAATACACTTCTTGAAAAATGTATTTTTTATTACTTCAATCAAACGATAACTTAATTTAAATATAATATTTTGAAACAGAGCAGCCTATTCAACAATGTCTCTGGGAATTTGGAAAGTGAGATTTTTAGCATAAATTATACTTCATGAAAAAATTAAAATACTGAAATAAATAATTTAGATACTTTTGCAACTTTTACCAATACAATTCCCTGGCATAGAAATTAAAAACCAGTAGCCACAATGCATATTAAAACGTTTTTTTTTAAATTTAATATCCTGATAAATATCACATTTCATGGCAAAAATGTTTTGCAATATTTACATGCACTTTTAAATTTTTGTCATTACAATGATCGTGTTAATTTTTGCCAATTTGAAAAACAATAAATTATTTAACAGGGGCCGACCTGTATGGCGAATGGCAGGCAAAATGCAACAAAGTTTTCATTTTTGGCAGTCCAATTACAAATCGCTCAACCGTTGACGTTAGTATAAAAACCGGCTCATTAAATTTTTCGCGTAATTTTTTACTCTAATGCAGGCAAAACTCACATGGGAAGAGGCGCGTAAAAAGTGTGAGAGCATCAATTTCCGTTTGATTACATTCAATTCTCGGGCCGATTTCGATTGTTTGGTCAACGTGTCGCAGAAAAATCTTGGGCCCTTCTGGACGTCCGGGGCTTACTTTGACTGTCCGGAAAGTCAGAAGTATTCGTGGTGCGGGGCCACAAAAGGGGACGTGAACTTGACGGAAATGGTGTGGGGTCAACAAGGGCCACCTGAGGGAAAGGTCAATAGTTGCATAGCGGGTGTCCTAGATTTGGACAAAGGAGTTCAATTACAGACTCTCGACTGCGACGCGAACATATCTTACGTCTGCGAGGTTTGCTCTTTTTTTAGTTTAAAATCATTTAAAAAAATGTTCACTTTAACAGGCCATGGACACTAAAGGCAAGAGTTTGGCCGAGGCAAAGAGTGAAGAATGCAAATTGATTTTCAACGTGTCTAGTTGTAAATTTTTTAATTTTTATCTAGTCAAAAGATATGCATATAGGACGACAAATTCAATCTCTTTATAGCGGACTTGGCCTCAATTTTCAGCAATTTAAATTTTTCAATAAATATAAGGGTTTGGAGCAAAAATACTTTAATTAAAACGCACTAAATTCAAATTACAGTGCTACATAAAATGCATGGGGGATAGCTTGGAACTTGTAAAGAAAATTTATATTACGTAAGATATAATAAAAAAAATCTATCTATAATTAAGGTCAACATAAATGGAAGCTTCGTTGATTTGCAAATTATAAAGTATATTGAAGCGTCAATGGAGAGTGAGGAACAAACCGGAAACAGTTTTGACGTTTTTGAAGTCTGCAAAAATCCCAACACAGGTTTTATTTTGCAAAATATCTCTCACAACACAAATTGAACTATATAATTAATAGACCTTGGTGTATGTGAGTCAGCGGCACAGACTTTCAAATGTGCAGCGGAAAAGGCACCGGACGCGATGATAAAAATGGTTGATGATGCGGCTGCAGATATGGAGGTAAAATTTCACATGCAATAATATGGAAGCGACAAAATATTATTTTGATGAAATCTTAAGTCTGCACCACCCGTTGGACCGTTGCAGAACTTGTGTCCATACAATTTGACCAACTGCATTCCAGATGTAATGCATTTTTTAAATTTTATTAGGGTTGAGCGTTTTATAGTCGATCAACTATTTTTCCTCCAAACTTTCTTCTATATATTCGAAAATTAGCACGAATTCATCCACTATGGAGTTGATAAAACATGATCTTCCTCGTTTTACCCAGATAAATATTTCCAAAATACAAAATATGGTGGCCGTGCCTTAAAATTTTGAACTGGTCATTCTGATAATTTCTATAGCTTCTATTGGCAAACATTGATTTTCGTGATACCTTCTCCCCCAAAGACGGGTAAAAAAGAAATTATCACAAATTGACTAAAAAAGAGGAAAAATTATTCATAATCAAATAAAACACTCAGCTCTGAAAATACTAACAGAATTTTGTTATGATTTTTTTAAAGCCTGTCAAGATATCTCAAGTGAAGAGTAACACCCGTAAAATAATCTTTTTTTGATAATTTGCTTAGAAATTAACTGCACACATTATCTTTGTATAACCTGGGCAGCTCCGTCTGGTATGCATTATTTTGTGACGGCATGCGGTGCAAAATATATTTTATCCTCTGAATGGGTCTGAAAATTTGAGCTATATATTAAAATAAAATGAGCAAAAAACTACCTTTAAAAATATAGACTGACATTGCGGGTGCAATACAAAAGTGTTGTGAAATGGGAATGGTTTCTGCTTCATTCATAAGCCATCAGCAATTTAAGTGTTTTATAGACGCAGATGCTGGTAAGAGTTCAAATTGATTTTCTTTACACAAATAATTAATTCAGAATTAAAAATTTCGTTCAGCTTTGAATATTCAAAAGTTTGGCACTGAATATTCTGTGGGGGCCTTCAGTGCCGGGAACATTCCGATTTTCAGTTGGTGTCCTACGAAGCTGAAGGTTGATGATTCATTCAAATGGATAAAATCGGCCAATTATGATTCGGATGTGTTCCAATGCGCAAATCTTCAATTGGGCGCTGGTGGTGTCTTTGAAGATTATTTGATGGCAACCCCATGTCACGCAGACCAAGGAAGGCAGCTTCAATACATTTGCATGTTACAATAAACAGAAAAACATGATTGAAAGTCAATTAATAAAGTTCTAAGTTTTGATTAATTTAGAAATGTATCAGTATAAAATTTTGATTCCTTTTTACCATAAAAAAATAAAATTTAACCATATTTAACATGAGAAGGGAAAAAATCAGGACTCGCCTTAGTCATATATTAAAGGATATTAAAATTATTGTATTCCTCTTGATTTTATTGCCACCTATAAATTAAGAAGATATTATGTACACGTTTATACCCAGTAATACTCATCTAAAATTTTTCGTTGAAACGTTGAAAGTAAATTAAATCACCCACTTTTCCTATCTCATAAGAGGCTTTGTATCAGCAGTCATTTCCATAGTATACTTAAAATAGGCCATCAATATTAAAGACGGAAACAAAATTTCAACACACAGCGAAGAAAAACTCGCGAGAATTGTCTCAAAGGTAGTTAATAATAATTATTTATGATTAAATTTATTTGTTGTGAAAAGGAACATATATTGCGTGAAATGAGGCTATATTTTGTAAATATAGTGATTTACATTTATTAATTAAGTTAAATATGCAAAGCAACAGGAAATACCAATAAGGATAATGAATATCGATTAAGCAACACTCTTCTTTTAATTTCTTTTCTTCTCACCGCAATCACTCTCTTGTTCGGACCATTCACACTTCAAATTAACAAAATCACATGGTTTATGCGCGCGCGAAATGTGACAAATCTCATTATTTACAAATCGGTCGTCAAGTAATGTGTTTAGTATCCCTCATGATTGTACGTCCTTTAGAATCAGCAAAGTGCGTCAAAGTCTCGTGCGTGCTGCATCAATTTTGGACTGACTTCAACACGCGTATTTTGGGCAGACGTATTTATTTATCTTTCAAATTACATAATTAAATATTGTCACGAGCAAAAGAGAGAAAAAGAACACCTGGAGCCAAAAACACGTAGAAATAATTATGTAAGACATTTCTTTTGATTCGAAAAATTGGACAAATGAGAAATCTTTTTACCTTCTGGCCAAACTTGGTGCGCTTCCTTCGAAAATTTTAAGTAGCACTTTTTCTTTCAAATTGTGTACAAACTTTTGGTCTTCTCTTTGTTTAGAGAAGATATAAAACTGACAATAATTTTACAAAAATCCAGCGCACCAAGACAATTTCAATTTGATAGTTAATTATAATGCTCTCACAATCATTAAACATCTGTCAATGAAAACGGCGAGTCGAAGAAAAACGAAACACTTATACACGGCACGGCTCAGGTCAGTGTAATTCAGTCTTGCACTGGTCGCACTCGGATCACAAATATTTTTTCGAATTCTTGCGTCAAATTATCAATATAGTACGTTATTTTTTCTTCATTTATATTTTGCTTCGATTGTTCCCTTCCTAGTCAACAGCCAACAACAACGGTAAAAATATCCATCACTCTTGCTCAAGAACAGAGGTCTCTGATTAGAATTTAGCAGCGGAATCATCTTGAGGCAGCCGACACGGTGGCCAGCAAGCTGCACACAACCAGGAACCAGCTCCAAGAGGCCAGCTTGGCTGAAGAACTCTGCATGGCGGTGCTCTCGGCACATTGACCTGCACAAATAGTCAATATTAAATTTGATCAGAATTTTTAATTAAACATTTGAAAAGATTATTCCAAAAGTAAAATAATTATATTCAAACACATCTAAACAGGGAATTTAAATTTAAGTTGCAAGTAACAAATATTATTTTAGGTTTGAAAAAAAGGGCTTTTATTTCAATAAATTTTTTACCAATATTTGTGACGTTGAATGTCCAGGCGCCGGTGACGCCAGGGCTGATGTTTCTAGTGCAGGTGTCGGTGACGCTGGAGAACTGCAGTTGGCCTTTGTCGTTCTCGGAGTAGACGAAGCAGTACCGAGGTGGACCAGTGCTACGGCGGCTCAAGGGAGAAGCAATCAGGTAGAAGGTGCCGTTGATTTCCCAGCTGCCGTGGCAGGCAAATGCTGAAGAAAATAAATTAGTAATTTGTTCAACTTGCAATGGTTATCAAAATTTTACAAGGCCTGAATATTAAAATGAAAGGGTGCTGAGGAATCATTTTTTTTTTTAATTCTTACATTAAATTGAAAAAAGGAAACTTTCAGAAACTTATATCTCATAAGCTGCTTAATACTTCATGGAAGTAAAAATTGAAGAAGAGAATCAAAAGCACATTAAATGGATAAAAAAAAAATTGAATTTTGCTATACTTTCTATGAAATTTTATTTATTTTTTGTTTGATTAATGTGACAAGCTGTTGACCAGTAAAAACAGCAAAATATGAAGTTTGGGTTTTCTAAAATGGAAAATAATTTTTGTCCAATGAATCTGTGAATGCTTACAAAGATTTAAAATTTAACAAAATGAAAATACTGTCCTTATTTTTGGAATAAAAATGAGGATTTTTGTTAACACTCACAAGAAACACTATCACTGGGACAAGACGAGTGGAACTCAAGGTTCTCCGACTTGGAGCAGCCGACGAAGAGTGATTCAATGTCGTCGGCGCAGGCGGCGTCCCTGGCCGAACCTGCGGAGGCGCCCGTCCGCTTGCTCTGTTTGGCGCCGTCCCTGCTCACTCCGAGCACCGCGTACCGACCCATGTCCGGGCACGTCCTCGGCCTTGGCGACGCAGCTGTGCGTGAAATTCAAATCAGATCTGTTGCTTGTGTAATTAATTAACAGGGGCATACTTATCAGCGTGGTGAAGGGCAGGGCGACGGGGTTGAAGTTGTTCTGATGGCACGCCTCGTCGGGCGCCGGGGCAAAGTTGCTCGTTTGTTGCAACTCGATTACGTGGCTGTCGCGCCGGTGGAAAACCATGCACACATACCCAGACTCGCTGCAAACAGACAATTTCAAAATTTGCATGATTAGTGAAAAAATTTGAATACAAAAATAACATTATTTATTTTAGGCCAACAAAAGTTTATGATAATGTAATTTTAATCCCAGATATTCTTTAAATTTGACAGAAAATTCGATAAATAAAGAAAAAACATTTTGAATTTAGTTGGATAAAAAATTTATATTTATATTTTGAGGATTGAATAAATATATTATTATTTTGTTTCGTACATTTTTTAAATCCACTAAGATAAATTACATATATTATATTGCACTGTCTCTTGTTTGTGTAAAAATTAGTTATAAAAGAGCAAAATACAGGAGCTTGGCCTTGTTATAAAAATAAAATTGTTTTTAAAGTAAAAAGAAATAAAAATCAAGAGCTCTCTTTGCTTGGTGTGCCAACTTTTTCTTTTCTCAATATCAGTTCCAGAGTAATAAACTAAAAAATTTAATTAATCGTATTGCCAACTTTATCTGAGCAAGAAAAACTTAATTAAACGCTAAAATGATTCTTTGTGGGGCAAAAATCACTGTTTAAATAAAAAAGTGGCAACTTCTCAGAACATTAACAAATTTTCTCGTGAAAACATAATTAAACCTGAATTCAAAGTGAAGTTTCTCTCTCGAGGATTTGGCAAAAACTTTGCTTTTAAATTGCATTAATTTTGAACGAAACTTCATATCAAAATGTTTGGTGTTATTAAAAAAAAACCCTTATAAAAGTTTTCGATGAAAATAAATTTGGGCAGAAAAATTGACTTAAAACAACAAGTTTTGTTTGAATTGAGTCTAAATTTGAATTTGCCCCAACTTCTGACCCGGGCTATAATTTCTCAGACTCTCGCCCTCACACTAATTATTCTCATTCAAATTTAGAGTTTTTCTAAGGGTGCTGGACTGTATTTTTATTTCACAATGAATCCACACACGCAGCCGAAATCAACCCGCACATTGATAAGGGGGCTTGCTAAAAATCGGCGCCCCCATTGAAGTCCGAGTACGAAATCAAAGCCGCTGATTGCGTGCGTCGCAATTACGGGATGAGGGCTCGTCGCTTTGAAGTTTGCGTCTAATTAAAAGTGGCCAATTAGTGGAACGTACCATCCGACGGTGACGTGCGCGGTCAGGGTGACCTGTTTGTCGCCGGACTCGTTGATGGTGTGGCACACGACGCGCATCTCCTTGCCCGCGTTCTCCGAGTCCGAGTCGTTGGAAATGCGCAGCGTGGCGTTCTTGTGCGAGAATTGGTACGACCGTTTGTAGTCGAGCGTGTGCCAGTGGTGGTGATCGGTCACCCACGCCGGGTACCGGCAGTGTGTCGAGTGGATTTCTGCAAAACACAACCACAATTATTATGCAAATTTCTTCGTGTAATAAAATAAAACATAATGAACTTCACAAAAACACAAAATTGCCATTTTGAGCGATTTTATAAAATAAGGAAGAAGAAAAAAAGTACAAAATTATATTTATCCGAATTAACAGCAATTGATGAGAAAAAAACGCATTTTAGCCAAAAGGCAGTTGATGTTTTTTTAAAGAAAAAGATCAGATATAAATAAGAAATTCCTTGGAAACGAAATCAAATTTCAAGACAATTTCACATGGAAGCAAACAATTAGCAACAAGCTACAGTAAGTTTAATTAATTTGCACTTGCTTCCAACAAATTTACATATTTCAGCCTTTTTCCCTGAAAATCAAATAATTATTAAAAAAGGGTTCTGATAAATCGTCAAATATAATCAGCAATATTTCATCATCCATCACCATTTAAGGAATAATTTTGCTTAAAATTTGTAAGAAGCGCAAAAACCCAGCAAAAAATGAGTGACCTATTTGACTCCTTCCCTTTTTACCTTATTTCATTTCCCGCAAAGCAATATGAGTTTCTTGCTTCGCTCGTATTTCGCACTCATCATTGTTTTATTGAATAATTGAAAAAATATTATCAAGCATTGCTGGAAGCAAAAAGAGCTTTAAAATTAAAGCAATGATTTGATAATATTTTCTCAATTTTTCAATAAAGTACAAGCGAAGCATGAAACTGAGCTTGCGTTGCGAGAAATTAAGTGTTCAGGCTGCTCTTTCATTTAAATTTATTAAAATTCGTGATTCTACAGCTCTTTCGATTTTTCCCTTATTCGTTTCCGTTTTCCTGACTGCTAATTTTATTTGAAAACAGTTCTTTTTATTTTATTTTACAGAGATTCAATTTGATGAAACGAGTCTTTTGCCTGATTTTGCGCTACCTGCGTCATTTCGTCGAATGTATCTCGTTTCCCAATCCAGACTTATCGATAATAAAACGAGCCCATTCTTTCTCTGTCCGACGGCCGTTCTCGTCAGAATTCCAATTTTTTGCTCGAGCAGCGCCTCGCGAGAGAATACATAATAACAAAGATAGACCTCACTCTTGCGCCGGCCCGTCGAGTCCATTTATTGAATTTGCCCGGCCGTAAATAAATGGCAACGCACGTACGTCCGCATCATCAGATAGAACAAGTCAGCCCGAAACTGTATCTTTCTCCCGTTGTTGTTCTTGTTGTTGTTGGCAGATAAATAATGCTGCTGGGCTGCCCGAGGTCCAGCAGGCGCGTCTTCCCACGCCCCCGTTCACGCGATCGCACCCTTTGCGGCCTTCCCTCGATTAATCATTAATTGTTTCTCCTGACTGAGAGCAGAAAGTGGTGCGCCCGAGTGGAAGATTTTCGTGTCTAGCTCGTTTCCAAGGAGTCCGTCCGTTTCTACGTAACTTCGGCAACTTTGCAATAATTTGACACTTGGAAAAGATTGTTTAAAGAGGGTTTATAAGTGACGAGGAAGTAGTGCAAATAGCTGCCGATATTTTATTATGCCAAACAGAAATGAAGATTTTGAGAACACAAATTGGTTGATTCTTAGAAAATCAGTAAATACGTACCTTGATTAACAAATAAAATTGCAATAAATAATTAATTTATAAAAGAAAGTAAGGGGTTTATAATAAAATTTCATAGGCAAACCAATTCATTATAACAGAAGTGAAAATTTCTCTTGAAAATTTGCTATTTAACATTTTAAAAAATAATCATTTTCTTTACAAAATTTTTACAAAAAATTGGTTAAATGTAGATTTAAATAAATTTAAGCTATCATTATCATATTTTCGAATCGTTTTTTTTTTTTTTACAAAATAATGAATATAATTGAAAAACCAGAATATATATTATTTTGAAAAACATGATCCTGAATTTTGGCATGTATTTTTCCGTTACAAAGCTCTGCTGAGTTGGCGGAGAAAGCGGCGAAATAATGGCATGGCATCGCACGCGGCCAATTTGTCATGTGTGGACACTCGAGGAAATTGAGAAGGAGGCTTTATTGCTCTCGCGCGTCGAGTGCCTCCGTTGCGTGCGTGCGCGCCTTGGAACAAACTCGAGAGTTCCGGCCGACAACTCTCGACATCGCCAATAAACGCGCTAATAAATACAGACATCGGCGAAAGGCGCCAAACGAAAATCGCCGCTCGCTCGCTTGCCAGCCAATTTTCCAATCTCGCTGATTGATTTTCGCACCACGCATCGCCAGAAAGAAGCGGCTTCTTTTTTGCAAACAACTCTGCGCGCTCTTCACTTAAATTAATTAAATAAAATTAAAGATGACTCACTATACTTAATTTGAATAATTTTCATCTGTTCACTTCTATTTGATTGAAGCTTTGATTTCTCCGGATTTCTCGATAACTCTATTCAATTAAATTAAAAAAATTGGAAGCTTCGTTCAAACAATAAGTATTTTTCTTTTTTTGATGATATTTTTTTTTAAAAAATTTGATTGATCTTCAATATAAAATTTTTGTCTATTAAAAAAAGGTGAATAGCAAAAAAAATTGTGCAAGCGATGTGAGGAAAAAACGACTTCATGTTTCTGCAGTTTTTGGTGAGTATTTTTCTTTGTATTAAGCCAGGTCTGAGGTTCTGGCAAGGAACATGTGCCGAACAATTATTGCTGCGAACGCACGCACTTGCAAGCAATTTGGCCCAAGTGTAATCTGATGACGTGACCTACCCACTTGTGTAAGCCAAGGCATTAAAACAAATGGTTATAAGCAGCCAAGAACCGCTTCCAGCAAACCCCGAATGAAATTTTTTGGAAGTATAGCAAGAAGAAAGTCAGCTCTCTCTATTAGTTAAAATAAACAAAAAGAAAAGTAGTCGTAGTTAGCAAAAATATTCTTCTTTTTTAAACAATCACTCAAAATTGCAAAAGGTACAAGAAAAAGGTACTCACCCTTAGTGAGTTTCATGGTCCTGGAGCCTTCGGTGGCTGAGAGGAGGCCGTTGCACGTGGCATCACCTGACTGCGCCACCCTGAAGGTGACAGGGTGGTCGTGGGCGTTGCGATCGTACACAAAGCAGCGGTATCGGTCCTCGTCCGTGCTTGCCATCTTGTGCGACAGTTTTCCAACTAGGTAGCGCGTGTTGCCGTCCTTCCAGGTAGCCAGGCACTGCAACTCCTCAGCTAAAAACAGTCATTATTTCACAAATATTATTTACAATTTTTAAGTATCATAGCAATAACAATTAAGTGGCAAAATCAAGGAGCTTGGGTCTGTTTCTGTAAGTGGAGCTTACCATGGCAAGAACTTTGTTCAGTTTTCCAAAAATTCCCCATGAAAACGTGTTCAAGCGTAAAGGTCTTGTGTTTGTTTTCAGTTTGGCAACTTCGTCGTTTTTCTATCGTTTTTTGCCCGCCGATTTGACCAAAGGTTATGACCCTGTTGTTATCTCCAAAATTCTCTAATCTCAATTGATTGCCAGTTTTAAATGAATAATTCATATCTTAAATTAATATAATAGTTCACTTACAAGCAATAACTTTTTGCATGTTCATTTAAGCATTTCTTTGTTTGATTTGTAAAAGAAGAAAAAAGAAAGTTTCTTTAAATTTGCTCTATCACTGTGAACACTGCAGAACAAGTTATTTTATTTTTATGTAAAAAGTGCGTACTTCTTGCAATTTGAATAATTAAATGTTTTAAAACGAAATGTTTATAAAATAAACAGTTCATAGAAAATTATATTATTTTAAAATTTTGGTTTAGGAGATAAATTAATCCCTTCACTTGAGAAAAAGACTCTTCGAACTTTTTGCATCTCTGCTCGCGAATGGAAAATATTAATTATAGCATTCCTGCTCGCGACATTCTGAAAATGTCACCCAGAGTGAAATTTATCGCACCCCTGGTAATTATTATGAAAATTAAAAGCAAACAAGCGGCGCGACGTGATTCATCGCTGAACGCTGCCGCTTTTATTTACCGATGGATTAGGTGGCGCAAGGGAAATTCCGGACGGAATTTTATCGCCGGGCAAACAGTCGAGATTACACACTAAAAGATAAAATAACTCTTCTTCTTTTTGCACTCACTCGCTCGCTGCGGGGAATTGAAAAGCAAACGCGCGATTGGATTGGAAACATGACCACCGCCGGCGGACGCACGTTTTCCTCTTGTTCGAATGCGAAATGCTCTAATCTACCCGACGCTGCTTTTCCCTGCAATTCGAACGCCAGTTTTAATTGATTCTAGCCGCGTTCTACACTCAGTCAGCACAGATGGATTAAATTTCCCCTCCCGAGAGGAAAAAAATATTGAATATAGACACGGAAAAATTTAGTGAACCCTTTTCTGAAATATATCCAGATCGGCTTTGAAATTTTTTAATTTAATGAAATTATTAATCAGATATATTAAAATATATCGGCAAAATTTTAAATTGAAATAAAATTTCAAATAATTTTCAACTATTTCGAACACCGCTAAAAGAAACAAGGATAAATATCGGTTTTCGCTTAACTGTCTGAAAAAAATTACAAATTTTTTGATGAAATTAGGCAAAACGTCTTTATAAATTCCTACAAATTACTGGTTCGGAAAAAGCAACCTGGTTCTAGATCATACACCTAAATTTAGAAACTAAATCTTAGTTTTCTATAGTTAACTTTTAAATTGGACTAACTTCTAATATTTCCATAAATATTATGCTCGGACTTCAACACACTCTAAAAAAGGAAAAATTTTAAACACAAAGCCTAATTTTGAACCCGAACGCAATCAGTTCTTGTTGAATTTGATTGAATTTGGTGACTGTGATTGGGAAATCAATGGCAGCACGTTTGTTTCGAGTTCTGTGCGCAGATAATGAAAGACAGACCTGTTGATAAATCACAATGTGCTCGGCAATGAGAGCGCAGCATTTGACAGGACACAGTGCATGAATTGTCGGAAGCCCGGCGGGATTTGCGTTCATTTCACGTGGCGGCGCCGAAATTGGAAACAAGCGAAAGCTCTCCGGCGTTATCTCCCGAGTGTCACTCACTCAAAATCAGCCCCGAGATTAATGGAGTGTGACGGACGAACGGGTGGAAAGTCATCAGGGAGTGCAGCATCATCAGCGTCATCGTCTCTTGACCCCGCGAAGAATGCAAAATAATTGCGGTTTTTCCTCCAAGTGCATCGTTGCCATGAATTGAATAGGCAGAATGAAGTACTTCAGGTGCACCTCCCAAGATTTTTTCTCACATTTTTTGTTATTTAATATTAATTGGAGCAAGAGCTAAGAGCTCCAACATTTCCCCAATAAAAGATTTACCTTCATTTTATAAATCCCCATAACATAATGTACACCCAATTGACCTAAATTTTCCGCTTCCATGATTAAGAGATGAATCTTGCAAGATTTAATTCTCGGATTCATTGCAAAAAAAGTTTTTTACTGAAGAACGCGAGGAAAATATAAACTGGCATTTTTTTATAGGGAAAATGAACGTTATGAAGTTTTTCCATTTGCACATAAAAAAATGATACACGCTGATTCTCATTAAAATTTTTGTATGGAGAATCACAACCTAGATTTAATTGCAATTAAGAGAAATGAGCTGGATCTCCATTTAAAAAATTGCTGCAAACTGTGTCAAGAGTGTCACAGAAAATTCTTGCTTAACTTTTCATAGGGTGCAATTAAGAAAATGAGTGCAACTGCAACTCCTTCGTTGCTCGTAAACAAAAGTGATACTACTAAATTGAAAGTTAGCACTCGAGTGGCTTCAAGTGGATTTCTTGACAAAAGTAAATGTAAAAAAAGGCAGCTTTGCAATGTGCTGATATGTAATTTAAAATCACCAGAACATCAGCCAGCCGGATAAAACCGGTATTGTCTGAATTTTGATATCAAAAAGGAGTCAATCACAAAATTCTCCTGGATTATGCTTTTTCCTATCATTATTATGAATTTTTGAAAAATTAATACTCACAAGAGCTCTCCGATCCGGCAACGTCAGCACAGGCCTGGTAGCGCAATCGGATGCGCGAGTCGGTGATGCAGGAATCGACCCTGGAAACGGGCCGGGCGCACTCGCCCGAACCCCTGCTGTAGGTGAAGGAAAAGGGCCCTTTGAAGGGACAGGGCACCGGCGTCGCTTCCGATCGGTACATGGAGAGCAGGACGGCGTCGCCGGGGATCTGGTTGCACATCGTCTCCAACGAAGAGCGTCGCAACTCGCAAAACGCTGCAACACAAATTTAATTTATTCATTAGTTTTTATGGAAAAAAATTGCTTCAAAATTATAAGATTTTATTTTAATGACACGCCGACTCAAACAGTGATTGCGATTGTATTCCAAAGATAAGAAATTTATATTGCTCTTGAAAAAGAGTAGAGAGTGATAATTTTTTCATCAGAGAAAAAAATCAGCACTTAAAGACTTCTTCAGTCTCTTGTTTTTTTTTCTTCTTTTGATTTTAATTCCAATAATTGAAATTTTATTTTGAAGATCCCAGCTTCAATTTGAAATGATGACTGTATTCTAAGTTCCACTCATGTGGTGGTCAAGAAATATAATAAAAGATTTTGAAATGAAGTCCAAGTGGATGGGATTTCTTGAGCAACGAGCGCAGGTGGCGTCGCTCGATACAATGAAGGTGCAGACGAGTTTTATTATCATTGCCTCGGCCGGGTGTGTATTGAGATATTGCACTCGGCCACTCACTCGACGGAATATTGCCCAGCGTCCAATGGCAGCACAGACTACCAGTTCACAACTGTTTCTGTCGCCTGTGTATGAAAATTGAAAAAAAAAATGGAAAATTGTAAAAAAAAACTTGAGAATTTAGTTTTCCTTTCATTGTGACATTTGACACTTGACTCTTGACTGTCAGGGAAAATATTACTTATAATGGACAAAATATTTCTGCTGTTCAATTGTACTGAAATTGCACGAAATAAAACAGGAGTGAAATCTCAGAAAATGTTAAATAAAAAAATAAATCACATATGAACAAACTATTGTCTTCAATTTTAATTTTTCAATTAAAATTTTCTATATTGGATTTAATTTTATTTAGAGTCTGAGTTTGGAGGTAAATTATTTAAACTTATATAGAAAGATCTAGATATCTGAAACTTTAAATATGTGATATAACAATAAAATCATATATATAATATATTTATCTGCTTTGTTGCAAAGAAGAAATTTTTGCAATAATTTTAATTTCAAACTGACTTTCAGTTTGGCTTTTGGGCCTTATATCAACCCGACAAGCTATATAGACTGTTGTTAATCTAGAGAAAAAGTTGGTTCGAGTTTAATTGAGGATAATGAATGTAGCTGCAAAAATTATTCCATTGATGAATTAATTATGAAACATTTTTTTACGCAGTTTTAAAGCTTTTCGACGGCGATGACGAGGATTGTGAACGTTCCGACAGTCTGGAATGACCGCCGGATCTCGGTCGTAAAATCAGCGGAGAGTGCGAATGTTTCGTTCCGGGAGTGCAGCAGTTTATTAAAAAGGAATGGTGGTGCCGGAAAAGGAATGTTTTTTACTTTTATTCATCTGCTCTCCGTGAACAATATTTAATAATGGCGCAGTAAAAGAACACGAGCCGCCGCTCTCTATTTCTCCGAGTGGGCTTTTTCCGGGCGGCAGGAAAAATAGCGAGGCGAATAACAAACTTTTTGTCTCCCCGAGGGGGGTGCAAATCCTTCGCCATAAACACGGCCGAGTTATTTAAATGTAGTCCCGCTGGCTGCGCTTCATACGCACATATTTTCCGTGTTTTTACGACGCGCAGCCGCCCGTTTTGGCATCGGAATGCGTGGGATTAGAGTGGTGCGAAAAAAGGAGAAACAAAAAATCTACGTTCTTTTTTCGCCGAGCAGAAATTGCTTCCCTTTGACACGCAGTCGCGAATCAAGAGGGAAACAATAATTGTTTCACCTTTCATTCGTCGGACGAGTTTGGAAATTCATTAACGTGCTCGGAGGGGATTATTTATGAATTTTAATATGTAGCACGCGCGTCTAGACAAAAGAAAGAAAGAACTCTTGCAGAAGTGAAGCGGAGACAAAAGCAACTGTTTTCAAAGGAGGCAAATTTATTAAAAAAGTTTTATGCCGGAAATGAAACGGCAAGCGAAATTCAAATTAGCCCGCAGAGCACGTCATTTTTCAACTCCGTTTTGATAAGAGGGAACGGCGTCAATCTTTAGCAACCGATTTGTTGATTTGAAAAAAGAATGGATTTGTACTAAAAAGTGAACGAATATTGTCTTACAATTTAAAAATAAAATTGCTAATAATCATTTATGAACAAAATTGATTTTATTTAATTTTCTCCTAATTTTTTTTAGCTAATTGAAAGTATAAAAATTATATAAAAAATTTAATATTGCTAATTAATCATATAATTTTTTTATATCAAATAATGGTTTTGGGAAAAGCATGTTGTTGAAAAAAGGAATAGCTGGGCACAACTGCAGGAAAGTTTTTTCTTCAATCACTGGTGCGGAAACAAAATTACAAAATTAATTACAAAGATAAAAATAAAGAGCTTTCGTTAGAAGTCATTTACTTGTACAAAACTTTTAAATGTTTCCTTTGAAGGAAGAAAGAGAGTCTTTGTGGTTCAAAAAGTGGAGCGACGGGTCGATCGACATGCAAAATTCATCGGCCAAACTTGAGTGCAGCTTTTGTGTAATTAATTAAGTTTGCGGCGGCGACGACGGAATTGCGTCGGTGCAGCAATCCGTTCCGCCTCGACAGTTGCAGCTCTCTGCACTTGCAGCGTTTGATTAAATTCCTTCGGCGCACAATGGCGCGAGACTAATTAAAAGTAAACACGGAAAGAAAGGCTTTGTCGGCGGCGAGCGAATGACTCGAGAGAAAGAGAAAGGTAGGCAGACGGATTGGCCTCAGCGTGCGGCGCGTTGCCTAGTCTTGAAAGTAAGGCGTTTTCTCTTTGCTTATGATTTTTTATGATGCTGAAGGCAAAAATTAAAGTTAAAATAATTGAGAATCAATAAAGCGAAATTTTCATTTCTTTCTTCCACTCGAAGACGTTCAAAATCATTAAATATGGGCATGAGTCATACAATTTTAAGAAGAAAAAGGATTTATTCTAATATGGAAATTAAATTACCGAAATGTTGTAACAAAAGCAGGTTATATTTGAAGAAATGAGTTATTTTGAAAGGAAATCTAGATTTATAAGTTCCCGAATAAATCAATTTATATAAAAAAAAAAAAAAAACACATTTGAAATGTATAACATCCCTTGGAATAATTTTACAGTAGCAAAGAGTCTTTATTGATTTGTATGTAGGCAATTACTGCCCAATTTATAGAAGATTACATTTTTATTAGTAATTTCTACCTAAAATTTCTGAAACAACAGTCGTGGGAGTATAATTCCAAATTCCAATATTGATTTTCGCGTCATGAGAGTCTCGCCGTTAAAGGCTCAGGAGCAGTCAGGCGCAGGTGCTTTTGCGGAGCCATAAATTATTAGGCAACGCTCTCCTTTATTTGCCGTTCTCTCTCTCTCTCTCTTAAGCCGTCGTTATTTTCATAATCAAGCCGACTGGCCCCGCGCGCATTAGTACTTCTCGCGAGTGGGAGGGGCAGGGGGCCAATTAGGGCTGCTCGCAGGTGGGCCTGGCCGGGGCGTGTTGATTGCCCGCCACAATGAGTTACGACCAAACGCTCGCTAATTTATTTACCTGGGCGCCCGCTAATGAAATGTGGTCAGCCACTCTCTCCCTCCGCCTAGACTCAGATTTTCCCCGTCGTTTTCGCGGAAAAGCCGATTGTAAGTCTGCACATCGCATTTTTTTTTCCAAATCACAAGCAGCACTTGCAAATTCTTGCGAAGTCGACTTCAACAGAAGCTCTCACAATAAGCCTCTTTTTCCTTTCAAGAATGCCAATCATCGTCGTGAAAGTGATTTTGGAAATAGTGTTGTTTTGAACATAATATGAGAATAAATAAAATTTGCCAAAATACAAGATACCAGGAAAATTGATTACTCAGACTATACAATTTTATTTTTAAATTCTAGTTACAATTAAAATAGGAAAATATGTAATCAATATTTTATGAATTGACGCAAATGACTTAAAAATGATCTCACAAATTGTTGAGAAACTAATTTTAGTATGACAAATAATAAGTTTCATTGAAAACCTGGGAAGTTTCTTTCTTTTTTGGTAGGAAAAATCGGAAAAAATGGGTAAAAAAGATAGGTATGTAACTGGTATTCTACAGATCATCTTTATTTAAACTAAAAATGTCCGAAATTTGCTATTTTCATTTTATATTAAAAACCTAAAGCTTGTTATTTATTGGAATTGTTATTATTTTATTTTCATATCATTTTTTTCTGTCTTTTTTTATTGAAAAAAATTAGTAATTCTGATATAATTTTACATTTTTTCTCTTTGCTCTCTGAGCCAACAATAGATTCAAACACAATGATCCTGGGCTTTGCTTAACGTAGTCGGCGCCGAAAGCATAAAAAAGCGGTCGTTTCTTCTTAATGTCGGGTGTTTGGTCCAGAGAGAGAGAGATGACGGTCGCGTATAAAACATTATTACCCCTGGAAGATAGGCAGGCAGAATGGACTCTCGATATGGTTTCATTTCTCTTCTTATTTTACGCGCGGCGACAAAGACGTTTGCGGCGTGAATTACAAAAGTTTCGCCGGCGCACATTCGATTTAATAACAGAACAAGAGATCCAAGAGTTGACGAATAACAAAAGAGTGAGTGAGTGGCCAACTCGATTTCCTGCCTCCAGATTGGCGCGTTTCTTTCCAGGAAGAGAAAATTTCGCATGCAAATTGGCTCTTTTTGCGAGGCCGCGAATATAAATTGCCTGGTTAAATGTGCCCTGCTTTAATAGCCTCCACATGCAGAGAAAATTTTTCAACAAATTTTGAATTTTGAGCAATTTTTTGTTTGTTTGAAAGACAGTTGTGAGAATGGAGGATGTGATGCGGAAATTTGCGCACGCGGTTGGGTGTAATCGGGGCAGTAAAAGAGGCCAATTATGCACGTCTGAGAATGGCAATTACGCAAATGGACCGTCTCGAGCAGGCAATTTAGTCGCAGCTGCCGCCAAAAGGTGCGGCGAACGAGCAGACGACGACACTTTGAACAACAGAGGCAAATGGCTTCAGGTCGCTCAAAGCGTGAGAATAACTATTTTCATATGCGTTTTTGGCTTTTTTTTTATGAAATTAAATCAAAATTATTGTGCTTTAGAAATAAAATTTAAAAAAATTTGAAGTTTTACGATTTACATTATTTTTATTGACTAGCGCTGTGAAGAAGTAAAGATAAATGAACAAAATCATATTCCGCTCTACCAGTTCTGGTCAGTGATTGCAACCCCATTCATAAAGCGGGAAAATACAATTTTTTTCTTCTTACAATTATCCCATTTTATAAAATATAAGCTCCTTTTTATTTACTTCTTCCTCCTTTACTTGAAAATTCTGGTTTTGAATACTTATATTTATTGTGTGGATATAAAGGGGGGGAAAACTTGGATGAATAACTCGAATAAAAATTTAAGGGTATCCAAAGTAAAATTTCTTTCGTATTTTCTAGCTCCCAAAATATTTTTCATGACTTAATTTATTCCATTAAAAAAAAACTATTTTTAATTATGAATTTTTTTTTTACAAATTTTAGGCTTTCAAAAAACAAAAAATGAAACAAATTTGTCAAATACAGAAAACAAATCTCTGAGATAAAAACAAGAACAGATAAATTGCATTATTGGAAAGAGGGTTTTGACTCTTCCCCCAATTTCGACACCAGTACGGTTCAAAGTTTGCGCCTCGGATGTAACCAGGCAGGCCATATATTTATTTACGGCGAGTCGCAAAAGCGGAAAATTGAATTCGGGTGGCGCGCGTTATTGCGGCTCATTTGGCGCCTCTTTCTCTCTCTAATGTTCCGCCCCCGAAAGAAGAAGATCAGGGTGAATTTATCGCAGCCGCAGCGGCCCGCGGACGGCGCGAATAAACTCGGGGAATTTACCCCGACAGGCTGCAAACGAAATCCCCGCCTTTGAAGTAGGTGCTGCGCTGACATTCAAATGTCACGCGGCCAAATCCTGCGAGGGGAAAATGTCAAAATCCTTTTACCAAGAAATTTATACGTAAGAAAAAAATCCATACATTCTGAAAACTTCAAACTGGATAAACACACGATCGTGTTCGGTCGTTAATTAACTCGCCGGCCGAAAAATAAACATTGCGAAAACGTGTCTGGGTGGAAAAGCAAGGCCGGGCGAAAATCATCGCGAGGCAACGAGCTGAAAATTTCCACGCTTTTAGCCTCAGATACTCTCGACGGCGGATTATAGCGAGCAAAATGAAAGGCGGAATTTTTCGCTAATGTCTGTGAGAGGAGCGCCGCCATTGTCGGATGCGAGGTTTTTTGCACAAAAGGTCGCTCAGCTTTGCGAGTGTTTTTGCAGCTTTCGGACGCGCTGCTTTGTGCTCAAACAAGGAAGGCTTTTTTACCTGTGGATTTTTACAACCTTCGCATTCAAACTTTCAAGAGGCGGATTGCGAAATCCCACACATTCGCTATGAATGTATGTTTTGAGATTAGTGATACTGCGCGAGCAGGTTAACAGTTAATGAGAAATGAAGTTTTCCGTTTATGGACAGGAAAAATGTAGGGAATTTCAAAGGGAAGCAAAAATGAAGAAATGTTGAGAGAGAAAAAAAATTATGATTTAAAATGAAGCCACTTTTTCTTTTTAAACGGTCCTTGATGAGGAGATTGAATTCTAAAAATAACAAGAAGCATAATTGTAGTTCATGAAAATGAAATAAATTAATGGGAAATTTTCATAGTTTCTAAGCAACAATAGTTTCAAAGGTTAAAAAAAAACAGCGATTTAAAGCTTATTGCTGGCTTTGCACATTTAAAATAATATTAAAATTAACAATAAGCTTATATATTTATTAATAATTTTTATTTAAACTGGTTAATTTAAATATCCGACAATAATTTAGAACTTTCTCTGCCAACTTCTAGTTTTCTTGAAAAATAAAATTTACACATTAGAGAACCTGCTAAATTTTAACGAAGTAATTCAAACGTTTGCTAAATAACGTATATTCCGACAAAAATTACATAGTTACTTGCTTTGAAATGAATCTACATACAAACATTTGAAGTTAATAAATCCATCAATTTATTTCTTTTTTCCAGTATGTTAATCAAATAATCAACAAAATTTTATATTCAGCTACTTAATTTAGAAAGTAAATTAGAGACAAATTAATTTAACGAAGTTAGGGTCACTTTAAAAACTTTTGTTTCAGTGATAAAATGAAATTAGCGACAACTCCGTACTTTCCAAGCAAGTGTACCGAGCATCGGCAAGTTTGGTTGTTGGTGTGGCGGAGTAATTTTTGAGCAAAGTAGCTCTCCGGTTACGACGTGCGGCGCTGCGACTTGGCCTCGGGCCGGCCCTTAAGCGGCTTACGCTAAATGCCTTCTAAAGTAAAAGCCGACGGTGTAGCTTTCCTTTATGGCGTCATTACACCTGACCCCTGGCATTAATGATTTAATTTAACAACGGCCACCGACCATCCCCAGCGGCCCGAATTAAAAACGAACCAACACCGGCCAACACTGACTGAGCTGCTCTCTCAAACTGCAGAATTAGAACAATCGAGCTCTTTAATGAACTCTTTTCCGCCGTTTCCGATTTGCATACCAATGACGGCCGGAAAAGAGGGCGCCGATTAATTATGGATGCCGACGGCGGTCGTGATTTAGAATTCAATTAAGCGATTGCTTGCTTTTGTTCTCAGCCAGAGTGCAATCAGAATGCATTTCATTACTCGGAAAATATCAAGCTTGAATAAAATCGATCATTTATATTAACGATTGCAAATGTTAGAATAAAATTGCACTCCAAATAACTATTACACGTGTTTTTGTTATTTTTAATTTAAATTAAAACCTGTCAATTAATGTCATCAAAGCTTAACACAGTTTCATAAAATGTGTCTGCAGAAATTAATTATTTCAAAGTTCATTAAAATCAACTTGATATTTTAAAAGAAAAAGAACGAAAATAATTACATTTTATAAATTAGCCATCAAATATATTATTGTTTCTTAAGAAAAAAAAAGAAAAAAAGTGATTAATTAGCAATTTCCCCACATTTGTTTCACATCAGGAAAAATCCACCCTTGATAACACACTCTTATTTTTGATTATTTTTTTTTTTAAATTTACTGGTTTTTACATGAAAAGAAAATTCCAAATAAACAGGTTTATATAAAATACACGCATAAAACAACGGATGAAAAATATAAACTTTAAATAAAGGATTGATTGAATTTTTCAACTGATCAACTGCTTGAAATTTCTGAATTTACGCCAACCGATTTTATATATAAATTTATCGGACCAAAAACCATTCGGCCTGAGTGTGTCCTCAGGCACATATCATCGATTGCGATTTCAAATTATCCGAGCGTTCCCCCGAGGCCACCACGGGTTCTATAACTCTGTCAGTGGTGGTCGCTCGCTCGTTTCCATCAGTGCGCGGCCGGCCGAATTTCCAATGATTAAATTTGTACTCACTCTCTTTGTACTGGAGCACGTTGTGGTGCTTCTCGTGGATGACGACGCATCTGAAGCAGCCCTCGGACCTGCAACACAAATATAAACCGTCAGCGGATAGACAGACCGTATCCTGTGGGACTAATAAGGCGGCGACCGATGGCTGCGGTCGTAACTCACACGCGGCCAAATATTAAACGGCCGCGTTTCGTTCCCTCGTGCATTTAAAACGCCATCAACGCAGTAATGAATTTATTCCGACCGAGCCTGTGTTCGGCGCTCACGAATTTCGACACAATCTCGACAAATACTGCAAATGAGATTTTGATCGGGCTTAAGGGACCAAAGGGAATCAAATGTGGTGCATATTGGTCTCCTGCTGAAAGCTCCTCGTTTGATCTTTTGCAACTTTCTGCCAATATATTCAAACTCAAAACACAAATAAATTCAAGGTAGGACAAAACTTCTGAAAATAATTTCTATTCCTTAAGTAACAACATGAAAAATAAATGATATTTTCACATCATATTTCAAATTTGAAATTATGCTGCAAAGTTCGCCAGATGTAATAAAATAATGCAGTCATTTCAGGACTAATTCTTGTTTATATAGTTGCAAATTGTGTTTATTGATCTATCGCAATGGTAATTGCTGCCCATAACGGGATGCATCATTTATACATTCAAAATTTACATCATATTTGCAATAATCAACAGAACATCGTTATTTTTTGGAAAAATCATACCATAAATTAAAAATACCAAATTCGAAAGTGATAATTCCGTCTTTTTTCGGATAAATTAGGGGTTCCCGTTTGGAAGAAAAGGAATGGCTCCAGACAAAACGGCCCTATCAAGAATTTTGAACTTCCAAATTAAAAAATACTCCTTCTGCACCAGTTTGCTGAATTTGGTATAAAAGTTCAAGGCATAAAAAAAATCTGTGTTTTTACAACTGTGTTGCGATCAGTCTTAAGAAATTTGCGGCTTGACGGGAATTACAAGGAAAAATCTCGCGTCGGAGAGCAGCAGTTTGTATCGCATTAGCCGCTTTATTAGGGGTCATGTTTTAGGACGACGTGATTGATAATGATTGATCGAGGCGCGAGTGCAACTTTGATATAAAACGCGCGCGGTGGGAAAGGAGGAGGAACATCTCGAGTGATGAATGGCGCCCGGCGACGCGAGGAACTTGAAAAAGCAGCGACTCTGATCACTTACGGCTCAGAATTATTGGCCGGCCATCTATCTGCGTGCAAAAAGTGCAGACTGCGGGGAAATCGGCCACAATCGGTCTAACTGGCCCCCGAGGCGACTCATTTTTCTCCTTCCCAACTCGGAAATGGACCGAAAACCAAGTTCGGACGAAAAAAAATGCTCAAAATTAGCCCGGCATCTTGTTGGTCGTCATGGCGACGCAGAATCCGTCGGCTTAATAAGCTCAGATCGGTAAACATTCTCGACTCGGGAGAGGTGTGATTGTTTTTAATTAAATTCGACAAGCGCCGCGTCGGGGCCGGCTTTTTTCCAATTACCCGCACCCGATCCGCCCAGTGCGTGTCGCGTTTCAATTGCACGCGCCGCACAAAAAGCGAGGGCCCTCATTCACTCACTCAGCTTTTAATTTGCGCACGGATGCCTTTTCTGCAAACCAATCGGCGAGTTTGTCCGCAGCAAAATAATGCTGGTATAAAAAAAGGAGTTGGCAAAATTTTGATAGTCTTGTTACTACATAATTGAAAAAAAATTAAATTCATTGAATTCGCCAGAATATGATCTTAGTTGCAAAGGAATATGATCAGGGCTACTTTGCCCCACGTGCGAACTCATCCAAATTAAATACGAAACAAAAAAATTAAAGCAAGAGATAGAAAAGAACATTTATAATGATTAATAATTTGCTTTTTCAACGCTCACTTATTGTTAGTCGACAAATATAACCTTGTTTGCATAAAATTTGAGAATTTAAATGGAAACGAAATTACAGTTGAAAAATTGACTAAAAAAATTAAACAGCATAATTTTATTACAACAATCACCGAATTCATTTTGAACGATGTGCAAGAGGAATCAGATGAAAAACTAATACAGGTGATATACAAAATTAATCTGAAATTGGATGGTTTTAGATGAAGATGCTTTTCTCTAAAATCAATAAAAATAGAGATTTGATTTGACTTTTCATCAGAATGCGAGATGCAGAGATATTAATACGGTCTCCATTTTAATTTAAAAATTGTATTATTTATTTATGCATAAGGAAAATTCCAATAGATAGGTTAATAACATTGCTCTCATCCCAACTTAAATTTCGATTGATTTAAATTTAAAATCAATCAAATCGTTTTTTTTTCCTATTTTCACTATTATAATTTTAACAAACAATTAAGTTCTTGATTGTGATGTTGTTAATTTTTTTTATTTTTTAAAGAAAATTGCAGTATAAATAAATTTTCACTGGTAATAAATGTAAACGTCATTTCTTCCTCTTTCAAGTATCAAAATATTTGAGAAATGGAGAGGGAATTTATTTGAGATGGAATTCCTCCGGCATATCCACCTGGATTTTAATGAAATTAGGCGTGCGTTCGGGTTTATTTATTTATCGGGCAAATAGCTTCGTCGAGTGCACGCGCGACAGTCTCTTTCTCTCTTTTCTTTTGGGGAAAGTGGAGGGCAGGTAAATAAGACGTGAACCGAAATCGAGTTTGGCTGCTTTCGTTCCTTTCTCTCTTTATATCCCGGGGCCATTAGTTACTATGGCAGCGCTGCTCTTCTTCTTCTTCTCTTCTTTCAATAGACTCTCCCCTGGATGTGTACGGAGCAGCGAGCCAGGCAATAAAATTAATTTAACTTTGCACACACCATAAAAAAAAGCGGGCGGAGTGTGTGTGTGTCGTCTTGTTGCACATTCTTTACATGTTTTTAAGCGTGATGCAAGGCGACGCGGCACAATGCAATGGAGCCGTAAAGCGGACGTGTCGGGAACTTTAATTATCTCCACCGCACCGACCGCGCCGGTAAAAAGTGGCGAGGGCGAGAAACACCCTCTGGAGCTGCCTCCATAGAAAAGCCAACGATTCTCCTTGGCTTCCATTGAAATTCTCTCTTTTTTGCAGAAATTTTTATTACAAACGAAGACAATTTTTCTGCAGCCATTTCTGCTCTGCGTTAGCATTGGATTTTTTTTACAAAATGCTCCAGAAATCTTCAGCATTTCTCTATTAAAATGAGTGCTCGTGACGTGCAGGATTTTGTAAGGATTTCCCAAGATTTGGAAACAATGCAGTGAAGACATTGAAAGCAAAAAATGAGAAACTCGTGCAATAATGAGGGCGGGAGAAGGACACGTTCACGCAACATTGCCAAGTTGCGACACTGTGATGCATTATCCCTTGTCATTCTTTTTACATAGGATGCACTGATGAGTTTGCTTTTTATTCCTCTAGCCCCGGCAAAATGCACAATTTGTAGCATTAACAATTGCTTATGTTTGAAACACTACAATTAAATTTACTCTCCATAATATTTTTAATGTACCTTATTTTATTGTATTTGTATTTATTATAATCTTTTAATTCAATTTGAGAGTTTTCCCGACTTTTTTTGAAATTAAATTATGTTAACGAAATATACTTAGAATTTCAATTAAATCAAATAAATAATTAATAAAATAATTTGGCTTAGAAAAAAAAGATTAATGTTAATAGGATAAGGTGACTTGCGCAGATAAAACTAGCGAAGTTTATTGTTTCTTTATTTGAATCGGTTCAAAAATTAACTCTGTGTAGTATCAAATATGTTCTACCCAAAATTTTGCTTCATTTATCACTTACAGTTTATTTCCTCGCAATTTTTTTCAGGAGCAGTAAATAATTATGTCAAAATAATTAAAAGTCTTGAAAAAAAAATGAAAGCGAGATGTTTCATAACAATTTTTTTAAATAGTTCATTCAATCTAAAAGAATTCATCATTAATTCTCATTAAATTGTAATTCATTTCCTTTCCTTTAATTGCAGATTTGAATGCTCTCTGTGATGTGCCAATTTTCAAATTTCTCGACGCAAATATTTGGCAGTGTCACCGTCCGCCGTCTATCTTTCACTTCATTCTTTCAGCTGGCGAGATTTACTTTACCAATTACGTGACGGCGACCAGCTGGCGTTATAGCAGGTGAATCAGCGGCTCGTCTCCATGACGACGCTGGGCGAAATTGAAAATTAATTCAATTTGCTCAGAGTGACATGCTGGCGTTCAGACGCGCTTCGTCGTTTTAATTGGCACGACTTAGCGTATATTTAGAGAAGAGAAGGGTTTAATTCTGGAGTGAGTGAGTAAATGACGTGGATTCATTTCGATTGAAAATTCTAAATTAAAATTTAATTGAAGAAGAAGCACATCATTTGAAAATATAAAATAATTTAAAAATTATGCGGTTTTGATGAAAAAAAGTAAGGAACATCTTAGCCATAGAATAATAATTTTTTTATAGAGAGTGAAAAAGTTGAGAATTTAGCGTTTTTATTGACATCTTTTATGAAGCAAGAATTGCTTCAATTATAGCTTCCCGCAGAACGTGATTTCGTGGCCGGCATTTCCATTTGCGACTCTTGGTAGCTCGCGGTGCCAAAATATGTGCGCCGAGCTCAATTGGCCAACTTGTTGCTCGCGAGACGGAAAAATGACGAACAATAGCGCAGGGTGGGCGAGCGAGCGGCGGGACGATTTTCCGTCAGATTTGTCACAGCACAAAAGAAAAGCAGCGGTGGATTCGGGTTTTGTAAAATGAGACGACAGCGCACCGCACCGCTATTAAGCACAGAATTCACCTCCTCAGCTCTTAATCTACCCCCGAGCGACTCTCGAGATATGGCGGCGAATCGATAAACGAGAAGGCACACAAAGAGAGAAAAGAAAGATTACAAATGAGAGAAATTGAGAAAGTCTGATCGGTGTTGCTCCTAATTTTAATTCCAGTAAAAGTTCTGATTTTTTTTCTGAAATGCTTTTTGCTAGTAGGGTTTGAACGGAATCTCTGCATTTAATTTGACAAAATTTCTGTATAGGTTCTTGAAGTTGTTGTTGTGGA